GTGCATGATTATTTTAAGTGATGTCTAATTGAGATGACCATTGCCAAAAAATTATTCGCATGAAACTGATGGACCCGAAATACACAGCTGGTACTCACGCAGGACAAGAAGGACAAAAGGGGTAAATCACCAAAGATAGATGTCCTGTCAGTTAGGATTTGGTGTTAGAATAAAAGAGTAGAGGAAGATATCATTTTTGGTTGTTTCATGAATTGATTGTGGGAGGTACTGGCCCCACTGTGGTTTGGAGTTTCACTTAAAACAAACGACAGCCCATATTCAATGAAAAACAAATGACAAAGCCTCCAGTTCAATTTCAAATTCAAACACGATTCAACAATTACCCAACAATAACACTACGAGCACCGAAATTTTTGCACCGAATTTTTGTACCGGTCGACATGGAATGTGTTCTCCTATTTCTTTATAATTTTTTTCTAGTGAACGGCCGTCCATCAAATTTAGACGGCCGTTCACTCACATGGACGGCCGTTCATCAAATATGGATGGCCGTTCATGTCCATATAATATGGACGCTCGTCCCTATTAAAATAAAATAAAAAAGTTTGTAAAAGTTTAGGGACGGCCGTCCATCCATTTTGGACGGGCGTCCACAAATATGGACGGGCGTCCATATGCGAGGGACGACCTTCCATATAATATGGACGCCCGTCCCTATTAAAATAAAATAAAAATTTTTGTAAAAGCTTAGGGACGGCCATCCATCCATTATGGACGGCCGTCCATTAATTTCCTTCACCCAAATATGAAAAAAAAAAAATTTCATGGGGACGCCTGTCCACCAATTGTGGACGGCCGTCCCTTAATTTTGGACGGGCGTCCGTAATTTTTTGACGCCCGTCCAAAATTAATTCTTAAAAAAAATATTTTTTAAACACTGGATGGTCGTCCCTAACTTGTGGACAGCCGTCCATTAATTGTGGATGGGCGTCCATACTGAATGGACACCCGTCCATAATGTTATTAAAAATTTTTTAAAAAAAAAAAATTTCGCGTTTTAGTAAAAAATTGTTTTTTTGTTTATATTAGCTTCTCCAATACGCTTCTCCAATTACAAGAGCTAAAGCGAAAGAAAACCGGCGCCAAAATTCGTCGTCCCTTCTGCTTCATCGTTGCCGTCTGTTCCTCGTCTCAACGTCTGCATTCCTCAGCCATTTCTTCCCGCAACAAACGTTTTCTCCTCATTTTCCAGGTACCGTGTGAATAACGAAAGCTATCATCTGTTCATTTCATCAAACTTCATTTCATCAAACTATAGCTAATTTTTTACAGTCGAAAGAGAGATACAGGAAAGGAAGATTACAGAGATTTGTTCAAAGGGAGATTAGAGAGATTTGTGCAGGTTAATAACGATTTTTATATAATTTATACATTTATTTAGTATCTTTCTATCCTTTCTTCAAGCCATTTTTCTGCAGTGTTTGTTTCATGGCTCCAAGAAGGCCAAGGCTTTGGCCTATATGGGTATTCCAAGTGGACCTGGAGGGAGCCTTTTGGATGATCTTCTCCTAGTTAGAAGAATAAAAGCTGGAAGGAGAAAAATAAAAAGATCAACAAGGCACTCATGGTTTGTGCAAGAGACTTGAGAGTGTTTGAAAATATAAGAGAGTGAAGTTTATAGATGATCACAGAGGTGATGAGGATTTATGCAGATACCTTGGACTGAAATTATTGAATCTCTGATGTTCTTGTTGCTTTGGAATCTGTTACTTCTAGGCCTAAAAATATCCCTTTAAAAAAGAGACATGCAATAAAACAAGTTTATTATTATTATCATTATTTTTTCTGTATAAAACACAGAAAGCATTACATGGGGCAGAGATTTGCAGTGTGTCCACTTCGAAATAACCGAAAACTAAGTGATATTCATGTCATTTTCTGCTTTATTCATCAGTTTGTGGTTTGTTTGATTGATACCACCAAATATGTTAAGAATATGTTTTAGTTTCTTTATCTATAAAATCTATGAGAAGAACATTGAAATTCCAAAAAATCTCTTGGTTTCCCAATTTTGTCATGTTCTTACTTTTCGAATTGATATGAATGCGAAGATCGTTCTAAAAGGATTTCTCTTATGTTGTTTATGTCTCACCTCCTCTGAGAAGGTGAAACAAGAACTCATTAAATTCCTCTGCTTTCACTCTTCAGAACTGGCAATCAAGCATGTACTAAAGAAAAAAAAAATCAAAAACATCATATGATATTTGCTAAGTCAAAACCAAAACAAGTAACGAGGGAACATGACAGCTACATGTTATTTGCAGCCTGGTAATTGGTACATGAGTGACTATTTTAATTGATTTGTCATTGAGGAATCCTTATAATGATTCATCAAACATTATTTAGACATTCTCCAAGAATCTTAAACTACCTCTCCAAGCTCTCTGAACAAGTCTCTTCATTTCATATAATTTGGAAACTCATACAACAACAGTCTTGATATCCTTTCTAAGATCAAGCGCAACAGACTAGCAGTTACATAATCACTGGACTTATTTCATAATAGGAAATTGGTAACTTATTGGGGTTAACATTACCCTTAGTGTCAACCATTGGATCATGCTTCAAGGTGACCAAGGATTGAAATTGATGTTACCACCCTATATTTTGTGCCTTCTATAATAGCTGCTTTGGTGCAATTTGGATAGCAGTCCTTTTGCTGGTATAGGCATAGGATCTCTACTGAAAGAAGTGTCTGCACCAAGTAGCTTCCATGAAAATTGAGTAATCAGATAATGGATTGTAACAAGTGTTTCGATCCTTGTAAATTCATATCCTGGACATATGTGAGGGCCCCTCCAAATGGAATGTAGCAGTAGGGAGAATCGAGGCTTGGTTCTCGAATCTGTCGATCAAACTTTGAAGGATCCGGGAATATGCTATCGTCCATGTGAGTCATGTGTGTAACCCAGAATATCTTATCGAATCAGGAGGGCGTCAGTCAAATATTTATAAAGATGAACTTAGCAAGGATAGAAAAGGATTGATTTGATAGACTGCTAAGTGAAACGGAATTTGAAGTTTCATCACTTACCTGCCACCCTTTAGGGATAAGGAAACCACCAAATTCGATATCTTTCAAAGCCTTCCTGAAGCCACCAAAGATCGGAGAAACATTCCTTAGAGTTTCCAATGCTACTCTCCACGTGTACTTCATCTTGGCAAGTCTTCCCATGTAAGTAACTCTCCCATGGGCTTGCTCTCTGCTACCTCTTCTTGTCTGCGAAACCAAATAAACAATGCAACTCAAACTATCATGGTACGTGAGCAGAAAGAGACCAAGTGGATTAAATTCTTCTTGCTCTAAAAGGGTAAGAATAAAAAGAACTCTAATAAATAAGCTAAAGATGGAAGAAAAGACGGGGAGGGAGTTTCATGAATATACCTTCGAGTACTGCTGCAAAAACAGTAGGATCATTAGCTAAAAGACGCATCATGAAAGTGATTAAAACAGATGAAGTATCATGTCCAGCAATCATAACAAGCATGACATTATCCCAATCTCCTTTCAGTAATTGCTTCCTCTTTGTTCAGGTCACGGATGCTGAGCAAGCAAGTGATAAGATCATCATGAGGAGAAGCAATCTTTTGCTCAATTTCATCCTCTTCTCGCGGATAAGATCTTTCACCATGTTTTGGACACTTCGACTTGCTCTCAGGCCGCGATGGTAGCGTGTGAAAGGCAAGTTGACTGGGATTGACCACCTCCTTCTATAAGTTCTTGAAAGCTATTAAGAATTGATCTCTCCGGGCTCCTTGCTCAACTCCAAATAAAAGAGAGCATATTATGTTGAAGGTTAGAATCTTCATCAGGGGCAGCACCTAGCAGCAATTAAAATCTAATTCATATCAAAGTTTAGAATTAGCACTGATTAATTTGGCACAATCGAAGCTGGAAAGGAAACAAAATCTTGGTACTATAAAGCCATCAACATACCGTTACTTGCTCTTTCCCATGCCAATGCAACTCAAGGTGCTTTTGACTTCTTCATCAATGTTCCCACATACTTCTTCAAAGATTCTGGTTTCAAGAACGAGACAAGGGCACCTCTAACTCGCTTGTGATCTTCACCGGTTAGTATCAATAAACACCGATCACCTAAGATCATGCGCAATGACTTTGCTGTTGATTGCAATTGTGCTCTCATCAGTGGTGAAGATGAACCTTTTTGCAGCCGGACCAGAAATGAACACTGTTGGTGTTCCAAAGAGGCTTAGCTTGATATGGGACCATACTTTCTTATCCTTTGTTCAAGCCTTGTTCTGCAGTGTTTGCTCTCATGGCTCGAAGAAGGCCAAGGCTTTGGCCTATATCGGTATTCCAAGTGAACCTGAGGGAGCTTTCTGAGTATCTTCTCCTGGTTAGGAGAAAAAGAATTGGGATGAGGAGGAGGAAAAAGATCAACAAGGTACTCATGTTTTGGAGAGCCGGAAGATATACAAAGAGAGAGTTTTAACTGTATGAATAGATCTACAGAAGTGATGAACTACCATATGGATACGTTACTCTCCAATTTTTTATCTTTTTGTTGTTATCAGGTGCTGGAAGCTTGGAATCTCTCACTTCTCCGACTCATAATAGCTTTTTAAGCTCTTATTTTTTTTGTTTAACTCTTCCCTGTCTGTATACTTTTCTGATTATTTAATTTTTACCATGATGAGGTATCATATTTTTTGATTATGAGAAACTATCCCGTCTTGACTTTTTTGTTTTCTCACTTTTGTCAGGTACTCATGGTTGGTTTTTGCAAGAGAGACTGAGAGAAAGAGTGAAGCATATAGAGGATCCAAAGAGGTGATGGGAACAATGTGGACAGCTAAAACTAAAATTACTTTTTGTTGTTATCTGGGTTGGAATCTCTCATTTCTAAGACTTAAAATATGCCTTTAAGATTTGTCAATAAAGAGAAACACAAGGCAAGAAGTTTATTGTCATTATCTATTCAGTATAAAACACACAAACTGTTACATGGGGACAAATTTGCAGTGTAGTGTTCTAAACAACTCTGATATTTTACAATCAAGCTGGATCAAATAAATAAGTCTGGATTCTGATGTAACGATAAGCAGCAACACTGCTGAAGTCCTTAAAGATCCACTCTGACATACTAAAAAGTACATAATATCTAGACTAGATTATTAAAATAGCTTCTTTGGCACAATCTGGATAGGCAGTCCTTTCGTTGGGACAGGCATCAGATCTCTAATGAAAGAAGTGTCTGAGCATGATAACTTCCATGTGAATTGAGTGATCAGATAATGAATTACAACAAGTGTTTCGATCCTCACAAACTCATACCCTGGACATATGCGAGGTCCCCCTCCAAATGGAATGAAGCAGTAGGGAGGAATCGAGGCTTGGTTCTCGAATCTGTTAGGGTCAAACTTTGATGGTTCTGGGAATATGCTATCATCCATATGAGTCATGTTTGTTGCCCAGAATATCTATATATATGAATCAGTAGGACGTCAGTTGAATACTATGGCAAGATTACTTTCACAAACAATAGCAAAGAAAATGGAAGTTGAAGTTCTCAATACTTACTTGCCACCCTTTAGGGATAAGGTAACCGCCATATTCGATATCTCTCAAAGCCTTCCTGAAGCCACCAAAGATCGGAGGAACTGTCCTTAGAGTTTCCATTGCTACTCTCCATGTGTACTTCATCTTGGCAAGATCTTCCCATGTTAGTAACTCTCCCGCAGACTTGCTATTCGCTACCTCTTCTTGTTCTGCAAAACCAAGCAAGCAATCAAGCATCCGAACTTTTGAGCCTTGCTTACCATAGGCGCCAAGCTTGTTTACAATAATAGAAGCTAAAGATGGAAGCAAAGAAAAGGAGGGAGTTCCATAAATATACCTTCAAGTACAGCTTCAAAAACTGCAGGATCATTAAGTAAAAGTCGCATAATGAATGTGATTAAAACAGATGAAGTGTCATGTCCGGCAACCATGACAAGCATGACATTGTCGACAATTTCCTTGTCAGTAACTACTTGTACATTGTCCTGATCGCGGATGCTGAGCAAGCAAGTGATAAGATCATCATGAGGAGAAGCAATCTTTTGCTCGAGTTTCATCGCCTTCTCACGCATAAGATCTTTCACCATGTTTTGGATCCTTCGACTTGCTCTCAGGCTGCGGTTGTAGCGTGTGAAAGGCAAATTAACTGGGACTGCCCATACTCCTTCGGTCATTTCTTTAAAGTTACTAACAAACTGATCTCTGCGAGCTCCACGCTCAACTCCAAATAAAAGAGAACCTATTATGTCGAATGTTAGTGTCTTCATCAGGGGCAACACCTAGCAGCAATAAAAATAAAACTCATATCAGTTCTAGCTATTCTTAATTTGACAAAATCTTGGTACCGTGAAGCCAACGACATACCGTGACTTGTTCTTTCCCATGCCAGTGCAACTCAAGGTGCTTCTTGACTTCTTCGTCGATCTTGCCAACATACATCTTCAAAGATTCTGGTTTCAAGAACGAGACAAGGGCATCTCTAACTCGTTTGTGATCTTCGCCACTTAGTTCTAGCAAACACCGGTCACCTAAAATCATGCGTGTAGACTTAGTTTGTTGATTAGATATTGTGCTGCTGTCGCTGGTGAAGACGAACTTGTTTGCAGCCTGACCACAAATGAACACTGTTGGTTTGCCAAAGAGGCTTAACTTTGATATGGGACCNCTGCGAGCTCCACGCTCAACTCCAAATAAAAGAGAACCTATTATGTCGAATGTTAGTGTCTTCATCAGGGGCAACACCTAGCAGCAATAAAAATAAAACTCATATCAGTTCTAGCTATTCTTAATTTGACAAAATCTTGGTACCGTGAAGCCAACGACATACCGTGACTTGTTCTTTCCCATGCCAGTGCAACTCAAGGTGCTTCTTGACTTCTTCGTCGATCTTGCCAACATACATCTTCAAAGATTCTGGTTTCAAGAACGAGACAAGGGCATCTCTAACTCGTTTGTGATCTTCGCCACTTAGTTCTAGCAAACACCGGTCACCTAAAATCATGCGTGTAGACTTAGTTTGTTGATTAGATATTGTGCTGTTGTCGCTGGTGAAGACGAACTTGTTTGCAGCCTGACCACAAATGAACACTGTTGGTTTGCCAAAGAGGCTTAACTTTGATATGGGACCATACTTTCTTATCCTTTCTTCAAGCCATTTTTCTGCAGTGTTTGTTTTCATGGCTCCAAGAAGGCCAAGGCTTTGGCCTATAATGGGTATTCCAAGTGGACCTGGAGGGAGCCTTTTGGATGATCTTCTCCTAGTAAGAAGAATAAAAGCTGGAAGGAGAAAAATAAAAAAGATCAACAAGGCACTCATGGTTTGTGCAAGAGACTTGAGAGTGTTTGAAAAATATAAGAGAGTGAAGTTTAATAGATGATCACAGAGGTGATGAAGATTTATATAGATACCTTGGACTGAAATGATTGAATCTCTGATGTTCTTGTTTGCTTTGGAATCTGTTACTTCTAGGCCTAAAAATTCCCTTTAAGAAAAGAGACATGCAATACAACAAGTTTATTATTATTATCATTATTTTTTCTGTATAAAACACAGAAAGTCATTACATGGGGCAGAGATTTGCATTGTGTCCACTTCGAAATAACCGAAAACTAAGTGATATTCATGTCATTTTCTGCTTTATTTCATCAGTTTGTGGTTTGTTTGATTGATACCACCAAATATGTTAAGAAATATGTTTTAGTTTCTTTATCCTATAAAATCTATGAGAAGAACATTGAAATTTCCAAAAATATCTCTTGGTTTCTCCGATTTTGTCATGTTCTTATTTTTCGAATTGATATGAATGCGAAGGATCTTTCTCAAAGGATTTCTCTTATTGTTGTTTAGTCTCACTTCTTTGAGAAGGTGAAACAAGAACTCATTAAATTCCTCTGCTTTCACTCTTCAGAACTGGCAATCAAGCATGTAGATAATAAAAAAATCAAAAATCAAAAACATCATATGATATTTGCTAAGTCAAAACCAAAACAAGTAACGAGGGAACATGACAGCTACATGTTATTTGCAGCCTGGTAATTGGTACATGAGTGACTATTTTAATTGATTTGTCATTGAGGAATCCTTATAATGATTCACATCAAACATTATTTAAGACATTCTCCAAGAATCTTATACTACCTCTCCAAACTTCTCTGAACAATGTCTCTTAATTTCATAATAATTTGGAAACTCATACAACAACAGTCTTGATATCCTTTCTGAAGATCAAGCGCAACAGACTAGCAGTTACATAATCACTGGACTTGATTATCATAATAGGAAATTGGTAACTTATTGGGGTTAACATTACCCTTAGTGTCAACCATTGGATCATGGCTTCAAGGTGACCAAGGATTGAAATTGATGTTACCACCCTATATTTTGTGCCTTCTTATAATAGCCGCTTTGGTGCAATTTGGATAGGCAGTCCTTTTGCTGGTATAGGCATAGGATCTCTACTGAAAGAAGTGTCTGCACCAAGTAGCTTCCATGAAAATTGAGTAATCAGATAATGGATTGTAACAAGTGTTTCGATCCTTGTAAACTCATATCCTGGACATATGTGAGGGCCCCCTCCAAATGGAATGTAGCAGTAGGGAGGAATCGAGGCTTGGTTCTCGAATCTGTAAGGATCAAACTTTGAAGGATCCGGGAATATGCTATCGTCCATGTGAGTCATGTGGGTAACCCAGAATATCTAGATACGAATCAGGAGGGCGTCAGTCAAATATTTTATAAAGATGAACTTAGCAAGAGATAGAAAAGGATTGATTTGACAGACTGCTAAGTGAAACGGAATTTGAAGTTCTCATTACTTACCTGCCACCCTTTAGGGATAAGGAAACCACCAAATTCGATATCTCTCAAAGCCTTCCTGAAGCCACCAAAGATCGGAGAAACATTCCTTAGAGTTTCCAATGCTACTCTCCACGTGTACTTCATCTTGGCAAGATCTTCCCATGTAAGTAACTCTCCCATGGGCTTGCTCTTTGCTACCTCTTCTTGTTCTGCGAAACCAAATAAACAATGCAACTCAAACTATCATGGTACGTTAGCTAAATTTCTTCAAACAATCCTGATTTTCCCAAAGTGAGCAGAAAGAGACCAAGTGGATTAAATTGTAGTTCTTGCTCTAAAAGGGGTAAGAATTAAAAAGGAACTCTAAATAATAGAAGCTAAAGATGGAAGAAAAGACGGGGAGGGAGTTTCATGAATATACCTTCGAGTACTGCTGCAAAAACAGTAGGATCATTAGCTAAAAGACGCATCATGAAAGTGATTAAAACAGATGAAGTATCATGACCAGCAATCATAACAAGCATGACATTATCCACAATCTCCTTTTCAGTAATTGCTTCCTCTTTGTTCAGGTCACGGATGCTGAGCAAGCAAGTGATAAGGTCATCATGAGGAGAAGCAATCTTTTGCTCAAGTTTCATCCTCTTCTCGCGTATAAGATCTTTCACCATGTTTTGGACACTTCGACTTGCTCTCAGGCCGCGATTGTAGCGTGTGAAAGGCAAGTTGACTGGGATTGACCACACTCCTTCTATAAGTTCTTGAAAGCTATTAAGAAATTGATCTCTCCGGGCTCCTTGCTCAACTCCAAATAAAAGAGAGCATATTATGTTGAAGGTTAGAATCTTCATCAGGGGCAGCACCTAGCAGCAATTAAAATCTAACTCATATCAAGTTCAGAATTAAGCACTGATTAATTTGGCAAAATCTGAAGCTGGAAAGCAAACGAAATCTTGGTACTATAAAGCCTTCAACATACCGTGACTTGCTCTTTCCCATGCCAATGCAACTCAAGGTGCTTTTTGACTTCTTCATCAATCTTGCCCACATACTTCTTCAAAGATTCTGGTTTCAAGAACGAGACAAGGGCACCTCTAACTCGCTTGTGATCTTCACCGGTTAGTATCAATAAACACCGATCACCTAAGATCATGCGCAATGACTTTGTCTGTTGATTAGCAATTGTGCTCTCATCAGTGGTGAAGATGAACCTGTTTGCAGCCGGACCAGAAATGAACACTGTTGGTGTTCCAAAGAGGCTTAGCTTTGATATGGGACCATACTTTCTTATCCTTTGTTCAAGCCATTGTTCTGCAGTGTTTGCTCTCATGGCTCGAAGAAGGCCAAGGCTTTGGCCTATAATCGGTATTCCAAGTGAACCTGGAGGGAGCTTTCTTGAGTATCTTCTCCTGGTTAGGAGAAAAAGAATTGGGATGAGGAGGAGGAAAAAGATCAACAAGGTACTCATGGTTTGTGGGAGAGCCGGAGAGATACAAAGAGAGAGAAGTTTTAACTGATGAATATGATCTACAGAAGTGATGAACTACTATATGGATACGTTACTCTCTAATTATTTAATCTTTTTTTGTTGTTATCGGGTGCTGGAAGCTTGGAATCTCTCACTTCTCCGACTCATAATATGCTTTTTAAGCTCTTATTTTTTTTGTTTTAACTCTTCCCCTGTATACCATGTGATCTTCATGTCGTTTTCTGATTATTTAATTTTTACCAGTGATGGAGGTATCATATTTTATTGATTTATGAGAAACTATCCCGTCTTGACTTTTTTGGTTTCTTCAACTTTTGTCCGGTCCATTTGTTCCTGATTAAATGAAGAAGAATCTTTTTCAATGGATACTTATTGTTCCTGTTTAACCCTCTTTCCATGGGAAGATAAAATCAGAACTCATTAGTGCTCTGCATTCTTTCTATATCTCCAGACCCAGAGTACTCATCAAGCATGCACTAGCTTAAAAAAAAAAATATATATATATCTTTAACTTACAATATCATATCATATTTGACCCCTAGCCTACCAAGTTAACAATGACAGCTAACATTGTACCTGGTGCATGATTATTTTAACTGATGTCTAATTGAGATGACCATTGTCAAAAAATTATTCGTATGAAACATATAAAATATGTTCTGGGCAGAAATTCAAGCTACTCTCCCCAGCTTCAGTTCCCAGAAATCTGAACGAGTGAATTCCTAAATCATAAGACTAAAATCAACAGCGTTTGATATTCTTCTAGTTTTGTGTTTGTGTGTGTATTTATCAGATGCAATGTGGCATTAAACTATTAAAAACACGTCTATTCAAGAATGAAGGAGTCTACCATGTCAGCTCTGGTAATGGGATCTTCTTTAACCACTAGATATGAGAGTCGTCTTAACAATAAATCTTGAGAGATTGTATTTGTTTCATTTCCAGGAGACCAGCAATCTTTTGTCTCATACAAACAACCAGTAGTAGGAGTAATACATACCAATACATCTTTGTTCGAGTAAGTAAAATCTTCTAATTGAAGCATGTTCATCTCTGTTGTTCAATTACATCTCAGTATTAGTCTTACAAAGAAACCTCAAAGCAATCACTCAGCCTTGGCAGGGATATGGTTACCCCCGGTAGCAAGTTTGTACAGGTAAAACCCAGTCATCAGGGCACTGCAAGAAAGCAATTGCTATATTGGTCAATACCAAATAATAATAGTAATGAATATATGGGTGAATAACAACAAATAATAGTACTAACAATTTGTAGGAACCTAATTATGACTAGAATTCTTTCTGGGTCACTAGCAATTACGTCCAAACCGAAATTAACATTATTAGTATGAAATTCCCATAAGAAAAAGATAAAAGATCATGTGTTTATAAAGCAAAACAAAGCAGAGGCTGAGGCTGAGGCAAAACATGTTCCATCGGACTGAAAAAACTATGTACTAACTCCAATACAGAACTTGACAACCACAGCAGCACCATGACAAATGAGCCAACAACATAATTTCTATAGTCAGAAACGTTGACAGCACAAGTTATGTCCATGAGTTCAAACATGCCAAAAAGGTTTGAATATTCTTTAACAGACAATCAGTTGGGATTCAATTTTTGGGTAAGTTCAATAAAGATGAAAACACAAAATTTACATGAGAGTTTTTTTGTTGTATTTGCTCTGGATGGCATCAAAAGAAACAGTGTATTGTACAAATAAGATGACAAGCAGGTGAATATATGTTATCTATCGCATAAAGCTGCAAAATAGAAGTCATGGTACAAAGCAATATCAGGATCAGGTCATCAGCATAAGAAGATCAGGAGAGGATTTCTCCTCAACTTACCTGATCACAGCTACAATACCAGCTGGCATAATCTTAGATGTCTGCTGATAACGCAATCCCATAACCACAGTCAATGCTGCTGCACAAACTGCATTAACGGCTAAGAGTTAGTGCAAATACAAATTCTAACATTAGTTGAAAGTAAGGATTGCAGTAAACATGGATAAAATGGAAACGGAGAAAAGTTGAAAACAAAACACCAAAAACCTGCTTTCTTCTATACACTTGCCCATCAGTAGAAGGGATGAAGAGGCAAGCAGTTCATAAATAAAACTCACTTGTCAGCTCTTTTGGCCTCTAAATTCACTCATCTCTTATACTAACTAAAGCAATGTTTGGATACATATATCTTGTAAAGACCTGATTTTTCTCTAACCAAAGAATTTTCCTACTACCACTCATGTTATGTCATGGAAATTAGATCACTCATGAACACATACTCCATGAGATTATCTTCCAATATATGCAAAATACGTTCAAAAACTTAGAAATGCAAAATTAAAATCACAAACTTAAGTCTCTAAACATTTATGCAAGCATCTCATACAACAATTCGCTTGAATCTCCTCCTAAACCAAATGGATGAAAAATTAGTTATCTTTCAAACCCACCACAACAGACCAGCCTAAAACAATAAGAATCTTCAAATCAAGTAACAATTTTCAACAAAAATAAAAAAAAAAACCCTCCAAATTACACATTCTCAAAGAGCTCCAATCCAGATCAAAACATGTAAAGACAATCCCAAAACAAAACAAGTTGCCACCCTGGATCTACAAGAAGCAAAAGTCAACACCTCTAAGCTTGCAAAATTCTCCGATTCAACACATCAAACATGTTCTCACATAAACAATTATCATTCAACAACCAAATCAAACACTAAAATATCACATTTTTAAAAGCAGGAAAAAAAAAAAAAAAAAAAGTTGAAAAAGAAAACCCAGATAAAGTAAGTGTTTACCAGTCTCCAGAATCAAAGCAAAGTAAGAATTCTTTCGTTTCTCAAAGGCTTTGAGGCTCAACCAGCCAGCCAAGACGAGGAGCAATCCAATGCCAGCACCCCCAGCCAAGGAAGCTATGCTTCCTTTCTTCGCGAACCCGATAACGCCCCCTGCAATGAGGATGAGACCGTAGGGGATCGTGAAGCAGAAGTCGTGCATATTGTCGGCAAATGGGTGTTTGTTTCTCGGGAAATTTCGAAATGGAAAATCGAAAGTGGAAAGTTTCTCTCTGAGGCGTGTGGTGGCGTGTGGACTTTTCTGTTAGTCAAAAGGCTTGTGGTATAGACAATAGTTATTGGAATCTCGACTGTGTCCTCCACGACTGCTTTGCAACGAAAATGACTCTTTTACCCTTTATTATTTTTAAAAAAAATAAAAATATATTTTTATTTTTTTAATAAGCTAAAAAATTTATCATGTTCCTCTTTTAATCTTATTTTAATTTCTAAAATGTCAAAAAATTTGCCATACTCAAATGTTGGCCCATTTTGGGACCCGGATCCGCTCACCCGTCCTTCTCAATCCCCTCTACTTTCAGAGACTCAGCTTTGCTCAAACCCTAAAAATGGCAGCAGCAGAAGCGAAATCCAAGCGACCCATCTGCCCTTTTTGCTCCAAACCCACCCGTATCTGCCTATGCAACAGGATTCAGAATCCGGGTCTTGAAAATTCAGTTAGCGTCACCATTCTTCAACACAGTTTAGAGAGAAAACATCCTCTTAATTCTGCCAGAATTGCAAAACTAGGACTCAGGAATGTCACTATAGCCACTGTTTCTGATGTTAATTTTGAGGTACGGTTTGATATAAGGTTGTTTGGACCGGGTTCGGACCAGGTTGTGTTGGAAAGTGAGGGTTTTGATCAGGATTTAGTAGGAGGAAATGCTGTCAGTCTTGGGTTTAAGAGATTTAAGAAGTGTCCAGAGGGGAAAAAAAGAAGCTTGATTGATGGTAGCGAAGAATGTGGTTTGAGGAATGGTAATAGTGACATGTTAGATGATAAAGACCATTTGAAGGGTTCAAATGCTGTGAAAAATTCAAACTTGTGGAAAAGTAGTGTCTTGGTTTTGGAGCAAGAGAATGAGTCTAGTATTAATGAAGGCAATGGTGAAAATGGCACATTTTCATTGGAGACTCCAAGTAGCAGACTATCCAAGCAATGTAATAATGGGTCGTTACCAGTTTCAAAATCCAATGAAGAGCCTGTTATCACTGTGACTATTGGCAAATATGGTGTCATTACTGATATTGCCCATAATTGGGTGCCTGCTACTGATCCTCAGAAGCCAAATTTTGATCAGATTTTGGACTCCAAGTTGGCTTTGGATGCTTTGGCAAAAGGGTTTGTTGTAAAGAAGATGCAAAAGCGAGAATTGAGTGGGGACATTGAACTGGAAGAGTATGAAGAGTTTGAAATTGAAGTTTCTCCAGGGTCAGTACTTCTATTCCCAAGTGAAAGAGCAGTCAGTGTTGAAGACCTTCAAGTAATGAATCTTGAAGTGAAGAATTTGATTGTTTTGGATGGAACTTGGGCCAAGGCAAAGAGAATTTACAATGAGAGTCCTTGGCTGAAGCTTTTGCCACATCTGAAGTTGGATTTAGATAAGATAAGCTTATATAGCGAGGTGAGGCATCAGCCAAAGGCTGGATATCTGTCCACCATCGAGAGTATTGTTTATGCATTGAAGGCATTAGGGGAGAAATCTGATGGTTTGAACAACCTCTTGGAGGTTTTTGAGTCCATGGTTGGAGATCAAAGGCGATGTAAATTTGAGAGGTTGAGCAAAGTCTCTCCGGTGTGAACCACGTAGTTTTGCTTAATCCATGACACAGTTCTGGTAGATGTTGCAATCACTGAAATACACAACTGAAGTGGATATATTAAAAGCATAATTTTGGCATCGCGATACTTGAAATCAGAACCAAATGTTCAGCAGGTTGATACATGCTTGATAGAATTTGTTTTAACAGATCACACTTCAATTCTAATGGGACTCCTACTCCCATGGATGTCAAATATCAGTGTTCGTATTTTTATAGCTTACTGATATTTGATAGAATATACTTTGTACTTCACTATTGTAACTCCAAGTTCCTCTTCATGTTATAATTGCAAGTTTAACTTTGATTATTAATCATGGTGTTCCTACATTTCTGCCGAGTTGAAATTTATTTGAAGTTTGGTGTTTAATGATCTCTGTGGCAGCAGTTCTGTAGAAGCTCTAATGTGTACAGCAAAACCATGATTAATGTTCAATATTTTGGTAACTGGGGATGAATTTTTGTTACCAAATTTAATACTTTAAAGTTAGAACGTCAGAAATCTCAGAAACAGAAATGGAACTCCGAAAGCACTTAGGCAATGCCAGTAATATAAGCCTAGTATATAATGACCAAAATACCCACCATGTTATTATCAACCCATCTTCCGCTTCTCAAAGATCAGTCTATCCTATCAGCAAAAATTCCATCTTTCAAATGTTAGCAAAATTAGAATTTTACAAAACCCTAACCCTAATCAGAGACGCAAAATCGCAATTTTTTGCACTCTCTTGTCATTTAATCCACTCTTTCTCTGACGACGACTACGAACCGCCATTTTCTCCAAAACCCCAGAAACCCAAAACCCCCAAGACCCAGCAAAAACAACCCGACCGGAGTTTAAAACAAAACAAACTCCCTCTTAAGTCTGAGCTTCCGTTTGACTTCGAATACTCGTACTCGGAGACCAATCCCGCGGTCGAGCCCATAGGATTCCGGGAGCCGAAAAGGTTCTCTCCGTTTGGGCCAGGCCGGCTTGACAGGAAATGGACCGGGACTGCTGCATTGGCTCAAACAGAAGTTGATTTGAGTCGGTTCGAGGAAGAGAGGAACCGGGTTCTCGGGGACCCGCTTACGGAGGAGGAAGTTACTGAGCTTGTTGAGCGGTACAGGCATAGTGATTGTGGCAGGCAAATCAATCTAGGTAAGGTAAAAGGGTAATTATGTTAAATTCAGTTGCACCATTTGATGAGCGTTTAACTTGATCTTTTATTGAGTTATTAGGGATTTTTTTCAAATTTTTTTATCATAATGTGTTTAAATTTGCGTACTGGTTTTGATTGAAACAAATGTATTGTTATGTTTTTGTGAAGTTGGTTAAAAGTGTGATTGCATTTGACCAGCTGTAGCGTCTTTGTTTTTGTTAAATGGAGGGAATTATAAAGATTTGTATTTTGTTTAGGGAAGGGGGGAGTTACACACAATATGTTGGATGACATACATAACCATTGGAAGAGGGCTGAAGCTGTGAGGATCAAGTGCTTGGGGGTGCCAACTCTTGACATGGATAACGTTTGCTTCCATCTTGAGGTTCGTAGTAGACAGAGAGTCCATGAATTCAATGATCTATTTTCTTGTTATGTTTTTCATAAATTGTTGGCTGATTTAGATTGTAGTGTCTATCTAGGAAAAATCTGGGGGGAAGATCATTTACCGGCACATTAATGTCCTTCTTTTGTATCGGGGTCGAAATTATGATCCCAAGAACCGACCAGTTATTCCTCTCATGTTATGGAAGCCCTATGCACCCATATATCCAAAGCTTGTGAAGAATGTAGCTGATGGCCTGACATTTGAAGAAACAAAGGAAATGAGAAACAGAGGACTTAATTCTCCTCCTTTGATGAAATTGAGTGAGTGAATTTGAGTTTAGGAAGCATATGTTGCTTTCTTCTTTTATCACACATTGACTGCATACTGATTGGGATGAATGCGTGATCTGTATTAACAACAAAGCTACGGACACCGAATATTTGGCACCAAAAATGTGTACGGGGCCTACATGTACCTCTGACTCACACCAATAGTCTAGACGCCTGATTTTTTATAAATATTTTTCTAGTGAAAAGTGTCCATCAAAGGGACGTCGTTCACTCACATGGACTCCCGTCCATATTATGGACGGGGGGTCTTAATACCATGGACGGGCTCCCCATTTAAAGGTGTCCGCCCATAAGTAAAATACATAAAAAAAAATTTAAACATTTGACAGGCGCCGCAATAAGGGACGTCCATCCTTAACCAAATATAAATAAAAAAAAATAAAAAACTTTGGGGATGGTCGTCCATAAATTTTGGACGGTCTTCTCTTATGTTTGGACCGTCATACTTTAAAAAAAAAAAAAATCAACAAAACTCTTCTTCTTCGTCTTCATTCCCCATCTCCTCTCTTCTTTTTTCGTCTTTTTTTTAGATAAGCGTGCCAAATCCAAAGGCTCCAACCCAAAAACTACAGACAAACCAGGAGAAACTATAGCTACTCACCACTAGACGTGCTATTGTTGTGGTGACCCATCATCGAGTCGGCATTAATGATGAGTCTTTACTAGAAAATTCATGAAAAGAACATTTTAGGAACCTGTAGATGACAAGTTGCCTCTGATCAAAATCTGTTTTAGAGTCCTCTATTGAGATAAAGTTAAAGATTACACTTAGTTTTGAGTCATGCGACCCTGGAGAAAGTGATAATGGAAGAACAACAGGGCAGATAAACCAAGGGAAACTGGAGACCATGGACTTGTTGTTGATCAGATCCTGGTCCGGATCTTCCGGTGAATCACAATTAAGATGACTTTGCAGTTGAAAATCATATGGCCCAGGATGAGTTCACAATGGAAGATCTAGTCATGGAGAACAAATGGGAACCTGGAGTTGGAATTGTTGTGATCAAACTCTTTTCATGGATTCTTGTAATGACATTGGAGTTAAAGATGACCTTCTTTCGCATCCTAGGTGTTGCAGTAGCTATAGTTCTCCTGTTTTGCTTCTGTATTTTTCTGGGCTTTGGAGCTTTGGATTTGGCACGCCTATCTCATAAAACGAACAAGAAGAAGAAAGAATGGAGAATGAAGACGAAGAAAAAGAGAGGAGATGGGGAATGAAGACGAAGAAGAAGAGTTTTGTTTGGAATTTTTTTTTTTTTTTTTTTTTTTTTTTTTAAGTAGGATGTAAGGGACGGCCGTCCAAAATTTATGGACGTCGTCCCCAAGTTTTTTTTTTTTTTTCATATTTTGGTTAAGGATAGACGTCCCTTATTGAGGGCATCCGTCCAAATAAAGGGACGGTCGTCCATAATGATGGACGGCCGTCCTAATGTTTATAAAAAAAATTTGATTTACTTATGGACGGCGTCTTTAAATGGGGACGTCTGTCCATATAATATGGAGGGAGTCCATGTGAGTGAACGACCGTCCCTATTGATGGACGGCCGTTCACTAAAAAATATTATAGAAAAATCAGGCGTCTAGATTGTTGGTGCGAGTCGAGGGTACACGTAGGCTGGTACACATTTAGGTGCAAAATTGCTGTATCCGTAGCTTTGTTGTTGTATTAAATGGGTGCTATTGGTGAATTTGTTGGACAGCCAGGAATGGTGTGTATGTGAATGTAGTGGAGAGAGTGAGAGAGGCTTTCAAGACTGAAGATGTAGTGAGACTAGATTGTTCATATGCAGGTACCAGTGACTGCAAAAAGATAGGTGTGAAGCTAAGGGTATGACTTGTCTTTTAAAATACTATTCCTAGTTTTCCAGTATGGTAGGAGAAAGTTTGAATTTTGACTTAAATTCATTTTTTCGGTTTCTGCTTTCTCCTGTAAATGCAGGATTTGGTCCCTTGTGTCCCTATCTTGTTCAAGGATGAGCAGATTATACTCTGGAGGGGGAAAAAGGACCAGCCACTGGATTCCAACCCCTCAATGGATCTAACAAGTCAATAGGTTGCTTTCATCAGATTCTTAGATGCTGGAATTAGGTTCTACATCTAAGTCAATGACTTCAATTTGCCTCTCCAAATGATCGACGGGGCAACAGATGATGAGTTGATATACTCTTAGCTCTTGTTAAATGCATTGCTTGCATGATTGCTTGGCCCCAACTCAAATAAGCAGTTGCTTTGTCATTATGCCACTCTTTTTGTGTTCTTACTTCACTTGTTCATATTCAACTTCAGAGGATTTGACATAGGTATGTTCCTTGCATGGAGCAAGGGTCACATGAAGTGCTTGGGACTCGCACTCCCTTGAGCTAAACTGGATTTCATTAGGAATTAGGTTGACATATCTAATGTGTAAGGAAACCTTTTTATGTAATCAATTTATATTGTCATGAAAATCAAGTATTATATAAAATTTTCTAACCATTCCTTTTGTATGCTAAATGTAATCAAAACATTAATACGGATGGATATTGCATTGCATTTAAGCAAACTGTCACGGTTGTGAGCAATGCATCATCCTGGTAGTATGAATGGGTGTGAAAAACTAAACCAACTTCATCTAACAATCTTATGAACCCAAATATAGACAAATAACAGAAGAAATATATTGCGACTAAAATTGACCGACTTAGAATTCAGAGTACAAGCAAGCCTTGTCATTTCTCACTATGATTAAGGTGTTATCTATAAAGAAAACATAATACAGAAAGGTAGGCAATACATCAGAGCAATTTCATAATCTCAGGAAGCGCGGGAAAGAGGTTATTTCCCAATTCAAGCAGTAACTTCTTCATCGACACAACTATTATAGATTGCTCTATTTAAAATATTTACACAGAACTTGAGCATAACCATATTGAGCAACATAGAGGTAGGAACCACAGTTTTCACAAGCCTAAGGTGCCATGAGTATTTTTCTTAGTTCATGACTCTTCTCAGCAAGACATCTTGAACTCGCCAAAGAGGTTATCCAGACTTCATCAGACTTTATTGGTTCATCATCATCATTCCGGTGCCAGCTCCAGAATGCATGAGTTGAATTCGCAATCTTGAGTTCCCCATGTCCAAAGCTTGCTTCACGAAAGACTGACCACTCTGGCTGTGGATTTTTGTACCTGACAATCCATTTATGGGACGATGTAAAATTCCAGCCCTTAACAAACTTCAAATAATTGTTTAGATAAATTATTAGGAAACAGTTAAGGACTTCTTGGAAAACAAATGAGATAGCATGCACAATCCTCAATTGGAAGAAAAGTATGCAAAAAAAAAAAAACTCCAAAATCTTCTACCGAACTCTCATTATAATGTTTATAACCACACTCCACAGTACCCAACCATATATAATTAACACAAACACATTTTAAACTCCATCTCCTCCATGATTACTGCAGGGAGGATTTATCCACCAACTCTTATTTATTTATTTGTTTAGTTAATTAATCTCACAGTTGGAATATGGCAATTCAAAGTTTTGCTGTAAGAACTTACTTTCGTGCTAGACCTTCTTTGTTCCCTCCATCTCCAATGGTTATGTGAACAGCACCACAAGGATCTGGTTTTCCTTTGTTAATACGTTTCTGTCAAACAGATGATCAAATAGGATGAAATACATTTTATACAATAAAGAATAAGGAGAAAAATTAAACCAGTAATAGCATACCGATCTTTCATAAGCATGCACATGACCAGACAACACTACATCAACACTAGCAGCATGGAGCAATGGCTCCATGGCTGCCATCATCCAGTCTCCTTCACCTTGATGCGCCTCATTACTGTTATACCATGGCACATGGAATAAAACAAGTAGCCATGGTGTCTTTTCCCGGTCAACCTTTGAAAGATCATCCTATTAATCAAGGGAAATGAAAAGAAATTCAGTCACTAGATATATAGAACTATAACTGCACCATTTTAAGGACAATACAACTTGACAATTTTCATATTAACAATTGATTCAAGTTAAATGAAAGGTGGGAAGTCAAATCAATAAGAAAACTAAGGGTCTGTTTGTTTCACTCTTTTGAGTGATTGTTATGTTATCCTATCTGGATTAAAAAACAGAATATGTATTTGTTTAATTATTAGTCCATTTCATTCAGAAAATTAATCAAACTCAAATAGGATTCAAATAGGATTTTTTGTCTAGAGTTAGAAAAGTGAGTGGAACTTGTTTTCTATTATCTTATTCTATTCAACTCAAAACATTTTTCCAACTCTATTTAACTAAAAACAATTACCTTTCACAATAAAAGTTTATAAATTAACAAAAACACCCCCACCCACCCAAGCCACTGTTGGTTGCCAACACCGAAGCGGCGCACGACTAGCTAGATTTGGCCGGTCGTGCACCGATTTAGCCGAAAATGGCCAGATCTATGGCCAAAGATCTCACCATTGACAACCAGATATTTTTTACCATAGATTTGGCCCAAAAAAGGTCAGATCGGTGCACAACCGGCCAGATCTAGCTGGTTGTACACCATTCCAACGATTGCCGACTGCCGTCTGATGATGTGGCCGACTGCCGACAGTGGCTTGGGTGGATGAGGGTGTTTTTGTTAATTTATAAACTTTTATTGTGTGTCTTTTTTTTGAGGGGGCAAGGGGTAGTTAAATTAACAAATGTAGGAGGTTAGAAAATAATCCAAATATTTTCAGAAAAATGTACCAAATCATCCAATTCTGATATTGTTTTCAAATATTACACCAAATACATTCTCAAAATCCTATCCTATTTGATTTAATCATATCCTATCCTATTCAGATAATTTTTTGGAATAACATTTTTCAAATAACCTACCAAACAGGCCATAAATCTTTCCATTCATACTCCTGATGAAAATGAAAGAGACTTTCACAGGTGGGGAGATTTCAAATAAATCATAGTTAATTACACCTCAAATGGATCTACAAAAGATGTTACACCATTATGAGGACCACAAATTTCATTAAATTCAGAAAAGTCCCTTTCAAGCAGCAATTTCCAACCAATAAGCCTTCTTCATATGCAGAGGACAATAATTACATTAATCCTAAAACTCAAAAAGACATGGATCACAGAATCCAAAGATCTGTTAGGTGTAAACATCTGTTTAATATCGAATAGATCAACTATTGCAGTCTATATTAGCAGGCAATAGATATTACATATAAATGACAGGAAAAAAAGAAAAAGAAAAAAGAACTAACCTTCAACCAGTTATATTGATCTGAGTACATATCATAGTCTGTATACGAACCAAGCATGATAACATGAGTCCCTGCAACTTCAAAAGAGTAATAAAGATTGGAGCTTGATCCGCTCTCTTTAAATGGCATCTTCCACCTGGCATTGTAGGACTCAAATCCATCATTAAATAGTAGTATCCTCTCCTTTTCATGGTTCCCTTCTGTGACCATCCATGGCCTTGCACTTGCAAGTGGCTGGACAAGCTCACCAAATGTGTCCCACCTGCGCTGCACATAATCGGCATATGAAAGGTCCCCTGGGAGCAAATGGATATCATATTTACATAGGTCAATGTGGTCTAGCGTTGATCTAGTCCAGCCAGTTTGACCCAAATCCCCCGCCACAGCAAAAGTAACTGGGAATTCAGCAGGAGGAGTCTTGAGCTGGAACTCAGGACCTTGATTACCGCACTGATAAAAGTAAACAGTGTCAGGTTCCAGAGGCCCAATGACAGTATGATGTATTTTTCCAGAGTTATAAAACAGATAACTATAAGAGGTGCTCTCTCCTTGAGCTGTAGAACTGTATCTCCCAGGTGATGTTCCATATTTGACAACAGAAGGAGCAGATTTATCGTCAGTGATCCATGAGATTCTCATGTGGTTGTCGCCTGCCAAAGAGATGTGAACCTGCCAAGAGCAATAGAGCAGAGAACTACTTCAAACTTTTCCCAAACACTTTAATGTTTTCTGAATTCGTTCTATAATCCCTCAAAATGTTTCAACTAGCAAACAATTACCAGAAATGACAAAAAATAAAATGAGAGACCACAGCACCCTCTTCTTACAATTCTGAATCCTTTTTCCATATAATAAGCCCGTCTACACATGCAATTGTCTCATTTGATGCATATAATTCAACAAGTGATCAAGTAACGGATCAAACTAACAGCATATAAATTCCTTTCAAGAACTCATCAAATATACCAAACAGCACCCAAACCATGACTGTCAATACACTTCTCACCGTAAAGCCACTTGAGGCATATTCTTTCTTTCAGCATTTAGATACCCTGATGGTTTTTAATTTTTTATTATTAAATCATAATTAAAACCAAACATCCAAATTCTGCAGAAAAAACAAAATTCTCCTAATTCACTTCTTCCTAGCTCAACCCCATAAAAGAATAAAAGAAACAAAATGTCTCACTTAAACTGTAAATTGAGTACAATTAAGCTGGAAAGAAGACACTCTGAAGCTTTTCCAGAAGCTTTTCACCAAAATGATTTTCCACATGAATAAATTAATAATAATAAAAGCCACACAAAACAAAACAAAAAACAAACACCAACCCAGATTAGATCAGATCAACAAACAACACTAACATTAAGAACTAGACACTAAAAGATCCAAAACCAAAGTTAGAATATGAGAAAAACACAAGTATCAGAAACCCAGAAAGTGAAGTGATGAAGTGAAATGAAAAGGTTACCTGCTGGGGATAAGAAGCAGGCTTTGAGTTCCATGGAAATTCAAGAGTTTTACGAGGCCGAGGTCTAACGTAATCGGCAGTGGCGAAAGCTGCTGCGATAAAAAAGAGACAAAGTGTGAACACCAATGTCGGTTGCATAGTTTTGACAAGAGACAACGATTTCTGGTTTGTGCATTAATTAGACCATACGGAGAATTTATGTATTTTAGTCAAAGGGGGTGGTGAATGTTACCGTAAAATGACCATAATGTCCTTGTTGAAATTATGATTGGAAATTAAAGCATGGGTAGTTAGTTTCGTCAATTGAAGCATTCAATTAGGTGATAAGCTTCATCTTTATCTGTATAATTAAAACTGGAACCTTGATCATATTGGATACCTATTTGGATAAAGAGGAATCTTCATCTGAATACACAAAATCCACAAAAAAGATCTGTGTTAATCAATGGAAGTTAAATTAAGACCCTTTTTTTCTTTTTAGGATGATTAGGGTGTCCGATTAGTTGTGCGCACTTAAACTCATCCACAAATGATAAGTATACAGATAAGATATGAAAAAAGGGTTCTGGCCTCAATGCAAGACCAGTCATGTATTGGTATTTATACAGCTCAGATGTTACAATGATAAGATACATTTGAAATAGCAACAGATATCAAGTACAAGATATGCGAAAGCAGAGTTTAAAATGGAATCAAGTTGTGGAGCTGATAAGGTTGTCGCAGATGTTGAAGTCGTTGGTATAAAGTCTGCTGTGTTGGAGTGATACAGTCTCTTGCTTAACATCCCCCTACAAGCTAGAAGGGTGTAGGACACACTTGCAGCTTGTTCCGAAGTTCACAAAGCGACTGGTGCTTAATCCTTTTGTAAAAACATCAGCAATCTGTCTTGGGAACAAATAAAACTGGAGTGTAATATCTTTTATTTAGAACTTCTCACGGATAAAATGGTAGTCCACTTCGATATGCTTGGTTCTCGCATGAAAGACAGGATTAGAGGCTAAAGCTAATGCACCAATGTTGTCACCACAAATTGTGGGAGGAGAGGGAGTGATATACAAAGTTCTTTGAGAAGCATTTAACCCAATAGAGTTCGGCTGTGGTGATTGCTAAAGCCCGATACTCTGCCTCAGTGCTGGAGCGGGCTACAACGTTTGTTTCTTAGCAGTCCAAGACACTAAACAGGAACCAAGAAATACAACATACTAACCGTAGTTGAACGACGATCATCCGGATTACCAGCCCAATCGAGAGTCACAATAGGCTTGAAGATTAAGAGATCCTTTTTGATACATAAGCCGTGTCAATTGTTCCTTTAAGGTAGCGGAGGAACCGATTTAGTAGCAGACCAGTGAGTGGATCTTGGACAATGCATATGTTGGCATAGTGTGGTTAACTAAGAAAGCAATATCCGGACGAGTCAAAGTGCAATATTGTAGAGCACCAACAGTTTGGCGATACTCAGTAGTTTGGGCTGCTGAGAGAGGTTCACCATCATGAGCTGAAAGCTTTAGTCCCGAGGAGCATGGTGAGAGATAAGGTTTTGCACCAATCATCTAGTGCGATAGAGAAGATCACCAATGTATTTTGTTGCCGGAGGGGTAAGCCCGTAGAGTCTCGATGAGCTTGAATGCCAAGAAAATAATTTAATGAACCAGATCACTTCATTTTGAATTCCAGTTGCAACTTGACAATAAGAGAAGGAGCGTGCTGTCCACAAGATTCATCCACATAGATGAAAGACAAAGTAATTTCCTTGATGATAAATAAATAATGAAGAGTCCACCGGTGAGGAAGTAAATCCAAACGAAGTAGAGACTGAGATAGGCGCATGAACCAAGCTCGTGGGGCTGTTTGAGTCCATATAAGGACTTCTCAAGCTTGCAAACATAGGTAGGAAAATCCGGATGAACAAAGCGGAGGTTGCTTCTATTAGACTCCTCTTGTAAAACACCATGCAAGAAAGTATTAGAAACATCAATTGGCGGATATTCTAATCAAAGTGAACAGCAAGAGCAGAACGACTCGAATTGTGGAAGGTTAATACTGGACTGAATGTCTCAATGAAATCTATGCCACATCTTGTTCAAAACCTTTAGCCACTAATCGGGCTTTAAGTCGATCAAACTGACCATCGTGTTGTTTAACCTGTAGACCCATTTGTTATCAATAACATTTTGATTCAATGGTTGAGGGCAGAGTATCCATGACGGTTTTCAATCAGAGCATCATATTCTTCTGCATAGCCGTGAACATTCAGGACTCAATGAGGCTGTGTTATAAGAACGAGGTTCAATGGGCATTGTTATATGGTGAGAGCCTTAAGAGGAGTTTTGTGGAGTAGAATGTCTTTATCTTAGGGAAGGTGCGGGGCTTGAGATGGCCTGTTTGAGACCGAGTGGTCATAGGAGGGATCTTGAGGTGCAGAGGAATTTAGGTGCAGGTAAGGAGGGAGGAGAGATGGAGAAATATCTGGACTGAATGGATGTGGGAGCAACGAAATCATATGAAGATGATAAAGGGGTTCGGTCAAGAGAATTAGGATAGATGAATTTGCATAGTGTGTAAGAGATAGATCAAATCCATTATTAGAGAGAGATAAATCAGAATTAAAACTGGAAGGAAAGGAGATAGGGAAAGAATTACTAGGAGAAGTAAACACCGTGGAAGGTTGGGGGGCTTCAATCCATCCTTTGCAGGAAATGTAAGTCATCAAAAACTACATGACGAGAGATAAAAATTTTATGAGAAACTGGATCTAGACACCTATAGCCGCGTTGATTGGCACTATAACCCAGAATATCACTTCTTAGTACGAAACATGAGTTTGTGAGATGCATATGGCCTTAAAAGCGGATAACAAGCACATCAAAGGCACGAAGGAATGTATAATCCGGAATTTTGCCAAACAATTTGAAGAAAGGTGTGTCATTGTTAAGGACCAACGTAGGCAAACGAATAAGGATATGGCAGTCAAGAATGCATCAACCCAATAGTGAAAGGTAAATGAGATTGAGCAAGTAAGGACAATCCCATTTCAGTAATATGTCTATGTTTTCTAGATCTTCAGCAGTGCCATTTTGCTGAGGAGTGTGGGGACATGTAATGCGATGATGAATGCCATTGATTGGAAGAAATGATTGAAATGGTTTAGCAGTATTCCACCTCCCAGTTTGGAAGTTCTTAATTTGCAAGACAACTGATTTTCAATAAGAACTTTAATTTGAGAAAACATGCATAGACATCAGATTTATTTTGAATAGGATAAGCCTGTAAACCGAGAGAAATCATCTATGAAAAGAACATAATAACGACAACCACTAAGAGATTGGAGAGCAAGACCAAACATCGGAGGAGTGAATAAGTTCCAAAGGTGAACTTGTTATTCGATGAGAACTTAAAAAGGGAAGTTGTTGCCTTACCAAGTTGCAAGGCTCACAAACTTCACATATGCAATGAACCAACATAAGGTAGAGATGTTTATTTAATAACTGAATAACAATTGCATGGGAAGCATGCTCTAATCTAGAATGCCAAACTGGAACTGATGCTTTGACTCATACTACCGCTGCCACTGCCATTGCAAGTGGTTTATGAGAACTACGACTGCAATAATGGGATAAGTCCACCACTACTCTGTCCTTCCAACAGTGTCTTCCCCATTCGATTGTCCTTGACAAAATAATGAGAAGCAGTTAGAAGAAGAAACAATTATTGTCAAGACAAAATTGATTAATACAGAGTAAATTAGCAGAAGCTGAGGGCAATGGAGAACAGACTAAGTTAAGAGAAGAATCAGGGGTATGGAGAACGATGGAGCCTGTATTTTTGATATTCAAACCTTGTCCATTACCACAGCCACATGTTCTTCCAGTATATGGAGTGCAAGAGTCAACTGCTCAAGATTGGCTGTAATATGCTAATTAGCCCCACTGTCAGCGAACCAAGGACGTCGGCAACAGGGTAGCATTAGTGTGAACAACCATAGCCGTTTATTGGGTAGGAGGATAGCAACCTTGAAAAGCAGTCATGCGATGAAAACAGTCAAGTGCCTGGTGGTTTGCTTTTCCAAGATTTGGCAAGGATGCGTGGGGTATTAAAGGTTTGCTGAGAGTGGTTTGGTCAAGGAGAAGGATAAGATTTGGTATTAGGTGCAGGCTTTTGTAGGAGTATGGAGGTTGGGTTTGCGGGTGGGATTTTGTGGGGTTTTTGGCTTTTGTTGTAGGGCGTTGGGGAAATTTGGGAGCAAACAGGGCTAAATTATTGGTTTCAGGTGGGGTTGAATGGGTGACTTTCTAGAAGTAATTCAAAGGATAGTAACTCTGCTTGGAAATCTTCAAAAGAGAGAGCTTTGTCTCGGGTGGCAAAGGACAGAGAAGTGACAAAAGGGTGATGATGAATGATTCAAACTACTCACATATAAGCAATAATCATCATCATCAATGGTCTACCAACAGCTCTGCTGTGTGGCTATTTGCTTTGCCGAATCAAGATAAGCTGCACACTTCATGGAACCTTGATTAACGTTGGAGGAGCCGCTTAAGTGGTTAATGCGAGATCGAGATGGAGAAGCAAATGTGTAGCCAAGGCAAGCCAAGCAGGTCTGGCTGAATTGAGACCATACACAGATGGTGCCACTTTATCAGAAAGAGTAGCATTAATCCAACCTAAAACAAATTGATCCTTCCGATTCCATAGGAGATACTCAGGATTGAGAGTAGTTGTTGGTTTCCCTTGATCATCAATGAGAAACTGAGAAGGGCACGGTAGAGAACCATCCACGAAGCCCATTAGATCATGACTTTTGAGAACTGGAACAATTTGAGACAACCACATCAGATAGTTGGTCTCATCCAACTTAGCCGAAACAAGTTGACTAAGATTGGGAGCAATAAAGTTGATAGATAATGAGGCAGCCATTTAATAAAAAATAAAATAAAATAAAATAAAATAAAAAGAGGAAAAAAAAAGTTGAAGGATCAGTGTAGACGTGCGTGAGCAGAGTGCTCTAATACCATAAAAGCAATAAGATATGAAAAAGGGGTTCTGGCCTCAATGCAAGACCAGTCCATGTATTGGTTTATTTATACAGCTCAGGTTGTTACAATGATAAGATACATTTGAAATAAGCAACAGATATCAAGTACAAGATATACGGAAGCAGAGTTTAAAATGGAATCAAGTTGTTGGAGCTGATAAGGTTGTTGTAGATGTTGAAGTCGTTGGTGATAAGTCTGCTGTGTTCAGAGTTGACTAAGTCTCTTGCTTAACAAAGTATTCCTAAGGTGATTTGAAATCAAAGAAATGAGTAAATATTCTTGACTGCGAGGCCAATCCCTTGGGTTTTTCTTTTTCAAATAAAAAAAAAAAAAATCAAGGGGTTGGGGTTTAATTAAGAAGTTATTTGGGGTTTTCATAACCCAAAAAAAAAACTCACTTCAATATTAAGTTAGGATCCAAAAGTATTTGGTAAACCCTTCATAAAAGTGATTAGTTTTCAAGCATTTTCAAACTTAAAATCATATTTATAAAAAGGTTTTGAAAAGCTACCTGAATTTGTAGTTATAAGCTTCTCCCACTCCAATCAAGTGAAATTTTGTTTTGTTACCAGTTTGAAGGCATGAATATCAGGGGTGTTCAAAAAAATGTAAAAACCAAACCGAAAAAACAGTTCGATTACGATTCGAAAAATTCAAAAAACTGAATTTTTGATTCGGAAAAAAATAAAAAAGGTAAACCAAAACTAGTTCCAACATATATATATATATTAAATAAAAAAATTTTCATTTCGAACTTTTATTTGTATCAATTTTTAATGTATTGTTACTTGTTAGTAGTGGTCAATGGATATATATGAATGCTTATTTTTTATTTGGATATGTATTGTTTATATTTACAATTTAATTTGGGAAAAAAATTTTAAAAATAAGTTTTATAAAAAAAAAAAAAAAAAAAGGGAAAACCGGTCCAAAACTGGTTAACCGAAAAACCAATTTTCCCTCCAAACTAGTTCAGTTTCGGTTTAGGAATTTTCCCAAACTAAAAAACCAATTCAATTAAAAGAAAAAAAAAGAAGGGTTAACCGCTTTTGAATACCCCTAAATTGAGTACAATAAAGCCTGAAGCAGGGGAATGAAGCTGGTGTTACTTGCTATTATAGAAGTACAGTGAAAATATAAAAAGTTGATTACAGAAATAAACTGAATTATTAGGAAGAATTCTACATCTTTTCCACAAACTCTGGTTTCCCTTCGAGACACCTGATAAACAATACCAAATTGCTACTGCAAATGGCAACCATTGAATAATTCTCATATAAAGATAAAATTCTTCAAATTTAGTTAGTACCATCAAATAAGCTGAGTTCAGGATTTCGAGCCCACTTTGTTCTGTTGATAAAGTGAGGCACAATATATTAACAAAATATATTTTGCTAGGAGGTTTCAGGAGTTTTTTTATATTACATAAACATTAGTTTCAGAACCAAACTTGTACTATGAACATTCGGCTTCAAATTTCAATCAAAACTCTTTGTAATTTTTTTTTTTTTTTTTTTTTTAATTTATGTACATACAAAATTTGATCTCAAATAGAAACTAGACCTAATATTCATCATACATTTTGCCCAGAGACACTATTGGCCTATTGGGTCTTAATAATACTCTTTTCCCATTCAAATACACCAGAAATTTCAGCATCTTCATAAGATANTTCAACATTTTTCTGAACACAAGTTTTGTTTGTTAATGTCTTTTATTTATTTTTGTATGTTAGTTTACTTTCTGCTGCAATAACATGCGTTCGAAATCGGATTAGGTTTAGATTTGTCTATCCTTTGTTCGGAAAAGACTTTAATTTACCATTTCTGACGAATGTGCGGAGCTGCCTTTTGCTCATGCAAGGCCAGCAAAGTGCTGGGTTAATGGTTTCATGTGGCCTCTAGGTCGTGTGTTACAAAGAGTATTCCTGACAAATGTGGTATAGGATGTCTAAAATAATGACTTATTTTCCAGGCACTTAAGTCACTCGACGAAGTTGCATAGAAAACTCAAGGAAACTGACTAAAGCTACGCCATAACTTCTTGACTTGGCGAAAGCTTCTGAACCAAGATGTAAAGAATTTCTCCGAAGCTTGGTAATCAGTCACCAAAAGAGACGAATAGTTCTATGGCTGAACCTGAAAAGCAAATTTCAATAATGGACCATACCAAAAAGTAAATTGATGAACTTTACAGCTGGACCCTTTTTTTTTTTTTTTTTTTTTTTTGTTTCTGGGGGGAGGAGGGGTGGATGAAATGAAGATCACAGATATTACTAAAGATCACATGAAATATGGACAAGTATTTAACCAAACATGGATTTTTCAAACAATGATTATCGATCCTATCTGTGCATTAAAAGAAATTAAAGGAAAAGGGGAGTATCAAAGACATGATGTGTTACCATCTCCAAGAAGGATTTGCTTCAGCAGGACAACGTATGCTTGAACACAGTGATGCCATGGAAGGATGCTGGAGAAGCTTAAAACTAGATCCTGATTCAACATGAAAGGAGAAAATTTAAAACTCAGTAGAAGCATATTTTCCATTAATGATTAACTTGAAAATTGTATTTCACCTAATAATTATATAAATAATCTGAAAGTCAAAGCACAAAGAAATTCATTGACTACATATTATAGGATAGTCAATCAATTCCTCAGATTAGTTTTGTTTTGGGGGCAACCCAACTATACCAGTCCTAATTAGCACACCCAAATGAAAACATACATGATGTAACTTAATAAGAATTGAAGAATCATTCTGCCCATTGATTCACATAAAACATATTTCAACATCTGCCCTTATATGGCTTGTCAAATTTTTGACATAATCATTCTCCAAGGGCACATCCATGTTAATTTTAGCACTTTTTTCCCACTTCATGTGGAATCAGAATCCATTGACGGAATTGATTCATCTCAGAATCCAAGTCCAGATTGACCCCTGTTTCAGCAGTGAACCAGGATGCCAAACAGATAGATTATAAATCATTATTTTTTTCTGAAAAAGCAACAGGTAATCAACTAACAAAAGTTGCATACCTGCACATTCCAAGTCATCATAGAGTAGGAGAGAGAGTGCAGACATAACAGAAGAAAGCACTGTACAATGCACGCCAAGAAGCTGTTGAAGGTAAAAGATAGCGGCAGCCAATATCTCTTCACATTCCAATCTACTTTTGTTGACTCCTTCACATCCTTTTTCAACACTCTCCAGTAAAGAATGCAAAGTTTTGTGTGACTTTTTTGAAATCTTGGAATTAAAATCATCATGTTTCCAAGAAAGCTTCCCTAGAATTACAAAAGCAATTAGCCAACGCAGAAGTTTTGATATCAAAGACTCCTCATATGGTGCCTCCTCTGGCATGCTCGCAAAATGCTGACGGAATTTTCCAAGCTGATGCATTTGTCCAGAGCTGGACTTGACAGCAGAAGAAATTGCCCACATAAGAAAGCTTGAAAGCTTTCCTCGGTCCTGTAAAGCACATTAAGAAGAAATCAATTATCTAGTCCACAGAAGAAAGGGAAAAAGCAAGAAAGAGAGTTACCGTATGAAAAATGTCAACTGGAGGTGTGCTCATAAGTATAGCTTTAAGCCCAAGCTCTGCATTTGCACTAGATCTTGCAGTATTATACACGTTGACTGTCTGATAAATTTGAAAAAAGCTCTCAAGTGATAGTGTCAAATGTGGCTGGTATAGTTTCCTTTTCTGTGATATATTCAGAGTTGATATCAATATCTGTAATATTGATTTAACCAATGAAGCATTTTCCCTGATCAACTTCGCCCCAGCAACTAAGAGTTTGAACAGAAGAGATGAAAGTTCCATTAGCTGTTCAAGGGCATGTGTTTGCAGCCACTCAGTGATGTTTCTGGATGAAAGAACATTGTTGACAACCTAAATTCAAAGACATATATGAGTCCGTGAAACTAGGAAAATGTTTCTATTGAAGCATTGACATAATAACTCTATAGAAGTATTACACACAAGCTTGCACAAGGTAAATGCACTACTGATAAATGTATTATTTCAGATCTCAAACCTTTTCAATGGCCCTCATATTTTACTTCTTTTATTGTTTATTTTATTACTCAAAGAAACAACAACAACAAAACCACCACCACCACCACCACATCTGGAAATGACGACAAAAGGCACAAAAACAAAGATAAAAATCATGACAATGTTTAGACCTAAGGAAGATAAAACCAAATGGACAAGGATTCCATACCTCTGTGATCACAACCAACTGTGCCAAGAAAAACCATTTTTCATCTCCAAGTAGCATCCCACTAATATTTGAGAGAAGAGCTGATAACCAAGAAATCAAGCCACAATGTTCAACTAGGTAACAAGCCAATTTGTGCAATTTAACTGACTTCCTCACTATCTGGAAAGCAAACAAGTATTTCAGTTTACCATAAAACACTTCTGAGTATGCCAGAAGCAAAAAGTAAATGCTATGTGCCAAACCCATAAATTCAAGTATTCAGAGGCACCCAAAAAGTGGTACAATGGCGACTTGTCATCAAAATTTAGTGACATTAGGACTATGCAAGATTAGCAAAAAGGTAAAATTGTAAATCCACAAGACAACAAGCCCAACTGACACCATATATTTGAATCCACAGCCAAACCAAAACAGAAGATGAAAAGCAAAAAAAAAATATATATATATATATATATATATTTTTTTTTTATTCAACCAAAGGCCATATCCCATGTGCTTTAGGATTATGATGACAACCATACTTAAGCTTTGCTTATCGGTATAAGAAAATTTCAAGTAAGAAGATTAGAAAATATATACATATATAGGAGAGGCAGCATGAATCATCATAATGAGCTTAAAAATTACCAGAAGAATTAGTTCCTTTGATTCGTTGTCTGACAGAGGAGAGGCATAAAAACTGAGTAGAATCTCAAGTATGGAGTTCCTGATATATATTTGAGCATCATCATCAAAATTCAGCCCTGCATATACAAGACGAAGTATCCACAGCCTCTCCGCTCTGAAATTAATAGAACTGCTCAAGAAAAAATCATGGAAAAAAGGTATGCACTGCAAATAAAGTATAAAAAGAGATCATCACTGTAAGGAATATAAACAAAAAAAAAAAAAATGTAAATAAAAGACAAAATTGCAAAACATATACCTTCATATTCACCCTTGAAGATCGCATCAAAAGCTTACTTAAGGTTGCATAATGTTCATGCGAAGAATCCAACAGTAACAGAGATACCTCGGCAGCAAAAATAGCTATGACAGAAGGGATTCTCTGCCAGGGTTCTTCTATTCCATTTTGTATGTATGTCAACAGAAGCCGAAGTTGCATTACATCCTTTTTCTTTTGACACTTCTGCAATAAATGATTGAAACTTGATAAATAAAAAACTCCAGTATAATCAAAGTGCAGGAAGGAAAACTATTCACCACCAGTTACAACTTCAAAAAAAAACAAAAAAAAAAAAAAAAAAAAACAAAAAAAAAAAAAAAGGGGAAAAACCTAAAAATTCAGCTTCTAAGAGTGTAGAAAGTAATTCCATGAAACACTATAGAAAAATGTCATCAATTTTAAAGGATCAAATGAAGAGAAATTTCTGCGATTGTATGACTAAAGAATCTGCATGTAATGAAAATTTTATAATGCTGCAAACACTATCAGAAACAAATAAAGCATTACCTCCAGTGCATTCTTAAATCTCCCAAGAGTTTCATAACCCAACTTTCTCATCCCCAAATCAGGCGAAGACATACTAGCAAACGCAACTGCAAGCAAGCCTAAACCAGCAAACTCTGCAGGTTCTATGAAACCCGCTGATAAACTATGAATTGAGAAATGTAAGATGAAAACAGGATCATATCTTTGAATACTTTCAAGGCCAGGAGGATGCGTCTGCATATGATCAGTAAATTATTAAATTATTGGAGAGCCATGGCAAAGCAACAAATTCAAACAACTTTAAAGCTGTAGCTTCAAATTCTCATTAATCAAAGACATACCTCATACATGTTCTTAAGGTTATCCACTTGAGGCTTGTTTGAAGAAGAAAGTTCATCACCACCAGTTCTATCATAGGGAAAATATAGAACTGTCATGGCACATATTTTGGGGTCAATGGGAAGGTTTTCTCTAAATTGACTTCTTCGACGTTCTTTAACTGCTTCGGTATCAGTCATGATATTCCAAGATGTATCCTGCTCCAGAGCCTGTTCTTTTCTTACTTTTACTGCAGCACTTCCCCAGAGGTAATCCAACCAAGCTACTTCACTGTCAGATTTATCAAAAAGCTCGATCTCACGCATAATATTGAACATCTCCAAGTCAATATCTCTGAGGGTAGCACCATAAGAAGACAAAAGTAACGAATGCAATTCTCTAAGATTTATACCCGTATCTTTGCCAAAATCAGAACCACAAAGTTGGGTCTTAGATTGAAGGAGTGTTCTAAGTAACTTAACAATTTCCAACTTATTCACAAGCTGCTCAGTTGTTTCCAGATCCTTCTTCTCATTAATGGCATTTGGATTAGAATGAGAAATAACAAGCAATCTCAGAATACTGGACATTGGCCTCAAAAGTACACCAGTCACAGCCATAGATGGCATACAGACAGACTGAATGGCAGGGGCAAAGTGGGAATGAGCAAGCAGCAATTGAAGACATGGGGCACGTGAGAATTTTCCCTCCAGCAGTGAAGTTATGATGCTCTGAAGCATTTTCAGTGTTGCAGCATCCTCAAACCTATAGAAAAGAGACGATCTGATCAATTGTTCTAGGAAGGGAAGCGATTGCATTTCAATAAGACCATCAAGCATCATTGTGGTTAATTCAAGAATACTTTTCAATATGAATACTTCCAAGTATTTATACAATAACAAACAATCTCTGCTCTTCTTTTTCCTCGAACTGTCAGAGACTGGGGGTAATTTCTTAACCATCCATTGCCAAGTACCCACCAAAATATTCATAAACCGCATTCTTGATGATTTTTGCTCATCGTATCCTGGTTTAATAGAAAACTCCTTTGAGCTCTCATCCACTTCCATTTGCAAAGAGGAAACCTGATTATCTTCTGGAAATAACAGCATCCTAGAAAGTGATATTTTAGCAACAACTCTATTAATAAGGTTTAATGTTTCATCAACCGAGTTAAATTTCAATTCATTAACATCACAGTCTAGTAGCTCATTATGTGCACCAGAACATGGAAAAATGGAATTGAAAAGCTTCATTAATTTCTTTGTTTTCAGTGAGTCTCTGCTTAAGGCAAAGTGATATCGCAACATATGGATAGTTTTTCCAAGAAGACTATCATCAACAAAATTGAGAAGTTCTTCAGCAGATGATGGGAAGAACTCATCATATTCTTCCTGAAACAGAAATCCAGACACAAAACTCTTCCAATTACGGAAACCATTAAACAGAATCCTCGAATAATAAGAAGTTAAACTTGTAAAATGACTGTGATACCGCTTTTCGAACCTCATAAAATTAGAATCCAAGTATGATAACGTGGCAGGCAAAAGAATTATGAAGTCCTCATCTGAAAGAGCATAGTCATGGGTTCCCATCAGATTGCTGGTAACAAGTGAATCCTTGTTCACAATACCTAAAAGTAAGTTCCCAAATACCAATAAATGCAGAGAGCTCATCTTGGTGATTAGAAACAGAAGTTTAGCTTTCGTCATGTTTGTCCTGCGAACACAGTGAGATATCATTCTTATAGGAGTCCTCATTATGATCCTTGAAATTACCAAGCACAATGGATGAAGATAATTGTGCTGCAGATAATTCTGACTGTAAATGGCTTTAACCGCTTTGAGCAAACAAGTATCTGCAATATATGAATCAAAATTAGTCGCAAACTTGCATACTTCAACATAGATTTCCTCGACACAGTTCACATCAAAAGTTCTCTCTTCAATGTCCCAAAGCAAATCATACAATACTCTCTTCATAATCGGCTGCTGAAAGTAATTAGACAGAGCTTCAAAAGCACCACCAGCAATGCAAAATCCAACAGAAAGAATAGACACATCCCAAGATTTGCAAAGGGAAAGATCTTTCATGTTAACTCTACCAAACATCCAATGTACTAATTCAAGAAGTTCAAAAGGCGATATAAACCTTATCAAAGCATGTAAAGCATAAAATTTTGGAAGGAGGGGTAATACATCTTTAGTTGCAATGCAAAATTCAAACTTGTCTCTAAGTTCCAGAAAAAGCCTTTGTACCAGGGCATTGAAAGCCTTAACAAGTGGCTTGTTCAGACCACCTTCAACTTTGAGTATAGAGTCTTGGCCAGTGAATGAAGACAGCAAGAAGTCAGAAGTTGTTGTCAACACATCTAGGACATGATGATCTATTTTATGAACTTTTTCCTGAGATAAAATCAACAAAGTCTCAAAACTGTGCCCTAAATTTCCCTTTGTCAGTTCCTCAGTACAGCTCAAAGGAAAGGTCAATGAAGCTAACACTACAGGATGGTGGAATACTGTTTCAGCCATTTCTTGAACTTTCTCTGCTGACAAATGAAACCCAGCATCCGTGGAACATCCAGAAAATTGAGCAAAAACATGCTTTACAAAAATTAAGCAAATTTCAGAAAGTTGCTGAAGTTCTGCAATAGATTCAGTTTTATAAGATAATTGTATCTGATGAAGCCAAAATAGCACAAGTCGCAGATAGGGAATGAGGCAATCACTTGTCCACTCTGATACTTTAGCCAAAAGCAAGTCTTTTATTTTCAAGGGCTCCAATAGGTTAAGAACATCAACTCTCATAATTGCAGGAAATAACACATGGAAAGGTGCCTGCTTCAGAAAGAAACTAAATGCACCAGCAGCAGACTCAGTTGCCTCAAAGTCAATGTCACACTGCATTTCTTCAGCTAATAAAGAATGAGAGGCAATTCCACAGGCATCAACTTTTCCGACTTCATGATAAATCCTGGTGATTGCCTTTTCCAGACCAGGGAAAAAAATTTCAGGCCACATTTTAGAAACACTGGCAAGAAAGCTTGAATCAAGAAAGATTATTGATGTTAATAAGGAGAATGGAACTCCAAGAAGATTCTGAGAAATGGCCATCACTGATGGAAAATTCTTCAATAATTCATCAGGTGACATACACAACATTGTAGAAGAGAAGGCTTTGATAATGCCAGCTATTTCAACACTGTGCCCACAGCTTACAATTTTTTTTACTTCACCAAGTGTATTTGAAAAAGAGTTATCAGAAGGCATAACTTTTTTGTCAATAGAAAACATGCAACAAGTCTGTTGATGTGATATACTTTGTGAAAAAAGTAACAAATTCTTCAAGGGCCTCCACTCACATAAGCAATCCCCAGAGTCATCATCTATAGAACGGCGATCCAATAGTCCCTCAGACAAATTTGATTCAATCAAAGCAGATAATGATACCACATCTACCTATCAAAATTCAGTTCTCTTATTATCTCACATAAAAGCAGCTTGCAATTATAACCTAAAACAGAAAATGTTTACCTGAGTTTGCAAGAGATATTTCAATGTATTGCTCACGTATAACGAAATCATAGACTTCTCAGGCAATGAAAATGTTCCAGATTCAGAATTGAGAATTCTTAGACACTTCTGCAGCACACATACGATAAGGGGGCTGAAATCAGGTGAAACACCTGTTACAAAAGGAGAAATCAGCACAGAAAATAATACCTGTATCATAAATTTTGTAAGAAGTAAAAAAACTGAACAAAAGATAAGATTCTCTTTCACATTAATCTTAAAAGGCAAGTTCTGCTATTAAAATCATAAAAAACATGGCCAGCAAAAGCACAAAGATGAATTCTTACTCTAAAACCTTTTCTTCAACAAAATGTTCAAAGAGAAGTATTTATCGATAAAAAGAAAAAAAAAAAACACACAAATGGTGATTACAGAGGATAAAACAAAATACTGGTCCTGAGTCATGCACCAATGGCATATCTATAGATAGCAGTTGGTACCCCCTCATATGGACACACAGATTTTTTCTTCCAAATGCCCATTTGATCTAATTAGGTGCAACACGCACTCTGTCACGAAAGAACACAAGTTTCAGATAACTGAACGGAAAATAAGAATTTTTTTTTTTGCAGCAATAGAACTCTTCAACTAGTTGAACAAACACTATAAGAAGCAAAAATTTCCCAGTGATCTTGACAACAATTTCAAGATTGAAAATTCATCAGGCCACACCCAACCGAACAGGACATCAATAAAAACATGGAAGTAAGAAGTAGCAGGAGTTGAAGAAAGTATAAACATGCAGTATCTTCTCTAGAAGCACAAATCCAACTCACAAAGCAGCCAACGAAAATTAAGTGTGTTCATGTGACATAAAAATGAAATAAAATTTAAAAATAAATAAATAAAAAGCATATGAATAACTTTTTACCTTTAAAACTTTTCAAATGGATAGTATGTTTCTCAACAATAGCCCAATATTTGAATAAATTATTCCCTACCGTAGAAATGGCATCACAGAGGAATGAGATAACAACTCGAGACAAGCTCTGCAGCACCACTACCCCTTGTTCCTCAGTGTAGCATTTATTTCTACTATAACCAGGCAAAAACAAGAACCATGCACTAATTTCATGTATGTTTCTGTCAAATGCACCAGTTCTGAACACGGCTGCTTGTGCCAGATTAAATGCGTGATCCTTTATCTCACTGATTGGTGAAAAAATTAACAAGTTAATAAATGACTGCAGATGTTTGTACATCAATGGTGGGGCTCTGATTGGAAGCCCACTCCTTGGAGAGCATTCAATATATTCGACTAAGAGAGAAAGAAGAGAACTCTGCAGATTAGTTGTTACAGCTAAAGGATCACTCAGAAGATTCACAAAAAAATCAAATGATCCCTCCAACACTGTGGGCATCATTCGCTGACAAAATAAAAATTATTGTTAGTGACTTATTGATGTTAGAATCATATAAAACTGCAAAAAATCCATCTTATTAGTCATTTAAAAAAATAAGATGCATAAATAAAGTAGAGGTTAGCAACAAACAAGAGGCAAAGAATTAAAACTCACAATATAAATTTTAAGAGCATCAAGAAGCTTAGAGAGGAAGATAATGTCTGCATCACTCAGAGCAACAGGCCCAGAGCATTGGTCCAAACCCCAAATTTCAGAAATTACATTCATAAAATCTTTTTCATGGTCCAACTCATCTGTTTTTAGTGTGTCTACCATTCTTTCCCTGTCCTTAGATGGATCAATTTGAGGATCAGAATTTATCCCACCCACAATAATATCTGTATCCTCATCCATAACATCTGTTTTCATTTTCTTCGCATCTTTGTTGCTGCATTCAAGAAGATATGATGATTCTGCTTTTCTCTTGGAATGTGAGTCAAAAGTTCTATTTTGACTACTTTGTAGAGAAAATAGAGTAAGTAAAACTTGTGGATCAGGCAGCAAAATTCGGACTGCATTCTGAACTTCTTGAATAAGAGATGTCCAACTCTGCATCATTTGATTGCTAGAACAAGAACTACGATGTAAAACACTTATGAAGGAATCTAACAACTTCAGTGCCTCCAAAAGAAGCCTTAGAGTTCCATGCTTCACAAGAAAATCAGAATGAAGCAATCCCTTATTGATTACGGATCGGCTGAATGGACGAGGACATATGCAATTCAAGACACTCTGCACATTAACATCATTAAAAGAAGGTGGATCATGGAACTGAGAATCAAGGAAATCAAATGAAAAGCCCATGCCCACTGTGGAAACCAAGTTTGCTGCCAGAGAAACATTAGCAAACCTGCAAAAGCTTCAGTCACCACTTGTACATACAAGAATACAGGAATAATACAAATTAAACGAACAATCAGAGGAAAGATCACATAAAATATGCAGTTGTGTTGGAAAACTAACCAGGTAGGAGACGAATAATCTTCAAGGTTGTAAGGGAATTCATCCATGTATGCTGAACCTAGGGATGGTTTGCCTTGAAGTATTGCCAAAAGCAAGTCTCTGTGATAGCTTATCTCTGTCGCTTTTAGCTTCTTCATAAGCCCCAGTAATCTCTTCGGATTACCCCTTAATGGATTTGGGCGTCTCTTCAAGTCTGGCATCAAGCCATTGCAAGGATCAGTACAAACCATTACTAGAACACGGTATGCCAACTCTGCAGCAGCAGCACCACCATTCTCTCTCCCACAGATGCTGACTAACTGTTCTAAAGTAACACTTCCAAATAGAACACTCCGGAGACCTGGGGGCACCAATGACTCTTCCGTCAAGACCCTATTCTGTAAGGTAGACAAAACATAAATAACAATCTCAACTTCATCATTCCCAAGCCCGCGAAGCACACCAGAAAACATTTCTCTCTGCTGCAAGATCCATCTCAACAAGCCTGGCTTCCCCACCTCCAAAAACGACATCGCAAACCTAACAAATGACTTCCTTGTCAAGTGCTTTCTTTTCTTGTCACCCCCCTTCTGTTTATACTCCGAAAGCTTGGAAAATACTGGAAGCTTGAAATCAAAGTTTTTTGCAACCTCAGAAGCCAACCCTGAACCACGCCTGACAATTGAAGCCATTAGCAAAAGTGAAGCATTCTGGCGCTTCCCTTCTTTACTAATCAATTCCTTATATACATCACCCATCTTTTCATCAATTATCATTCTAGCGAACTTGTCAATAGCCCTACTAGTACCAACTCTCTCCTTATCGTTTGGTTTATACAATCCATGAGGATGACTAAGAATAGCACATATTAATGAAAAAATATATGACATTCCCGGCTTTCCTTGTCGAAGCTTCCATGCTTCCATAAGCTCCGAGAAACTATTAGACGTGTGTACATACAACCTCAACAATTCACCTCCAGAATCTCCTTTCAGAAGTTTAATAAACTCCTTTGCAGCATGTGAACATATCTTAATTTCTATGGTGTTTAAACTATGCAGCAGTTCTTTAAGTTTAACTTCATGGCTAGCTTTGAAAACAAGTTTTGGTGTTTCTTCTATCTCCACCTCACTCTCATCATCATCATCCAACATAACTGCAACTGAATTATAAACACAATTAAGCAAATTATTACGAAAAGGGAGAGACAACCAAAGTTCACAACTAAAAGTAAAAAATTTTAAATCTTATTGAACAAACCCAAAAAACAAAAACAAATATTTAAAATTTGTTTCTCATTAAATCAACATAAACTAATCAATTTCAGTTTGAAAAAAGAAGAAGAAGAGCTTTTTGGGAGAAACTGGATTTTTCAAAAAGAGGAAACAAAAATTGGACCTTTATCACCGGAGTGTGAGCTGAGTTCGTCCATTGAAGAGTGAAGAAAGATTGTTGAACATGTAGGGCTTTGGAGAATTAATAGGGTTTAAGGACAGGGTGTTGGGGGAGGTTTTGCAGAGTTATTTAGGTGTGTTTGGATGCTAGACGAGCTGTATCCCCGTCGGGGATCAGAATTTCCTACTTCGTGAATCGTGATAATGGAATTCTTATTCTCACTTAAGGATAATTTTGTCTTTCCATTATAAATTCAACCTGTCTCAAACTCGGATGCCTTACTGGGCCGAAGCCCAAAAAGAGCTAGAAAAGAGCCAAGCTTCGGCCCAACAACATCTACAAACGGGCCAAGATCNGAATTTCCCACTTCGTGAATCGTGATAATGGAATTCTTATTCTCACTTAAGGATAATTTTGTCTTTCCATTATAAATTCAACCTGTCCCAAACTCGGATGCCTTACTGGGCCTAAGCCCAAAAAGAGCTAGAAAAGAGCCAAGCTTCGGCCCAACAACATCTACAAACGGGCCAAGATCCGGCCCGGCCACTTAACCGCTCTGTCTAGCAAAACCCGTTACTAATTTCAGCGGCAAATTCTGATAAAATCCTTAAACCCTAACCCAACACTCCATCACCTTCTCTGCACATAAAACCTCCAAACAATCACCGTTCCTTGTCATCCACCGCTCCAAACATGAAGAAACCGAAGCAAAAACCAAACAGCAAGACAGTTCGTATGAACGAAGTCGAAGAAATCGAAACCCTGAACTCATGGATCGACTCTCAGAAGCCGGACTCGGGGACCAATCCTTTATCGTTTCCGCCGCTCGATAAAAAAGCACCCGTCGGGCGGATTGGTGAGAACGAGTTCTCGGCGTACGCGGGGTCCACGAGATTCGATCAATTGCCCATATCAAGGAGGACCAAAAATGGGCTAAAAGAAGCTGGCTTTGTGAAAATGACTGATATACAAAGAGCTGCTTTGCCGCATTCATTGTGTGGGAGAGATATTTTGGGAGCAGCCAAAACTGGGTCCGGAAAAACTTTAGGTTTTGTAATTCCGGTAAGTGTGTTTTTTAGTTGCGGGGTGGTCGAATTTTACTTATTTATTTATCAAATTTTTGTTTTGGGTTATGGTTTTGGTGGTTGTGTATAGATAAATAGCGTTCAAATGGTTAACTTTTAATTTTTTTTTAGTGGGAAAGTTAATCTGTTATTTGTGAATTATGAATAATTTGTTATTTGTGAATTATAAAAAGTAATTCGTTTGGTTAATCAGGGAAAGGAACTTACCAGTGCTATATTTTGTTGCTTGTTTCAGATTTTGGAGAAGTTGTATAGAGAGAGATGGGGTCCCGAGGATGGTGTAGGCAGTATTATAATATCTCCTACTAGGGAATTAGCTGATCAACTATTTGATGTATTGAAAGCTGTTGGAAAGTACCATAATTTTAGTGCTGGCCTTTTAATTGGTGGTCGCAAAGATGTTGATACAGAGAAGGAGCGTGTAAACGAGCTGAACATATTGGTGTGCACCCCTGGTCGGCTCCTTCAGCACATGGATGAGACACCAAACTTTGAATGTTCACAGCTTCAGGTCAAAATAATGTTCTTCCCTTTTGGTATCGGTCCTTAAGTTTATTTCTTTGCTAGTTGTCATTTCTCAACAGAAATAGTGTCTTACAATTTAGATTCGCCAGCATGATTCTCATTCTGATGTTCACTTCTAGAGTCTAGATTTGTCTAATTTTACCTCTCTGCAAACTTTGTGGTTGTATTTTTCAAACCATTTTCAGTTCTCCTTGGCATGTAGTTGTTGTCATCCCTTGCGCCATGTGTGTGTGTGTGTGTGTGTGTGTGCTGATTTGGATGGAACTTACTGGCCAGGAAACAGGTTTTGGTGCTTGATGAGGCAGATCGTATTCTTGATGTTGGCTTCAAGAAGACTTTAAATGCAATTGTCTCACAGCTACCAAGACACAGACAGACTTTTCTTTTTTCTGCTACTCAAACAAAGTCTGTTCAGGATCTTGCAAGACTCAGCTTAAAGGACCCTGAGTATCTCAGTGTGCACGAGGAGTCTGTGACAGCTACTCCTAATCACTTGCAGCAGACTGCAATGATCGTTCCTCTTGACCAAAAGCTGGACATGTTGTGGAGTTTCATAAAGGCACACCTTAATTCAAAGATTCTTGTGTTTCTTTCAAGCTGCAAACAGGTAATTTGATGTCATTCATTTTTGTTTAAAATGATATACTTGGTTAAGGTAATTTCATTGTCTTATTGATGAACATACACAACATGAGTTTCTTTAGTTTGGTAGCCTAATAGTTGCTTGAATTTATCAAGTAGTGTCACTGTTATTTCACGTCATGTCCTTCATTTTGTTCTCATTTAAATTTTACTCATTTGTTCCCCTTTTCTCTCTCTTTTTTTCTTAAGCTTATCTTTGACGATGATGATAATGGAGAATTTTACACTTTACTAGGTAAAATTTGTCTTTGAAGCATTTAAGAAATTGCGTCCTGGTATACCTTTGAAGTGTCTTCATGGTAGGATGAAGCAGCAGAGAAGAATGGGAATATATTCCCAGTTCTGTGAGAAGCGTTCAGTTCTTTTCTCTACAGATGTGGCCTCAAGAGGTCTTGATTTTAATAAGGCAGTTGACTGGGTTGTCCAGGTGAGATATTTACTTGTTCAAGGAAGAAACATCTGTTTTAGGCCATATATGAACATCGTAGTTTTGTCTTAGATCAATTTTTTTTTCCTTTGTCTTTTAGGTGGATTGTCCAGAAGATGTTGCATCCTACATACACCGAGTTGGTCGAACTGCTCGCTATAATTCTGGTGGGAGGTCGGTTTTATTTCTAATGCCTTCAGAGATGAAAATGCTTGAAAATTTGCGAGAAGCAAAAATACCCATACAGNTGTGTGTGTGTGTGTGTGTGTGCTGATTTGGATGGAACTTACTGGCCAGGAAACAGGTTTTGGTGCTTGATGAGGCAGATCGTATTCTTGATGTTGGCTTCAAGAAGACTTTAAATGCAATTGTCTCACAGCTACCAAGACACAGACAGACTTTTCTTTTTTCTGCTACTCAAACAAAGTCTGTTCAGGATCTTGCAAGACTCAGCTTAAAGGACCCTGAGTATCTCAGTGTGCACGAGGAGTCTGTGACAGCTACTCCTAATCACTTGCAGCAGACTGCAATGATCGTTCCTCTTGACCAAAAGCTGGACATGTTGTGGAGTTTCATAAAGGCACACCTTAATTCAAAGATTCTTGTGTTTCTTTCAAGCTGCAAACAGGTAATTTGATGTCATTCATTTTTGTTTAAAATGATATACTTGGTTAAGGTAATTTCATTGTCTTATTGATGAACATACACAACATGAGTTTCTTTAGTTTGGTAGCCTAATAGTTGCTTGAATTTATCAAGTAGTGTCACTGTTATTTCACGTCATGTCCTTCATTTTGTTCTCATTTAAATTTTACTCATTTGTTCCCCTTTTCTCTCTCTTTTTTTCTTAAGCTTATCTTTGACGATGATGATAATGGAGAATTTTACACTTTACTAGGTAAAATTTGTCTTTGAAGCATTTAAGAAATTGCGTCCTGGTATACCTTTGAAGTGTCTTCATGGTAGGATGAAGCAGCAGAGAAGAATGGGAATATATTCCCAGTTCTGTGAGAAGCGTTCAGTTCTTTTCTCTACAGATGTGGCCTCAAGAGGTCTTGATTTTAATAAGGCAGTTGACTGGGTTGTCCAGGTGAGATATTTACTTGTTCAAGGAAGAAACATCTGTTTTAGGCCATATATGAACATCGTAGTTTTGTCTTAGATCAATTTTTTTTTCCTTTGTCTTTTAGGTGGATTGTCCAGAAGATGCTGCATCCTACATACACCGAGTTGGTCGAACTGCTCGCTATAATTCTGGTGGGAGGTCGGTTTTATTTCTAATGCCTTCAGAGATGAAAATGCTTGAAAATTTGCGAGAAGCAAAAATACCCATACAGTTTACTAAGGTAGGTTATTAATTCCTTTTTTTTTTTCCTGTTACCATTTGGATGGTTAAGTAACCTGGTTGGTATTGTAATCAAAACCTTGGCCTTATAATTGAAGGCTTTAACTTTGTATTCATCATGTCAAGTGATCATATCTGCATGACCTTTCATATACTGACCTTGGAGAATCCATGCTTTTTCAGGCAAACACGAAAAGGCTGCAACCAGTTTCTGGATTGTTGTCAGCTTTACTTGTCAAATATCCAGATATGCAGCAGCTGGCACAAAGGGCCTTCATCACATATATACGGTCTATTCACATTCAAAAGGATAAAGAGGTTTTTGATGTTATGAAACTTTCTATCGATGAATTTTCAGCCTCGTTGGGTCTTCCTATGACCCCAAAAATCCGATTTCTGAACCAAAAGATGAAGGAAAAAAAGTTGCTCGAAAGACCTCCAGTTCTTGAACTAGAAAATGATGATGAGGATGCATCAGCGATTCCCAAAGAGGAGCTGCTTATCGATGATTCCATTGAAGATAAGGTGGAGAAGGATATTCTTCTGACGAAGGACAACGAGTATGAGGGGAAAGCTAGCTTGATAGAAGACATTATGTATGCTTCTTTCCTAGAATGTTTTCTTTAGAAATTAAACATAAAGATGGCCTTGCAAAAAATGCTGGTGGGCTGAACAGCTAATTCTGATTGCAGAATGGCTAATCATTCCCCCAAAATATATATGATTTGACATAGCATCTCCAGCTAGAATTTTTCCCATTTTGTGGATATATCATTGGAACGAACCTTAAATCTCACTCTTTCACCTTTTTTGCTGTATTATTGATGTAATTTGAGTTTTTTTTTTTTTTCCCCTTCAGACCAGCAACTAGGATTTTGAAGAAAAAGAAGTTGAAGATAAACGTCCATAGACCTGTGGGGACCAGGGTTGTCTTTGATGAGGAAGGCAACACACTACCTCCACTTGCAATGGTGGCTGACCCCAAAAGTGGCAACTTCCCACTTGATCCAGGTATGTTTAGCCATTTTGGTTTATGTAACTAATCTCATTTTTCCAGGTATAAATGAGCTTGAATGACCACAAAAGAATTTATTGGATAAGGAGGCTATCAGCTTTTGAAACCATTTAATTATAATTGGAAAATGGGACTGAAACCTAGTCTCGTCTCTCTACTTAAATCCTTTTAATGTTGATGCACCTTATGTTCCATGTTTTGCAGACCAAAAATCCGAGTACTATAGGAAACTAAGAGAAGATATGAAGCGTGCTGACAAGGAAGACAAGCTTCTTGATCGCCAGCGTCGTAGGGAGAAACGAGTGAAGCAGAAGATGAAGTGGAAGAAAGGGGACATGGAAGAAGAAGATGAAGATGGTCTCTCTGGGTCAGAAGAAGAAATGGAGCATGGAAGAAGGAAAAGGTCAAAGATATACTTTGATAGTGGAAGTGATAATGATAATGACAATGAAGATGGTGAGACAAAAGAAAACAAAACCAGCAAAGATTCCAAAGGTGATTCTATTACTCTGGAAGAGCAAGAAGCACTGGCTCTTAAGTTGTTGAACTCACTGCACTCATAATTTTGAGCTTGTACAAGTTTTTTGTTGTGAAACTTTGTTGCCAGAAAACATGTTCTGGTTTTTAAGCTGCGGTATTAGTTGTAGAATATTGAGTATTCGGAAATGTTATGCTGGCAACTTTTGTTTTGCATGAATCAACATTTAAATGAAGTAACAATGTTGTTTTATCAGTATTATTTACACAAGGCAAAAAGAATAGATTATGAGCTCTCGTTAAACAAGCACTTATAGATGAATTGCTGAAGTGGAATTCAATTGTACCTATAAATTGTAAGTTTATGATATGAACCTACGCCAAGTAATCTGAGAATGACAGTCTGGAGAAAGTATTAGACATCATTATTCCTAAAATAAAAATGTCATTTTGATTTTAATGGTTAACTGTCTGTCAACCCATGGGAAACTTTGGATTACATTTAACCCCTTAAAATTATCATTTGTCCCCTTTGAGATTATCATTAACCTATTGAAAATGTGTAAAGAAAAGGGTTTTTCTAGTTAGACAAATAGAATTATCTAAGCATTTTCTTTAAACAAATATAGAACTCGAATGGATGGTTTTTCTGTCTATTATTAGTTCTTTCTCGAGTTGAGATTAAGCATTTAGATAGATGGTGATAAACTAATGAGTTAAGATATCGAAAAGTTATCTATCGAACAATACATTTATTGATCTATTAACAACAAATAGATCTGTGTCAAAGAAATCATTAATGTGTTAAGAGAAATTGGTACAAGAATCCGTTAATACAATTATAGATAAGGGAATCTGGGGACAACCAACAAGGGATGGTTGTAAGAGTTTGTTTTATAATTCACTATCTCTTAGGGTTGAAAATAATTGTGCATAAATTTAACTATGTATGGATGATTATATAATAACTTTAATTTAAAACACTAAACTCCAAACAGCTAAAGGATGTAGCTTAGATGGTATAACGCTCACTTTGCATGCGAGAGATACGGGATCAATTCCTTGCATCAATGTTTTAAAAATCGACCCTGGGAAGAAAGGTTGAACAGGTCTAATTGATGGATCAGACTGATGACCTCAGCATGTCTAGAGGTTTGAAATCCAGCAAACATATCCCTGAGAAATTCCATTAGTCCCTATAAGTTTGAAATACAGTAAACACATCCTTGTGATCTGGCCAAATGCAAATTAACAATTGGCTGGTTGGCGACAGCAACACACCAAATGCAAATCTCACTCGTGCTTTGAGTCATTCCCCAGTAGACCCGCCCAAGATCTGGTCAAAATCAAACCATTTTCCACACAAAAAACACTACCCCACATAACTGCCAACCCAAGCCAAATAGGCATATTTTTTACATCTATAATCGCCCCCCATCACCACTAAAACACTTCACTCAGCCTCTTAACCAAAACTCATCTCATCCCTTTGTTCGCCCCGCCAATCGTCGGCAACAATCCGTTGTTTTGGCTACATGACTTTTGCCTTTTTCCGTCCTTTCACTCATCCAAAATCACCTCTACCGCCACCTTTTCGACACTTCCTCTCCAAAACCCCTAACAACCCCGCCACTGTCTGCTCATCGATTGTCGCTCTCCTCTTTAAGGTTTGTTTCTTCGTGAATTTGGAGTTTTAAACAGTGGATAGGGATGACCTGACCCAAAGAATGCCTCGGGTCCCAAATCAGTTGGGCCAAGCCGGTTAAAACAGTGCCCCACATCTTCAAGATCAATGGAGTTGCATTGAATATGATATGGTCACATGCACATGCACCCATACGCGATTATCACCTTTCCATAATTGAATCTGGAAAGCCCCTTCCATTTCTTATCTTTCACTCATGACTCAACTCAACAAATAAAAATAAATAATTAAAAAAAAAAAAAAAACAAGTAAATCTTAAGCACACCATCAGATCTATGTACACGGAAACCCCACGACGCGTTAACACGTACATCCACACGCGTCCTCATGACAACACTTCCATCTTTACACGTTGTCGTCAGCTCAACCGACACCCGTGTTCTATTTAAGCACTAGATCAGCAAGTGTATGTAGTTCGACACTATCTCATATATATATCTCTGTTTCTCTCTCATTCTCGGTCGCTAATTGTCAGGATGTCACAGTTTTTGGACAAAGCCAAGAACTTTGTGGCGGAGAAGGTGGTCAATAAAGAAGCCGGAGGCCAGCTTTGAAGACGTTGATTTGAAGAACGTCAGTCGTGAGTGTGTTGAGTATACATCTAAGGTCAACGTGGATAACCCCTATGACCATTCAATTCCCATCTGTGAAATCTCCTATACCTTCAAAAGTGCTGGCAGGTTTGTTTGATCCTTCGATCCATTATCTTCATTTAAATTCTTCACTTTCCTTCGAACAATATCTTCAGTTGAAAAGGTCAATATCTTTCTTTAAACATAAAACCTGAGTATAAACAAGTCTGCTACGTATATGGCAATTGGTAAAGAGTTTTTGCTTCATTTATGCATATCATATTAGTTCTTTATTACTTCAAATGATTTACCTTATGATCCAAAGTTTTGTGCTCTGTATATATATGCCATCTAGTTTGTAAATCCTTATGTTTTATTTTATCCCCTTTGTGTGCTTAGAATGTGTAAGGTGATAAAGAAGTGGTTAATGTGCAGGGTGATAGCATCAGGAACAATGCCGGACCCTGGATCACTGAAAGCAAGTGACAAGACATTGCTGGAGGTGCCAATGAAGGTGCCATACGGTATCATGGTGAGCTTGGCAAGGGACATCGGTGCAGATTGGGACATTGACTATGAGGCGGAGTTGGGTCTCACCATTGACCTTCCTATTATCGGAAACTTCACTATCCCTATCTCCAGGAAGGGGCAGATCAAGCTCCCTACACTCTCTGATATATTTTAGTTCTTATTATCTTCCCTTATGTTTCATAGTTATGATGAACATGTTAATATATAATCATCCTGTTCCTTCATCATGATGGGATGGAGACGTGGAATGTTTAATCATGCTTTGAGTTAATGAATACATCTTTTCATTTTAATCTGTTGAAATTGTCTTCAAAAATTTAATGAGCTATTATCTTCCTCCGGATACAAAAATTAAAATCATGAAAACTTATTGTATATTATTACCATTTATCAAGGAAATTTGACAGGCATTGTGGTCCAAAGAAACATGGTCGTGGGAATAAGTGGTCAAAACATATTATAAACAAAATTAGGAAAACAAATATAAAAAGCAAGAGGCAATGATAGAAGACATTATAAAAACTTAAAAGCACATCACAATAAGAAAAATTAAAAATAGCAAATGATTCACAAATAACATCAAGAGTAATGCAGCAGCTACAGCATCTTATCAATGAAAGCCTTTATATCATCTCTATGCCCATGTGTACTTCAACACACAACCCACTAGCAAACGCATTTTAAACTTACAAATTAAAATATTAAATTATAAAATAAGAAAAAAGGAAAGAGAACAAAATCATATTCTAACACCAAACACCACATCATTCGAAAACCATCGCACAAACGCATCCTAAAATTCAACTGATAACAGCAACCACCAACTTCAACATCTCAACATTAACTGATCACTGCACAAACCAAAAGCATAATAAGTAAATCAAAGACGATATTTTCCAGAAATGCTCTAAATAATCAGAAAATGAGCTTCGCAACCATGCCAGACACAACTCACCTGCTGTGGTTGTTGGTATGCCCCTGGCTGCTGGTAATTTCCATACCCAGGATAGCCCCCATAGTACATGTTCGGGTCTTGGGGAGGAGGCGCATATCCATAAGCCTCGTATCCTTGTGGATATCCATAGTATCCACCACCGTTCCATTGGGCTTGATCAGGCTGATCCTATGATAATGTATCAATGAACACTATTAGTTTGCCAAACATACAGGAACATGTGCTAAATGAAAAGACTGATCAAAAAATGGTTAATGGTTATTAAACCTGTTTGTTTGAAGGACTACGTCCCCATGAAAGTCGAATGTTCTGTCCTCCTAATTGGGTTCCATTCAACATTGACAAGGCTTGCTCCGCACAAGCTCTTAAGAACATCATAAGCAACACCAAAATAAGACGACAATATTGAACATAGGAAAAATAAAAAATCACAATTAGGAGTAATTCACTATTTACCTGTTAGCAAACTGTACAAAACCACAACGCTTGCCTACTGGAATTTTCACATGAACTAATTCACCATATTGACCAAAAACTGTTTTCAAAATATCATCTGTAACACTAGGATCCAAGCCTCCAACAAATATCTGCACTCAAGAAGGTGAAAACTTGAGTATCAATTAAAAAAAAAAAAAAAAGAATAGCATCAACATTAAGACAAACAACGCACTGTTGTATTATTTGGATCATTCTCGCCCTGGTTTCCTTGAGCATTCTGATAGGTAGCTGCAAATGACAAAGACATGTCAGGACAATAAAAAGTTCAAAGTTCTACGGATTTCTGTCCCACATGACTTGCACACCTGGGCATATAACTGGTCTGTCACATTGAAAACAATCAAACATGACAACGTTTCAATGGTATTTGGTGGAGAAACTCAAGGACATCACACTCCCACACAAATGACCAAATTGACGAAAAACATAATGTTTTTGTAACAAGCACCAAAACCAAACCTGATTTATATGGTGCAAGTCAATTCGAAATAACATCAATAGATAACATAAATAAAGAACCATGAGTAACCAACACAAACAATCTACAAAAGATGGGATTATTACACACCATGCACTACAATCATATGGATTTAGGCTTCCGTAAACAATTTACAAGATGTGATACACAAGTCATTCATCATAAAGTCTAAAAACAATGTAAAACACTTTCGAAAAAGTGAAAGCTCAAAAGAAAACAGTATAGGCATATTAAACAACTGAAATTTAACTGCTTCAACATACACAATGCTTTTTAAAAAAAAAAAAAAAAAATTGAAATAACTTGCAGAAACACTACTAAGATTCAGGTGAACAGTGATTTCATGTTTTAACTGAAAGTTAGATCAACCATACATTTGTAGAAATAAAACAAGCAACTATATATAAGCTAATGAAATAAATAAGTTGATGTTCAAGTCATTAGCTGTGGCTGGAAATGTTCCCAGAAGCAACAAAAGTAGCAAAGGAGATAAAAGAATAAAAAGGAAGCACAGTTAAACTGGAAATGAAACAAAACCTATCTAAGACAGAATGCGAGCAACGCAAATTAACATGAAAGCAACGCTATCCACGGCTGCTCCATGTGGCCTCCAGCTAGTTTTGTGTCAATTATCAAAGCTCAAAAACAAATTCGGGTTCTTTCTATAACATAAAGCACAATTTACAAATGGACAAAAAAATGAAAAGACAATGTAACTGTAAAGGAAATTGTTCCGCGAGAAATAAACAACACTTCTTCTGTATAAATAAAGAACTAAGGAAAAGAACAATATTGACTTCGGAAAAGGAATATAACTGGTAAGAGGAACTGGAAAAAGTAATTACGAATGTAGCACAATAAATGCCACGAGAAACTGAAGAAGCTTATGACGTAAACAAAATAACTGACCTAAATGAGGCCACGCATTAAAGTGGAATCATTTCATCCGAAATCAGTTCCAGGCCCCCCATAATGGAGCCTCTTGGTGTCCTGCTTTAAGACAACATGAGTTTTATATAAGTTTTTGCATGTTTCAATTGAATTAAATGAGCCCTAGTTTAGAAAGGCAATTATTGGAAGGAAATGACTTCGTAAATTCCGCATATCTTCAAGTGCTTAACTGAAAGAACGTGAATCTAGAACACTGTTTGACAAGTTCACCTTGAAAAAGTACACATAACCAAGAACATTCAACTTAACACTACAAAATAACCTAAATTTTTCATAATGTATGAGATGATAGTGAGAACAAACTCATAAACAAATCATAGCAGAAGTCAAACAGCTTTCTTGCTGCAATTACAGCAAATCATCATTCATAATACCAACTGCAACACATACCTTTCTGAAATTGCTGGCCACTAACAGGTTTCTTGGTAGCAGCTGGCCCAATCCTCATGGGCCTAGTAGAACAGAGCACTCCATTCATTTCGGTCATGGATCGCAGCTGTTCATTTTCATCACCAAACCTAACAAACCCATAGCCCTTAGAACGTCCAGTCGTCCTATCAGTGACAACTTTAGCACCCTTCACAGATGGATAGACACCTCTAAATGTTTCTTGCAACATGTAGTCAGTAACATCAGCGGCCAAATCCCCAACAAAAATTGTGTAATCAGGACCCTCATCTGGGCGCCTCTCACCAGCACCATAAGTTGCCCAATTTAGTCTGAAATTTTGCTCTGAGTTTGGCATTTGTGAGCCATTATAAGACTGCAAAACCCTCTCTGCTGCAGCATGACTCACAAACTCAATGAATCCATAACCCTCAGGAAAATTTGTTTGCTTGTTGCGGATGACCTTTGCTGAAATCACCTATAAGCAAACAAACATGTTTATAAGAAACAAGCATGAATCGTATAATACAAAAGGCTCATCCACATTAATTGAACGACCACTATTCAACAACATGCTAAACAAATCATGTCAATTACCTGTAACCCACATGCATAAACACAATACTTGCTAATACTTTTAAGTCTTATTCAAAAGCACAAATACCCACACAAATGCACAGTTTAAAGGGAGATAAATTTAGCAACCAAGTGACAAACAACAAAAGAAAATCCTCTAAATCACAAAAAAGGGTCACTATACAACACTAATTTGATTTTTATTTCGGTCCAGCAGATAATACTCCAACAATATTTCTTGTTATTATTTTTAAATTAAAATTTGTAATCAATTTAACTTCACACATATAATCTTCCACGTTATGAAACAAAACCAAAAAGAAAACATAAAACATAAAAAACCACATAAGATATCAATATTTTAATATATAATAATGAGCGTATATTTGTATACCTCTCCTGTATGAGCGAAGATGCCGATGAGATAATTTTCATCCATCCACTGCTGCAAGTCTCCGATCCACAACGACCGGATCCCGTCTGTAGCCGTATCAGGCGGGACGGCGTACTGCTGCTGAGAAGGCGGCGGGACGGGCTGCGGCGTCCATCCAGCTGGAGGCGGAACCGGCGGTTGTTGCTGTGGCGGCTGCTGGTAAGTCATCCACTGCTGCTGCTGGTACTGACCGCCCTGATCGGAGGTCGGCGGCGGCACCACCTGCGACGGTACTGGAGGAGGCTGTTGCATCATCGTTGAGGAAATAAAAAAAGAATTAAACTAAAAAAAATTTTAGTTTAAGATCCGGAAACGCGAGAGTAAGCCCTAGAAGCAAGGGTTATGTGTGAAAGAGAGACGAGAATTGCAATCGGGCCGCATATTTATATGTGAAAAGCATGAGGAACACGTGGAAGAAACTTATAGGTTGGGTTTGGGATAGGGTGAGTCGGTTGTCATTGGTTTGGGTGGGCGGTTTGGGTTTCGGTTTGTTATTGGACCGAACCACTGTTGGGCTGGGCCACGCCGGACCCAAAATAATTAGTTATTTAACCAAAGTTTTGTTATTTAATGAGGTTTTTTTTTTCCTTAAATAACTCTAATTAGGTATATTTATTTGTTATTAAAACTGTTATAAAAATTAAAAAATAATAAAAATAGTTTTACTATAAATAATAACAGTTATAACTATATTGAGTATTTATGTTTATAATATGAAAAATAGTTTCCAAATTTATATCTAAATTTTAATTTTTTAAAGTAATGTGAAATTAATTANGGTGGTTTGGGTTTCGGTTTGTTACTGGACCGAACCACTGTTGGGCTGGGCCACCCCAGACCCAAAATAATTAGTTATTTAACCAAAGTTTTGTTATTTAATGAGTTTTTTTTTTTCCTTAAATAACTCTAATTAGGTATATTTATTTGTTATTAAAACTGTTATAAAAATTAAAAAATAATAAAAATAGTTTTACTATAAATAATAACAGTTATAACTATATTGAGTATTTATGTTTATAATATGAAAAATAGTTTCCAAATTTATATCTAAATTTTAATTTTTTAAAGTAATGTGAAATTAATTATTGATTAATCATACATCATTTAATTTTATAATTAGTTATCTGCCCTTAAATAAAATATATTTATTATTTATTATAGTCATCTTGAACCTTCTTTATAGGCATGAGAAACCTCCTAAAGCTTGCTATAAAAGTTTCTCTTTAATATGTAGACAGAATCACAGAAAGGATGTATATGTAGTTATCCAAAACCTTGAAAGACTTAAGTGAAAATAACCTTCTCCCTCTTTTTTATAAAGAGAAAAGATACTAAAGGTCCAGTAAAATCAGAAAGTAACACCTAAATCCTTGTTAAATGTTAATTACAACTACTCCGAAGAATTTTTTGTAAATACATAAAACATCCCTAATCTACTTTTTCTTTTTTTATGATTAACATAATTTTCAAAAAAATTATTTTTTATAATCATGCTGCTTTTTTTTATATGGCTTATATTTGACAAGATTAAGGGTATATTAAACTCTTACAACCAAAAAAATTAATAAATAAATAGAGGGGAAATGAAAGGACTTGGTTGTTACTATCAGATTCTATTAGACCTGATGGATTTATACTAAATCTCAGGGACCAAAATGATTTAACTCTAAAATAAAATACAAAACTTACAGAGGGGTGTAAGTGTATCAGTTTAAAACTTGTGGGTATAACGAAAATAACTTGAAAAATAAGCTTCGAATAAAGACATTAAGACGTAGCTCCTTGCCTCCTCGTACCGTCTCCACTTCTCAGATCTCTCCTTCGATACAAACTCAAACGTCTCTGCAAAAGTAAACACTTTTGTAACGCAAAAGCTTCAGAAGCAACACAAATTCTTCTATTCAATCCCTAAAAAGAAAAGGGAGGAGAAATAAAATAATAATAATAATAATAAAAAAAAAAAAAACAGAGATGGGCTACAAGAACAGAACAGAACAGGAAACCAATAACTCTTCTTCGTTGAGTGAAGCCTTGCTTTTTGCTACTATGTGTATCATTGGCCTCCCTGTTGATGTCCACGTCAAGGACGGTTCTGTTTACTCTGGAATCTTCTACACTGCTTCTGTTGAAAAGGACTACGGTGTGTTTTTGTTTATTTAATCAAATTTGAAGTTTATGTGTCAGTTTTTCAGCTGTGTTTTCAGGTTTTTGGAATTGTTTCTGGGAAATTTTCGTTTTGTGAAATTGTATCTGGGATTTGTTTTTTTTCGTGGGGAAATGTATCCGGGTTTTGGTTCTAATGTGTTATAGTGGTGATCTTGTTATTATGGCTAGGATCGGATTTGATTTTCATTTTCTGTTGATTTATTTCAATAGTATTTATGATTGTCTTCTAAATTGGTATTTCCTTTTAATATTTGATTTTCATTTTTATTATGAACATTTACCATTCAATAGGAACTGAGAAGATAGAATTTGTAAATGCAATGATCCTGATGATATATGACATGGTCTAGCTGAGTTTTTTAACTTTTTTGGAAGAAAAAATTATTAAAGCGGAGATTTGTTTTGGAGTAATGTTTTCTGATGGCATATAATTTGTTTCTTATGTAGAATATTGAGTGAGTTTTACTGAATTAGTTTGTGGTTGGTTAAGGCATTGTTTTGAAGAAAGCAAAAATGACCAGAAGGGGAAAAAGTAATGCAAATGTAGCATACGGGGCTGTAGTGGAAACACTTGTAATTCTCTCTGGCGATCTTGTTCAAGTTGTTGCAAAGGTATATCGCTCCTCTGTTCCTCCTTTCTTTTTCAGATATATTTAGAACTCTTGTTATATGTTTGTTTTTCTTTTTAACAATCTGCTTTACATACATTTGGGGTTGTGTGCACAGGGAGTTAAGCTTCCTCCTGATGGCGTTGCTGGTAGTTTTGCTGGTGAGAATCTAGAAGTTGTTTCAGGGACTGTGTCCTATTCTGAGGGTCAAATAAGTGAGGCAAAAAAATCTTATAGGTTTGGCATGAATAAACGGCGTAATCACAAAAGGTAAAAGCTTTGCTTCTGTTTCATGCTATATACTTGTGAGATTGATGCTCTTTAACAAAGTTGCCTGCAATTGATGGTTATTTGAGGGCAATGGTTGGAATTGCTAAATAGAGTTATTTTGATGTATTTTATGAAGCTGGTTGTGCCTATCAAAAAAATAAAGTTCAGATGCCTTGTGTACTAATAAAGTTCAGATGCCTTCTGTACTAATATGTTTAACAATGGAAGCAGGAACTCAGATCACTATGAGAATGGTTTTCTCCATGGTGATGTGGCCACAAAAGCTGAGGTGGATAATGAAGGGAAAAGATTGCCATTGAATCATGTAAGGAATGCCATAGAAGTTGATAATGCGAAAAAAGTTGGGATAAATGTGGCAAAGGTAACTGCTATACATCTGTATATTTTGCACAAACATTGAGGTCCACAAACAGATATACGGTAAACTATTTCTGGGTCTAGTATTGGAAGAGGCGTTAAAAACTTGCGTTACCTTACATATATATTTAAGCAAATGTATATCAAGGATGATAGTCCTTCAACAGAAAGCTATACATCCTATTATAAGCATCCAATTATAAAGACAATGATCTAGAAGGTCTAGCACAACAAAGTTATTATAATTTTAAAATAAAAAAGGGAACTTTTTTCTCTTTTATGTGTTGTTCATTTCTTTATCTTCCCCCTCAATGCAGATTGAAGAAGCTTCTTGTGACACAGTTAATGGGAGGTATGATTTATCAACTTTCTGCTTATTTTAATTCTATGTCTTGGGATTGCTATTTTGATTTCCTGAACAGTTTTGGGTCTTAGCTTCGGATAAAACATCTACCTATTTTCAGTATGTTTCAAGTTCTCTCCACAATTATTCTACACAACAAGTAGCCATATCTTTGTTGGAAATAGACAGATTGGTGGCCATCATGTCATATCTTGTTAAATCCCTTGTGACTGATCTTCACCACTGTTGTTGCTCAGCTGTTTAGAATATATTTTCCCCCATTTCTATATTTATATATCTTTCTCATCCTTAGCATCCTGTGATTTGTTTTGCTGACAGACAGGCTCGAGATGCTCCCACACAGGTGCTTGAGCTTCACGAAGAGAATGTATGTTGATTCTAGCTGATTCTTTTTATTCATTTGGATTTGGTCCTGTAGTGTTTGATGCTATATTCACTGGTTCATTATGATTGTTTTCTGCAGGCTGATGAAGTTCAAGGATCAAATTCAAACTGTGAGTTTGATATCCTTGGTCATCTTAGCACAATCCAAAATTATTTCTTAAGTAGAAGTTCCATAGTGTTTCATTGATACTGGGGTTCCGACCACCATTATGTTAGCTTCTAATTACAGAATTCAACACATTCAAGAACTCTTGTTATCTCTGAGTTCTTTGACCATGTAACCATTGCTTATTGGTGTTGAGTGTAATGGGATTTTAGCAACCACTTGCAATCATCTGATTTATGATTGATTTTGTCATAATTGTTTAATACTTTATGTGCAGTGGATCCCTCTCATGCCCAAGTGATACCTGTAGAGGAAGACCATTCAAAGATGACACTCACACAGCTTAATGGTGTATCTCATGACCCTGCTTATGCACGTGCCAAACCAATTGATCAATGTTGTGAAAGACCCACTTCATCTGATACTTCTTCTTCAGATGTTACTTGTTCAAATGTTTCAACTTCATTGAATCCAGTTGCTGATGTTACATCAGCAGCTTCAACTGAAATGGTCCCTCCACAAAGTTCACAGTCCAATAAAGTCTCCAAGGTAGGTTATATATTTGGAAGGACAACCCATTTGATGTTAATTCAATTTTCAGGTTCTGAATTTGGTGATTATTTTGACATAAGTCTTTGTTTTAGGAATTTAAGCTTAATCCAGGAGCAAAGATCTTCTCACCATCATTTGCAAATCCATTATCAGCTACTACTCCTGCAGTACCAGTGGTTGCAAGTACGCCATACATTCCGAGCAACTCTCCTGTTGTACCTGTTGCTGCTGCTCAGTCAGAAGTTGGAATGAGCCTTTATGTGCCTCATTCATCTGTGCCTGCTAAGTTTGTACCATATGGTAACTTGGCAGTTGGAAATGGTGGCAGTGCTGCTCAATTTTCCCAACCTGTGTGTACTATCCAACTTTATTATGTACTTATGTTCACATTTCTTGAGGTTTTATTGTGAGACTAATGCAACCTCTGCTTCTCGGAGCTCAAATCGCTCTCATATCTTCTCATTTTATTACTATTTTTCTTGCAACCAACCAACATAATGATAACTGTACACATGCAATATTTGAGGGTGCCCAAAGATAAACTTTGTAGGAGTGCTTGAACATTGTGCTTGGTCAGTACTATTGCATACTACATTTGATATTATGAAATGGACATGCTTTACTTAGAATGGTTAACTTGCTTTGCCTATACTAGAAATTTGTTCATGCATCAAATTAGTTTTCACTTCAGAGTTTCATTTTATCTCGGACTCCCAATTTGAACTAGTGATGGAAACATATCTATATGGAATAAGCTTGCAGCATCATACTTCATATGTTATGTCATCTGTCCAAGGCTGGCAGTGTTTGCATATTTAAGTGTATGTATAGATTATGCAATTAATTGACCGAGTTCCTTTCTGCCTATAGCTTGTCGGACATGTTGGAAGCCGGACACAACCAGTTAGATATGCGGGTCAGTTTCCTGTTCAGGCTGGACCTGCATATGTACATCCAAATTCTCAAACTGTAAGTAGTTGGGAGGATTTCATCTGCCATCTTTGTTGCATTTCAGTTCTAGTGCTTTTGAGTTTCTGTCACTATATAGGGGGGCATTTAGATATTATCTACTTATGAATGATACTGATCTCTCTCTCTCTCTCTCTCTTTAGGTTATGGTTGGAAGAGTAGGGGGACAGCTTCTCTATTTGCAGCCAGTTTCCAATGTAAGATAACAGTGCCAGCAAAATAATAAAACTGCATGGTTAAATTTCTCAGATGTTTGAGAGTTCCAATTATCTTCATTACATGTAGATGCTCTTAGTTTGAGGGTTCCAAATATATTCTTTTGTCTTCACCTTTTGCTTTTTCTAATTCTTGGCATGAAGGGGTATACTTGATTACTTTCTGTGAGTTCTTGTCTCCTGTTTTTTTCTTCTGGTGGATGGTTTGACCATTCACCGTTTCAATCTCTTTATTCTTTTTTAGAAGTCCTTCCCTGAGTTCTGTGATTATATTACCATGAATTTCTGTGACTGGCTAACCACGCTTTATTTCGTATTGAAAGGATTTTGTTCAGGGTATGGCAGCCATCTCACAAGCACCTGCTCGACCTGCATTGACACCGCATCAGGTCCAATTTCCAAAGCACCAAGGTAAAAATGATGAATATTTCTATAACATCTAAAAATAAGTCCATCAGAAATCTGTATGCTTTTTTGCAATGTGTACTGGTGTTTGCTGTTAAACATATCTGCAGCTGAATTAATTTTTACATTCCAGCGACTTTCTTTTGAAATCTTGCACTTTCGGCTCAAGCAGGTTTTTTTATGACTGCAGGAACTGCAGCTGGCCAAGCGCTGCAACTGTGTGTTCCCTCCCCTCTTATGGCCAGTGGACTGCAACCTTTTGCAGTGCCAAACCACACTCACATTCCAGCTTTGCAATCTCCGATACCCGCTAACCGCCCCACTCCAGTGCCAGGATCAAATGGTCTCTACAGCACCAAATTTCCATGAAAATACTTTCTTTTTTCTTTTTCGTTATTACATCACAAAATTTTTTTTTTTTTTTTTTTTTTTTTGGCGATAAGAAATTTTGGGTTATAGTGTTTGTTTGAAGAGCGTCCAAAATAGGAAAAGTTTTACCTTTTTTTCTTTATGTACAAGGGGTTAGCAAAATTTTTTAGTGGCGGTTGTACTGAAGATTTGATTGGGACTAAGGAGTGAAGCTTACTCCGTGTTTTCATTTTTCTTCTTTCTGGGTGGGGAAAGTTTTAGGGATATAATATTGCTTCTCTGGGAAGGGGAATTGCTGTTGAACAACTGTAGCTACAACGAATAGTAGCATAGTAGCATATACAATTTTGAAATGAAGATAGCTGCAATATTTTGGCTTACAAATTACAATGTCATCTGAAATTTTCTTTGTTATTCTCTGCTAGTAGCAATATTTTGGCCTTCTCTAGTCAAAATTTAAATTCATGCATTTTTAATCATATTCGCATATCAAACCACTCCAGAGAAGGTAGTAAGGGCTGGGAAAAATTAAAATTTGCATCCATGCTGAACAACCTGCCATAAGTAAAGACGAGAATGAAAACAACCATCATCGATGTATGCAGCAGCAAGCATGATCGGAATCTTAAAGACATACACCTAGATGCCAAAATTAAGAACATAACCCTGTGTAATTATGGTCAAAGTTTTACACAATGCTAAATTTTATCTTAAGATCATGAACTAAAAAGCACAAATATTAGGTTCAACTGAAGATGGATCCTCTGTGGTCTTCAACAATAATGAGATCGTAACTTTCTACAGAGAATTCCCTACCTATTTTAAGATGCACAAATCTTACATAGAATCAGTAGATTCCATGGTCTGGAACTTCATGTGAGGTAAAACAGAAAATGCCAGGACAAGGTTGTTAGTTAAGGGCTTCAGGCGAGACCGGCTAAATCAGACACTCGGAGTCCCAGAATCTTTCTTGGAATGAACATTTTCTTTCTCTCCAATTTCAGCTTCAGGACTCTTGAGATTATCTAAATTCAGTTCAGAACCTGTGGTACGCTCCTCAGCTTGATGCACTTGGTTCTCCATCATGTTTTCCTGCACAGCCTGAAGTGTTGGATATCAGTTTTATGATTATCTGCCTTACATTTATCAGCTGACAAAAGATAAACTAAAGAGTAAATAATTTCCAGTTTAAGCCATAATTTACCCGCAACAGCTCAGTCATTTTGCCAGTTCTGAAGTTCTCAAAAGGTTTAGAAAGAAATGCTGACTGAACAGTAGGACTAGGCTGTACAGCTTGCAGGGGTTCAATAGAGAGAGCCTGGTCTGTGTTACCAGTTTCATCTTTCACATCCCCAGTTTGAGTCTCTGCTGACTGTGAAGGTGCTTGAATTCGCTGAATGACTTCTACCAGTTTTTCAAAAGGCAAGCCAGGCATTTTCATCGATTTGGTTTCTGCCTCGTGCAGTACTTCTACAGTGGGCTGATTTAGCACCCCCTGGAAGTTATTTTGAACTTGAACAGGCTGACTTCCAGCTGTCTGCACCTGGTTGGAAGGTATTGATCCATTTGATAGATGCACAGTTTCCATCACCTGTTTGCCTTTAAAGAATTCTGGACAAGGAGCTTGGGTTGCAACTGAAGTTGGCTGGCTGGCAAACCCTCCCCCATTTGACAAATTAACACACTGGAGGACAACAGGTGCTATGTTATTCCTTGGGATCACTGGTTGAGAAGTTTGGACCACCGCTGAAGTTGTCTGTTTGCTTTTTGAGGCCCCCAAATTGGTAGTTCCACTTCTATAAGAATTGACATGCTGCTCACTCCTCTCCCTGGATCGAGGGTTAGAGCCACGGGCATGATTGTGATTATCTGCTGGGAAGGGAATCTGATTTCTTCTGACCATTTGTACATTGGGAGCCACATCGTTGTCTGCTGAAACAGGAACATAGTGTCCAGGCTTGAAAACAACACCCCTCAAAGTGGTTTCAGTGTTGCCAACCTTAACAGTGAGCAGATATCCAGCATCAAAAGCTGCCTCAATAACACCATGAACTACTTGACCCACCATTACATCATTAGTATCATTATTTGAATCTACTTGATGGGAATGATTACCATTCACACTTTCAAATCCAGGAGGTTTATGAGCATTCTCCCTCCGATTTAAATTCTGATCCCTTCTAACAGCATTCTCCCCATGATTAAGTCTAGGAAGCTTTCTAGGACGACCACGTTTACGCTTTATGGGAAAGTTTGCTGAGGTGCCAGGATTAGTCCCTTGATTATCTTGGTCCATTTTCAGTATTTACAGCAATAGTATCTTGCCTTTTGCTCAGGATCTTCTATGGTTTCCCCCCTGCAGCAAAGAAAGCAATTAATTTTGTCTATAGAAGCAAACAAATCATAAACACCCATTATGTGCAGTCATTTGTACTGCTATACAGCTATAAACACACGTGTGCATATGCATGGGCGCGTAAACAACATAGATGAGACTACCCCAATATGAGATAAAGCTATAATGCAATTCAACGAATGCTGATACATGCCAAGGAGTATCCAAAGCAAATTAATATCTGGTACAGATATGATATAGGAGCGACTTCCTTCTAGTATGCTGCATACTACTAGCTTTTAAGACAACCGATTCATTACCATATAGGATATCAGAGCCTTAAATTTCATATCCGTACCCGTAAATTTGAGATTGCATCAAAACATTGCACATTCAGTCGAAGTTAGCCATTAAATCATGAAGATTCGTATTCAAGAATTCTAAATTGCATTTGACAATGCAGAAGCGAAAAAGCTTAATGCCTTTCCATAAAAAATGAAACTTTTTTGAACCCTTCAAGTTTAATGAAGTAAACCCATAAATCTCTTTATCATTCTTATGGCTTTGTACTAGCGAAAAAAAATTATTAATCAAACCAAAATGCCTAATTAGAACTATTTTTGAAGTGTCAATCTCTCCAAGTCAACAGTGTTAGATTTATTTTCATAGAGGAAATTGTAAAATGTAATAGAATAAGATCAACATTAACAAGTAGCCGACCCAAAAACTATCTAGCCCACTGACATAGACAACTACGACCTGAGCCATAAACAAAAGCTTTTTATTTTAGAGATATTGATGATTTTGGAATCTACTCGGTACGGAAACCATCAATATCCTGTGCTGTATTCCATTAGTACTTCTACTATCAACAAATACTCCAGTCTATGCCTTTTGGTAGTTCTACAGCTGCCTGAAATTTCTCTATAACGATTGACAGGTGGCAGAGACAGCTCACCATGTAAAGGAAACATAACGTCTACTGGAAAATGTGATTAAAAAAACAATCTTAAGCGTGCCTATTGATCTGGAATCCCTCTGTCCCCAGGAAACTTCATGATTGGCATCCTCACATATCTCATTATTAAAATAAGGGCACATTTTGCAAAGCATTATGTTTCAAAGAATAAGCATCAATGGTAGAAGAAAACTATAACAAGGAATTTCACAACTGTTTACATGGAAAGTTTGAGCTGTGCCACAAAACAAGATTCCGGGCTCCTATTAGGGAAAGTGGATCAAAGTTTTAATGATGCAAGGTGAACAAGAATTAAATGTCAGTAAACCTAAATAATTACTCTCTCTATCCCGAATTGTTTGTCCTGCCCTAACTTACATTTAGTGTATTAGATTCTAAATATCATAGTTCAAGGAAGTTTTGAATAATTGATAAGAATTTTACTTCAACGTTTTTAAAGTCAACAATTTAATTTTACATCTGACACATGCCATGGCTATAATTGAGACCAGAAGTGGTAGTAATCATCATAATTAGCTAACTATAATCAAGCAAACAAAACATACATGAAATCTTGGTGACTGTAATTATCATACTAAATAAGCCACTGAGTTTTGAAACATAATACATAAATTTCACAAAATGTGAAACTAAAAATAAGCAACTCAATCAAAGGGAAACTCAGTTGATCTCATTACTACACTAGGCAAGTTTCTGCCTCCAAAAATTCTCCTTCAGCAGCCCTGCTTATCAGATAGCATCTACAGAGATCTGTTAAAAGAAAGCCAGGCTGCAAAAGCTATTACCCATATAAAAAAAATATTTCACAAAACTCAATTTATGCAAAAAAAACTAACTTCTAATACCACATCACAAAACTCAGAGAAAATACAACGAAAATTTACCAAAAAGAAAAATTGTAGTCAGCACACATAAAATTGAACAAAAAATACCCAAAAATCAAGACTCAAAACAATGGTAACAAGTAAAATATTGACTAAAAAAAACCAAACTTGCATTATTCTTTTTACTAAGAGAAGAGTAAGCGCTTCACTTCACCTTTCTACACCATTCTAGCAGCAACTGTAACAAACAAACACCTGAAACACGAAATCAAAGACTTAAAAATTCAAGCTTAACAAGAAAGTTTGTAACTTTCCACACAATATCAGTAACATGTTCTTTTACAACACAAACCCAGAAAGAAAAGAAGCTTTAAGATTGATACAGTTAGGGTTTTGAAACATAGTTTACTTACCTTCTGGGTAGTGGTGTTTTCTCAGTGGTGAGTTGACATGGTAAGTGGACTGTAAAATTCTTTTGTATTATGGAAACACATTTTCGACAACTCTGGATTTTTTGTTGTTGCCAAAAATTATCGAGTTTTGTTTTTGGGATTTTACTAGATTTGTTGTCCCGGCTTCTCTGGCGAAGAGTACGAGGCGGGCTATGTAAGAGTCTGAGGTGGATAAATAACCGGACTGTTATAAAACTTGAAAAACTGGCAAATGGGAGATTGCCATGTATTGGTAAAGTCAGATGCTGACTTGTATTGACACCTGGAAACATGTAGTTGGACTGTTTGATAAGAAAAAACACTTGACAATTTGGGAATGGATGACACGTCGATTTTGTGGGTCCAACCGGATATCTTGAAATTAGAAATAGCTGGCTGGCAAAACAAGATCAGTTTATGCTTTTTTTTTTTTTTTTTATTTGCAGAAAAATAAAGAGTCTTCTTCAAGTTCATCTTTTTACCTTCCCCACTCTGTTTTGTTTTCTCAGTTATAGTTAATACAGTTCATTTTGACAGCTGAGAAAACTGTACCTTGTTGAATTATTTCTATTTGAAGCTCTGTTGTTTCCATTTCTTGAAACACTTTTTGGAAGCAAAGCCTCTGCAGTTTCTGACATAGCCATTTGGGCGATTACGCATGCACTCATTTTCCTCCATTGTTTGGCCTGTTGTGCTTGTGGGATCTTCAAGTCTGTTCTTTTGAGCTACATGTCTTAGAAAGGCAAAGAGCTTGAACTAGCAGCAGAGAAATCTGTTTGTATTCATAAGTAAGATTATATATTAACCACCACTATGTGGTCAAGAGGTTTTAAGTTCGATTCATATCGGTCCCTAATATAAGGTGATTACTGAAACTTTTACTTGATCGGTATTTTTAGAGTTCTGGAGACTAATTAAAATACGCACAAACTAGCTTGAACACCCTCAATCATTAAAAACAAAAAAAAAATTATACACTAGGAAATCCATCTAAGCTTATAACTAACAAAAATTCATTACAATTGGCGTTGATGACTACATTTAAGGGTGGGAACAAGTAAGAAAATTCGATACAATTGGGCGCCGACGATTGCATTTAAGGGTGGGTTATGTTCAGCATAGAGCGAGAACGATGAAAATTGAGGGTTTTAGTGTGTAGTGTTAACTTACCGTTAAATCGACCTTAACAAGGTTTTATTAGCTTGAGCCTCCATAGGAAAAATATATTGAATATCACATAAGTACCACGTCATCCGTATCACTCATCAATGTATTTATACTGCCAATAAATATTTTTAATCTTCAAATCTTTGTCATTAATATGATTGATAGATTTTAACTTAAAAACATATGTGCACACAATGATTGGTTTATGGTATGGGTGATATGGTAACATTCTTCTATGCTTGAGACATGTTCTCTCATTGTGTCACGTGTCGTGCTCCTGCCGCTTAGTAGCTTATAGCTCATATGGCCTTTTCCCTTTGGATATTAATGTCGAGTAATGCTAGCCCTACTCACTCCTAACAAAGATGAGTAAGAGAAGTGAGTAAGAGGAGTAAGTAATGCTAACATTATTCATTAATCTCGGGTTAGGTCTATTCAATGACCCAATCCCTTAATCTAGACTGTTGAGCTTATTGTTAACTAATCATTGGGTTTGGATTTGGGTTTCAAGAAACATACCACCATTTGTTTCAACTTGAAGTTGATGGGAGAACAATAACTGATCCCCGATACCCTGAAACTATCGTCTAGATAACTGATGAGGGATTTCAACTTAGTACCTATTGAGTAATACATTCAAAAACTTTATCGAACTACTCGATCACCTAAAAGTAGTTATAAGAAATATCTTCTGTTTATACAATCTTTTTAGACCCTTCTAGAAAGGGAGAACGACATTTTCCCACCCAAGGTTTGGCGAAACGACACTTGTCCACCTGTCAAGTTTCAAAATGACACTTTGCCACCCTTCGTCAGGTTCTGTTAACGTTTTCAGTTAATATTTGATTGGAAAGATGAAAATACCCTCAAATAGTTTATTTCTTAATTAGTTTATTATAAATTAAAATTTAGTTAAGTCAAAGTCTTTACTCTCGATTATTTATTAGTTCAAGTGTAAATATATCTTTTTTTCTTTATTTATTTAATTAATTAAGAATATTGATTTTCTTTGTTAATTAGTAAAAATGAAAAACATTATAAATTTAGTAGATTATTAAATAATAGTGATGAGATATTGATGACATTATAAATAAATAAATATTAAGGTTTTTTAACTTTAAACAATCTCATAGCATTACTGCTAACTTTTTAGGTTGGGTTTATTATTATTATTATTATTATTATGATTTTTAATATTTGACTTTTTAGTTAATTAAAAAATAATAAAAAATTTATAAAGTCAAATATTTAAAAATATTTTTGGTTTTTTAATAAAATATTAATGAAAAACATAACGAAACTTAACGAAATATGAGAAAATGTCATTTTGAAACTTGAAGGGTGGAAAAAGGCCGTTTCGCCATACCTTGGGTGGGAAAATGTCGCTCCCCCTTCTAGAAAATAGAATTCTAGTTGACAAAGACACCAAGGTCCATACTCTGCTGTTTTACAGTTCATAGTATCATTAAAGAGGACAATAATAGTCAAGCATTAATAAATAAATAAACTCTCAAAAACTTTAATGGTTTCTATGTTTATCATTTTCCTTCTGCTTGACCTGTCTTTACATGAAAGAAATCTAGATGGTTCTATGAACCTTTTTCTGGTGAAGTTGAACTGTTTTTTCCTCAACAAACATTATGCCTAATTTAATATTTAATATTCATACAATAATGTAAACAAGAAACTGACAGAAACAAGACATTCAAGGTCCTGAAACTGACCCTTCTAATTTTGACAGTCTCTACAAATTTTAATGAAAATAAGAACCATCCTCCATTGATTGGGATAAATGAATGCTTTATATAGAACAAAGACTATTCGGCAAGAGCATCGGCAGTATGATACATCGGTACCGCTGCTAATCTATTCGACTATGATTATAATTGCTTTTAACAAGGGGTATCATCCCAGGAGAGAAAAACCTGAGCTAAGAATTGGAACCAGTTATGGTGCCTTCCTGTACAAGAGGCTTTTGAGGCTCAGGAAGGTTTTTGGCGTATATGTCACGTAGCATTGTCATGTAGTCATCAACCTTGTTGGCTGTCCAATCAGTGGTACTTATTCGAGGGAGATACTTTACGGTAATAGGTGTTGGTCGAACATGTAAACTGCCATTTCTCCATGCCCGATGAGTACCAGTTAGGACCATTGGAACTATTGGGAGGCGGGATTGCAGTGCCAGATGAATAAAACCCTGACATGGAGTTTGGAGAAACAAATTTAACGGAAATGCCTCTAGTAAAATGATAAAGAAGACAAGAGAACTGGCTTATGTATATTGACTGATTGATCATGCAGTGATAGATTTCTAATGACTGGCATTCTCCAATCTACTATATGCCAACAACTGTGGAAACTAAAATTCCATTATCATCTAATCAAATCGAAGATCTGCCTCCAACTTTTACTCAGATGGATGAGTAAGCAGCCTACATTTTACCATTCTAATAAACATTATATATACCTATCAAAATATACGCACATCAATAGTATTACCTTTTTGAAGGGAAGAAGTCGTCCGTTTTTGGACCTGGTACCCTCAGGAAAAATGATCAAAGAGAGTTTGTTTTCGACAACTGCACGAGCTGCCTGAACATGAGAAGAAACATAACTTAGAAACATAAGAAAAAGAATGGCTGACAAATGATGCAGAAGAGAAAAAAGGATACCTCTTTCATTGACTTAATGGCTGCAGAGGGGTTGGAGCGATCTATACGGATATGTTTGGCCAAAACATAAAGTTGCCCAAACAGAGGGTACCATATGATCTATGCAAAGTTAAATTTTAATATATTAGTCAAACTTAAGACTTCGATCCCGAGCATTTATCTATCAATACAAGGGCACATATTCATAGAGAAAGAACCTCTTTCTTTGCAATGCCAACAGTGCCCGTGGGAGTCAACCACATTATAAGGAAGATGTCTATTGGAGATGCATGATTACTGATGTATATCGCCCTTTCATTAGAGAATTCAGTACCTTCAATCTTTATTGGATTCCCCAAGATCCACATCTGCAATCCATATGCTGAGAAGTTTAATCACCTAATGAGAAACTGCATCAATCTCAAATTAAATATAAGGAACCTATAACAAGAAAGCATGAACAGTAAACATATCATATCGACCATGAATTGTCAGCAAATACTTGCATTTCCATTGTCTTCAATGTCTATGAACCTACTTAACAAAAGTGTGTTAGATAACTCAGAATTTGGTACATTCCATTTTTTTTTTTTTTAGGTAAACTGAAACAAAGCAAATAGAATCTGAATACAAGAAACTTAACCAATTGTCCAATTGCCTGGGCTCAATCCAACTAGTCAAGAGTCGTGGTCGTCAATCTCGAGTTTGGCCTACACCGTAACGACCAATCGAGAGCTCAGCCGCTCATGGTCATGTTGACGGTGGCTGGAGACAACGAAATGGTGCTGGTCATGGTGGAAATCGAATCATCGACAGTTGGAGAAGGTGGTTTGTGGCCGAGGAAGACCAAGGGAGGCTTCTAGTGGTGGTTCCCGGTGGCCGGCGAAAATTAGTATAAAGTTGGTACATTCATCTCACCAGTTGATATGCTATATGCTCTCTATTCTTAACATTAAATTTCATTTACCAACATATTATCAAGGCAATTGTGTCAGTCCATTATTACTTCTCAATGGACTGTACCATAAGCTACCCCCAATGTTTTAAAACCTGGCTCGGCCGGTTGAACCAGGACCTGGAAGCTTCAATGGGCTGGGTTTATATTTTTCCTATTCACCCAAAACCCTAGGATTTGGGAGAATGATCGGAGAACAATTGACGGCCGGAATGTTGGGGTTTTTGAAGAGAAATTGCCGGTGAATGCAATGGTGGTGACGGAGTTGATTTCTGGTGAGTAAATCGATCGTAAATCGAACAAAATTGGCCGCAAAAACAATGGGATTTTTCTGGCGATTGGCGAGGCTAACGGGGGTGGGGTGAGGTGGGTTTTGGTCGGGAGGAAAAGGGGAGTAATTCCTGGGTAATGGGAAGGGTTGTCAACGCCAGCGTCGATGAGATCTGGCCTAGAATGTCGACGCCGACGTCAATGAGATCTGACCGAAATCGAACCTATTTCGGCCGGATCTTGGGTATATTTTGATGGAAATGAACTCAAGGGACAATTGAGGTTGCATCTGGGGTGTCACCACCGCCAATCAGTCGTCGATTGATTTGCATTTGAAGTGTGTTTAATAAATTTCAAACTTATAGGGACTTTACAAATTTAGGGCTATATTTGCTAAATTTTAAAAGTTTTTGTCTGGTCAAACCGGTTAAACTAGTCAACCCAAGACCCGAAAGCTTTGTCAGGTTTCACTCTGGGTTGGGTTTTAAAACATTGGCTATCCCTAAATGTTTTTACAAATTCACTTTAGGTTCCCCTACAGTGCATTCTCTCTACCTTATTTTATATCCTGCAACTTCTTTTCTAATTGCCCACCTGAGCATTTTACTTTACTTTTCATTAATGTACTCAGATTATATACTGCTACTGTTCACAAGCTTTGGTAAGTTAGCATGGTCTGCAAGAATAAATGCTCACACTTAAAAGTACTTACCAACTTTCAAGAAAAAAGCAAACGCTCTCCTTGGCCATCCATGAGCTCATTTATTACAAACTCTTCTGATAAAACTTCACATAAATCCTATATGACAATAAATAAATTCTGGAATTATGGTTAGGTTTAGATTTGAGGTGAACCTTCAAGATATACAGACCCACCAACGTACAGTCATTCTGAACTAGGCACATTTTGAGGTCCCAGCAGTGAAAATAAATGAAAATGTTGGTCAAAATATGACAAGGCCCTATACGGCTGCTAAGAAAATGCAGGAAACCAGGAAAGCATAAGAAAATCTAGTATACTCACAACAAAATTTTATTACCCAGATTAACTTAAACCGAAAAATGAAACTTTTAACTTACCAATAATCTACCAGTAACATGTCCATAAACATTGCCTTGCCTAATCCTCTTATAAGGCCAAGGTAACAGCAGAACCATAACCAGTGCCCAGATGAAGGTTGTGACCATCATTGTCACAAAACAAGTGACAATTCTTACCCAAGATATCAACACACAGAACCATCCACCATCATCATCATCACTATCAACACATTCTTTATTCGTTCGCGGCGGCCTGTGTTCAACTTGTTTCACTGGAATTTTTGGTGGTTGTTTCACATGAGGCTCAGAACTTGTGTTGAAGAAATTATCAAACCTTCTGTTCCTCAGAAAAGAATCACTTCCGGTGCTGTCCATATGTCAAAACTCAAAAGATTGCACTGAATCAAACCAGAACAAAACCGATCGTTAAAGAACTTAATTCAATCAATAACTTAAAGAAAAAAGCTATCTATTTAGCTGCTGAGAAAGTGAGGGAAAATCAGAACCTCTTGTAAATATTTGTACTACGTCAACCAATAACACGAATATTCGAATAAAAAACAGAGATCACTTGAGAAAAGATAATAACCAACTGTGTCAAAAACTGGGTAGATAAGAGAAAAAGTCTAGAAACAATGAATAACATTCTGCTTGGTAGCCGAGAAAATGGATAGAAACAAACCACTACAAAACAAAATAAAAAGAAGATAGAACCACAACCTTAAATTATTTCCTCGAATATCAACAAAACAAAAGAAAACAAGGACAGAATAGCCTCCTCGCCAAGCAAAAGTAAATGGCTATCCGTAGACTTACTCTGTAGTTTTCTTGGTTACCAAACAAAACTCAAACAACAAACACCACTACTACAAAGTATAGTTTTTTAAACATTTTTGACAAATACCCACCAAACCTTTTCACCAAATAAGACTAAATTCATTAATAATATACCTTGTTTCCAAGAATTTTCCAGAGAAAATAAGAGAGATACTTCAGGAAGTTTAAGCAAAATATAAGTGTTCTAAGTCGTAAATAAGACAAAGACTTAATGAGTGGCGCTAAATTATAGTTTACATAACTGATTGAAACATTTGAAGTAGGTTTGATTTGCAGTTTTGCCATTGTTTTTTCTACCAAAAAGTCCAATCCGGTTTTGCAAAGTGTCAGGTGTTTTAAGTGAGGTGTTTAATTTTGACCATAGAATGGATATGGTCTATATGAATTTATTTATTATTTTACTCGCATTTTAAAGGTTTATCGAGAATTTCTTATATGGGAGGGGTCTATCTAGTTAAACACTTGTTATATTTAGATAATAATGAAGATGAATTATAGAAAAAAGTAAGATACTTTTATCGGGGCGAACTTATGAATAGTATGATAGGCCCGTCACACCATGTAACAAGTTAATATGTTAAGAGTAAACGGCATGATCTCACCTGAGGTTTAACTAAAGTTTAAGTTAATATCTTTGGTTTCATTTATTCCAAATTTTTATTTTTAAATTAACATTATTTCTATTTTTTAGACGATTGAAGGATAAAACGGTCTTTTCCTATAATTTGAAATTAAAACTTTAAAATAATCTCAAATTTCTCTCCACCTCCTCTCTTCCTCCACCTCTACCACCATTGGCCAGAGATCCCAATCGAGATCGTTGGTCGCATCCCATTGCCATTACCACCATGCCGCTATCGCCGAACGACAAACACAAACACTCCAAAAATCAAACAATCAACCCCAAAAACCCCAAACAAACAAATCTGATTTGTGCAACACCCGATTTGTCCAAAATCACACAAACACTCCAAATACAAACACTATCAACCTCCAATCATAAACAAACCTCTCAATCTCCAAATTAACACAATTTCACCCAAAAACATGATGAAGAACACGAACCTCTTGCCCCACGAACGATGACTAACCGGTTGTTGGGGATAAGGGGGTTTTGTAGAGTGGGAGCTGCTGGTTGCATTGGTGGTGTCCAATTGGATTTTGGCCACCAGATACCGGCGAAGAAAAGCAAAACCCTAAACATAACGGCGCTAGTGATCGAAAGGGTCAATGCGTCGAGAAATAGAGGGGTTTTGGAGTATGGATTACGGGGAAGCTGATGGAGGTGATAAAGTTGTCGGGTCCCGGGTTGACCGATCGGTCAAACCAGTTGACAAAGACTTCTAAAATTCAGCAAATTCACCCCTAATAATTACTTTAAGTCCTTATAGGTTTGAAATTTAGCAAACACACCCCAAATACAAATCAGTCGATGACTGGTTGGCGGCAGCGACACCCCAGATGCAACCTCAATCGTCTCTTGAGTCCATTTCTCTTAAAATATACGTAAGATCTAGCCGAAATAGGTTCGATTTTGGCCAGATCTCACCGACGTCGGCGTCAACATTCTAGGCCAGATCTGATCAACACCAGTGTCGACAACCCTCCCCATCACCCAGAAATTACTCTCCTCTTCCTCTCGACCAAAACCCACCTCACCATACACCCGTTAGCCTCACCAATCGTTGGCAAAAGTCAGTTGTTACCGCTACCAGTTTTGTTCGATTTCTGGTCGACTTACTCACCGGAAATCAAATCTGTCACCGCCATTGCATTCACTGTCACTTTCTCTTCAAAAGCCTCAACATCCCGGTAGTCAATTGTTCGCCGATCATCCTCTCAAATCCTAGGGTTTTGGGTGAATATAAAAAATATAAACCTGACCCATTGAAGCTTCTGGATCCTGGTTGAATAGGTTAAATCGACCGGACCAAGCTGGGTTTTAAAACATTGCTTTCGGGTTTTGGGAGGGAGAGAAGAGTGTGGTTGTGGCTGAGGGAGAGAGAGAAGCCGCGGAAGAGAAGAAGAAGAAGAAGAAGATGGGAGGGGTAGTTCGGTAATAGCATGTCATTTACTTTAATTTTTAATTATATGTTAGTTTAAGGGTAAGAATTTGGAATAAATGGAACCGGGGTATTAACTTAGGGTTTCGTTAAACCTCGGGTGGGAACATGCCATCTACTCATATGTTAAATATGTACTAACATAAGCATTGATAGTTACCTAAATTGTTGTCATGTATTTTGGGTTATAGTTGGGTCTACCACAGAAGTTTAATAATAAAAAGTATGCACGTTAAATTTAAATAATACATTTAGGCCATGTTTATTGCGTGATGGATATAATACAATACAATACCGAATACGATGATATAATATTCCATTTTGAGTAATTAATTAATTAAAATGAACAAAGTAAACTAAGTACATTGTATTAGCTAATAAATTGAAAAGTTTGTACGAAACATTATATTTTATTAGATAGTATTATACGTTATTCTTGAGTAAGACAGACCAAACATGTCTTTAATATATGTATATTTAAATATATTCTTATTTTGTTCACGTAAATTAAATGGTTATTAAGATTGTGAGATTATACCTTTTTTATGAAAAAAAATTAGGAGAAATGATATAATTATGAAGCTAATTAATTTAAATTTGACATTTTGATTGAATATAAATTACCCAGATCATACATTAGCCGGCTGTTTTACAGTTCATAGTATCATTAAAGAGGACAATAATAGTCAAGCATTAATAAATAAATAAACTCTCAAAAACTTTAATGGTTTCTATGTTTATCATTTCCTTCTGCTTGCCTGTCTTTACTGAAAGAAATCTAGATGGTTCTATGAACCTTTTTCTGGTGAAGTTGAACTGTTTTTTACTGAACAACCATTATGCCTATTTTAATATTAATATTCATACAATAATGTAAACAAGAAACGACAGAAACAGAACATTCAAGGTCCTGAAACTGACCCTTCTAATTTTGACAGTCTCTACAAATTTTAATGAAAATAAGAACCATCCTCCATTGATTGGGATAAATGAATGCTTTATATAGAACAAAGACTTTCGGCAAGAGCATCGGCAGTATGATTCATCGGTACCGCTGCTATCTATCGACGCTATGATTATAATTGCTTTTAACAAGGGGTATCATCCCAGGAGAGAAAAACCTGAGCTAAGAATTGGAACCATTTATGGTGCCTTCCTGTACAGAGGCTTTTGAGGCTCAGAAGGTTTTTGCGTATATGTCACGTAGCATTGTCATGTAGTCATCAACCTTGTTGGCTCCAATCAGTGGTACTTATTGGAGGAAGATACTTTACGGTAATAGGCGTTGGTCGAACATGTAAACTGCCATTTCTCCATGCCCGATGGTACCAGTTAGGACCATTGGAACTATTGGGGGCGGATTGCAGTGCCAGATAATAAAACCCTGACATGGATTTGGAAAACAAATTTAACGGAAATGCCTCTAGTAAAATGATAAACAGACAAGAGAACTGGCTTATGTATATTGACTGATTGATCATGCAGTGATAGATTTCTAATGACTGCATTCTCCATCTACTATATGCCAACAACTGTGGAAACTAAAATTCCATTATCATCTAATCAAATCGAAGATCTGCCTCCAACTTTTACTCGAAGGATGAGTAAGCAGCCTACATTTTACATTCTAATAAACATATATATACCTATCAAAATATACGCACATCATAGTATTACCTTTTTGAAGAAGAAGTCGTCCGTTTTTGGACCTGGTACCCTCAGGAAAAATGATCAAGAGAGTTTGTTTTCGACAACTGCACGAGCTGCCTGAACATGAGAAGAACATACTTAGAAACATAAGAAAAGATGGCTGACAAATGATGCAGAAGAGAAAAAGGAACCTCTTTCATTGACTTAATGCTGCAGAGGGGTTGGAGCGATCTATACGGATAGTTTTGGCCAAAACATAAAGTTGCCCAAACAGAGGGTACCATATGATCTAGCAAAGTTAAATTTTCAATATATTGTCAAACTAAGACTCCGATCCACCATTTATCTATCAATACAAGGGCACATATTCTAGAGAAAGATACCTCTTTCTTTGCAATGCCACAGTGCCCGTGGGAGTCAACCACATTATAGGAAGATGTCTTTGGAGATGCATGATTACTGATGTATATCGCCCTTTCATTAGAGAATTCAGTACCTTCAATCTTTATTGGATTCCCCAAGTCCCATCTGAATCCATATGCTGAGAAGTTTAATCACCTAATGAGAAACTGCATCAACCTCAAATAAATATAAGGAACCTATAACAAGAAAGCATGAACAGTAACATATCATATCGACCATAAGTGTCAGCAATACTTGCATTTCCATTCTCTCTCAATGTCTATGAACCTACTTAACAAAGTGTGTTAGATAACTCAGAATTTGGTACATTCCATTTTTTTTTTTTTTAGGTAAACTGAAACAAAGCAATAGAATCTGAATACAAAACTTAACCAATTGTCCAATTGCCTGGCCAATCCAACTATCAGAGTCGTGGTCGTCAATCTCGTTTGGCCTACACCGTAACGACCAATCGAGAGCTCACCGCTCATGGTCATGTTACGGTGGCTGAGACAACGAAATGGTGCTGGTCATGGTGGAAATCGAATCATCGACAGTTGGAGAAGGTGGTTTGTGGCCGAGGAAGACCAAGGGAGGCTTCTAGTGGTGGTTTCCGGTGGCCGGCAAAATTAGTATAAGTTGGTAATTCATCTCACCAGCTGATATGCTATCTGCTCTCTATTCTTAACATTAATTTTCATTTACCAACATATTATCAAGCAATTTGTCACTCCATTATTACTTCTCAATGGACTATACCTAAGCTACCCAATATTTTAAAACCCGGCCCGGCCGGTTGAACTGGGACCCGAAGCTTCAATGGCTGGTTATATTTTTTCCTATTCACCCAAACCCCTAGGATTTGGGAGATGATTGGGGAAAAATTGAGGCTGGAATGTGTGCTTTGAAGAGAATTGCCGATGAATGCAATGGTGGTGCCGGAGTTGTTTTTGACCGTAAATCGAACAAAACTGGCCGCGAAACAATGGGATTTTTCTTGGCGATTGGCGAGGCTAACGGGGGTGGGGTGAGGTGGTTTTTGGTCGGGAGGAAAAGGGGAGTAATTCTTGGGTAATGGGGAGGTTGTCAACGCCGGCGTCGATAGATCTGACCTAGAATGCCGCAGACGATGTCGTGAGATCTGACCGAAATCGAACCTATTTCGGCCAGTCTGGGTATATTTTGATGGAAATGACTCAGAGATGATTGGGGTTCCATCTGGGGTGTCGCCACTGCCAATAGTCTCCGTCTGATTTGCATTGGGGTGTGTTTAATAAATTTCAACCCTATAGGGACTTTACAAATTTTTAAGGGTATATTTGCTATTTTAAAAGTTTTGGCTAGTCAAACCAGTTAAACTGGTCAACTCGCCGAAAGCTTTGCCGGGCTTCACCCGGTTGGGTTTTAAAACATTGGCTACCCCTACATGTTTTTACAAATTCACTTTAGGTTCCCCTACAGTGCATTCTCTCTACCTATTTTATATCCTGCAACTTCTTTTCTAATTGCCCACCTGAGCATTTACTTTACTTTTCATTAATGTACTCGATATATACTGCTACTGTTCACAAGCTTTGGTAAGTTAGCTTGGTCTGCAAGAATAATGCTCACACTAAAAGTACTTACCAACTTTCAAGAAAAAAGCAAACGCTCTCCTGGCCATCCATGAGCTCATTTATTACAAACTCTTCTGATAAAACTACACATAAATTCTATATGACAATAAATAATTCTGGAATTATGGTTAGGTTTAGATTTGAGGTGAACCTTCAAGATATACAGACCCACCAACGTACAGTCATTCTGAACTAGGCACATTTTGAGGTCCCAGCAGTGAAAATAAATGAAATGTTGGTCAAATATGACAAGGCCCTATACGGCTGCTAAGAAAGCAGGAAACCAGGAAAGCATAAGAAAATCTAGTATACTCACAACAAAATTTTATTACCCAATTAACTAAAACCGAAAAATGAAACTTTTAACTTACCAATAATCTACCATAACATGTCCATAACATTGCCTTGCCTAATCCTCTTATAAGGCCAAGGTAAAGCAGAACCATAATCAGTGCCCAGATGAAGGTTGTGACCATCATTGTCACAAAACAAGTGACAATTCTTACCCAAGATATCAACACACAGAACACCCACCATCATCATCATCACTATCAACACATTCTTTTTCGTTCGCGGCGGCCTGTGTTCAACTTGTTTCACTGGAATTTTTGGTGGTTGTTTCACATGAGGCTCGAACTTGTGTTGAAGAAATTATCAAACCTTCTGTCCTCAGAAAAGAATCACTTCCGTGCTGTCCATATGTCAAACTCAAAGATTGCACTGAATCAACCAGAACAAAACCGATCGTTAAAGAACTTAATTCATTCATAACTTAAAAAAAACTATCTATTCTGCTGAGAAAGTGAGGGAAAATCAGAACCTCTTGTAAATATTTGTACTACTAGTCAACCATAACGAATATTCGAATAAAAACAGAGATCACTTGGAAAAGATAATAACCAACTGTGTCAAAAACTGGGTAGATAAGAGAAAAAGTCTAGAAACAATGAATAACATTCTGCTTGGTAGCCGAGAATGGATAGAAACAAACCACTACAACCAAAATAAAAAGAAGATAGAACCACAACCTTAAATTATTTCTTCGAATATCAACAAAACAAAAAAACAAGGACAGAATGGCCTCCTCGCCACAAAAATATGGCTATCCGTAGACTTACTCTGTAGTTTTCTTGTTCCAAACAAAACTCAAACAACAAACACACCACTACTACAAAGTATGGTTTTTTAAACATGTTTGACAAATACCCACCAAACCTTTTCACCAAATAAGACTAATTCATTATAATATACCTTGTCTCCAAGAATTTCCAGAGAATAATAAGAGAGAGAGTTCAGGAATTTTAAGCAAAATATAAGTGTTCTAAGTCGTAAATAATACTAAGTCAGATGCTGACTTGTATTGACACCTGGAAACATGTAGTTGGACTGTTTGATAAGAAAAAACACTTGACAATTTGGGAATAGATGACACGTAGATTTTGTGGGTCCAACCGGATATCTTGAAACTAGAAATAGCTGGCTGGCAAAACAAGATCAGTTTATGCTTTTTTTTTTTTTTTTTATTTGCAGAAAAATAAAGAGTCTTCTTCAAGTTCATCTTTTTACCTTCCCCACTCTGTTTTGTTTTCTCAGTTATAGTTAATACAGTTCATTTTGACAGCTGAGAAAACTGTACCTTGTTGAATTATTCCTATTTGAAGATCTGTTGTTCCCATTTTCTGAAACACTTTTTGGAAGCAAATCCTCTGCAGTTTCTGACAAAGCCATTTGGGCGATTACACATGCACTCATTTTCCTCCATTGTTTGGCCTGTTTTGTTTGTGGGATCTTCAAGTCTGTTCTTTTGAGCTACATGTCTTAGAAAGGCAAAGAGCTTGAACTAGCAGCAGAGAAATCTGTTTGTATTCATAAGTAAGATTATATATTAACCACCACTATGTGGTCAAGAGGTTTTAAGTTCGATTCATATCGGTCCCTAATATAAGGTGATTACTGAAACTTTTACTTGATCGGTATTTTTAGAGTTCTGGAGACTAATTAAAATACGCACAAACTAGCTTGAACACCCTCAATCATTAAAAAAAAAAAAAAAAAGATTATACACTACATTTAAGGGTTATAACTAGTGAGAAAATTTGTTACAATTGGACGTTGATAGCTACATTTAAGGGTGGGAGCTAGTGAGAAAATTCGTTACAATAGGGCATCGATGGCTTCATTTAAGGATGGGTTATGTTAGCATAGAGCGGGAACGATGAAAATTGAGGGTTTTAGTGTGTAGTGTTAACTTACCGTTAAATCGATCTTAACAAGGATTTATATAGCTTGAGCCTCCATAGGAAAAATATATTGAATATCACATAAGTACCACGTCATCCGTATCACTCATCAATGTATTTATACTGCCAATAAATATTTTTAATCTCCTAAATCTTTGTCATTAATATGATTGATAGATTTTAACTTAAAAACATATGTGACACAATGTATTGGTTTATGGTATGGGTGACATTGTAACATTCTTCTATGCTTGAGACATGTTCTCTCATTGTGTCACGTGTCGTGCTCCTGCCGCTTAGTAGCTTATAGCTCATATTGGACCTTTTCCCTTTGGATATTAATGTCGAGTAATGCTAGCCCTACTCACTCCTAACAAAGATGAGTAAGAGAAGTGAGTAAGAGGAGTAAGTAATGCTAACATTATTCATTAATCTCGGGTTAGGTCTATTCAATGACCCAATCCACTTAATCTAGATTGTTGAGCTTATTGTTAACTAATCATTGGGTTTGGATTTGGGTTTCAAGAAACATACCACCATTTGTTTCAACTTGAAGTTGATGGGAAAACAATAACGAAGAGAAAGAAAATCAAAGAGAACAACTAACTAAATTAGAAAGCCAAAATGGACTGTGATTAATGAATCCATAAGCAAAATCTTTTTTTTTTTTTTTTTATGGCCGCAGTGTTCAAGTCAGTTTATACGCACCTCAACTGATCCTCGAGACCCTAAAACTATCATCTAGATAACCGAAGAGGGATTTCAACTTAGTACCTTTTGAATAATACATTCAAAAACTTTATCGAACTACTCGATCACCCAAAAGTAGCTATAAGAAATATCTTCTGTTTATATAATCTTTTTAGACCTTTCTAAGAAAGGGAGAACGACATTTTCCCGCCCAAGGTTTGGCGAAACAACACTTGTCCACCCGTCAAGTTTCAAAATGACACTTTGCCACCCTTCGTCAGGTTCTGTTAACGTTTTCAGTTAATATTTGATTAAAAAGATGAAAATACCCTCAAATAGTTTATTTCTTAATTAGTTTATTATAAATTAAAATTTAGTTAAGTCAAAGTCTTTACTCTCTATTATTTATTAGTTCAAGTGTAAATATATCTTTTTTCTTTTGTTTATTTAATTAATTAAGAATATTGATTTTCTTTGTTAATTTGTAAAAATGAAAAACATTATAAATTTAGTAGATTATTGAATAATAGTGATGAGATATTGATGACATTATAAATAAATAAATATTAAGGTTTTTTAACTTTAAACAATCTCATAGTATTACTGCTAACTTTTTAGGTTAGGTTTATTATTATTATTATTATTATTTTGATTTTTAATATTTGATTTTTTAGCTAATTAAAAAATAATAAAAAATTTATAAAATTAAATATTTAAAAGTATTTTCGACTTTTTAATAAAATATTAATAAAAAATATAACAAAACTTAACGAAAAGTGGAAAAATTTCATTTTGAAACTTGAAGGCTGAAAAAATATCGTTTCGCCGTACCTTGGAAAAATGTCGCTCTCCCTTCTAGAAAATAGAATTCTAGTTGACAAAGACACCAAGATCCATACTCTGCTGTTTTACAGTTCATAGTATCATTAAAGAGGACAATAATAGTCAAGCATTAATAAATAAATAAACTCTCAAAAACTTTAATGGTTTCTATGTTTATCATTTTCCTTCTGCTTGACCTGTCTTTACATGAAAGAAATCTAGATGGTTCTATGAACCTTTTTCTGGTGAAGTTGAACTGTTTTTTACTGAACAAACATTATGCCTAATTTAATATTTAATATTCATACAATAATGTAAACAAGAAACTGACAGAAACAAGACATTCAAGGTCCTGAAACTGACCCTTCTAATTTTGACAGTCTCTACAAATTTTAATGAAAATAAGAACCATCCTCCATTGATTGGGATAAATGAATGCTTTATATAGAACAAAGACTATTCGGCAAGAGCATCGGCAGTATGATACATCGGTACCGCTGCTAATCTATTCGACTATGATTATAATTGCTTTTAACAAGGGGTATCATCCCAGGAGAGAAAAACCTGAGCTAAGAATTGGAACCAGTTATGGTGCCTTCCTGTACAAGAGGCTTTTGAGGCTCAGGAAGGTTTTTGACGTATATGTCACGTAGCATTGTCATGTAGTCATCAACCTTGTTGGCTGTCCAATCAGTGGTACTTATTCGAGGGAGATACTTTACGGTAATAGGTGTTGGTCGAACATGTAAACTGCCATTTCTCCATGCCCGATGAGTACCAGTTAGGACCATTGGAACTATTGGGAGGCGGGATTGCAGTGCCAGATGAATAAAACCCTGACATGGAGTTTGGAAAAACAAATTTAATGGAAATGCCTCTAGTAAAATGATAAACAAGACAAGAGAACTGGCTTATGTATATTGACTGATTGATCATGCAGTGATAGATTTCTAATGACTGGCATTCTCCAATCTACTATATGCCAACAACTGTGGAAACTAAAATTCCATTATCATCTAATCAAATCGAAGATCTGCCTCCAACTTTTACTCAGATGGATGAGTAAGCAGCCTACATTTTACCATTCTAATAAACATTATATATACCTATCAAAATATACGCACATCAATAGTATTACCTTTTTGAAGGGAAGAAGTCGTCCGTTTTTGGACCTGGTACCCTCAGGAAAAATGATCAAAGAGAGTTTGTTTTCGACAACTGCACGAGCTGCCTGAACATGAGAAGAAACATAACTTAGAAACATAAGAAAAAGAATGGCTGACAAATGATGCAGAAGAGAAAAAAGGATACCTCTTTCATTGACTTAATGGCTGCAGAGGGGTTGGAGCGATCTATACGGATATGTTTGGCCAAAACATAAAGTTGCCCAAACAGAGGGTACCATATGATCTATGCAAAGTTAAATTTTAATATATTAGTCAAACTTAAGACTTCGATCCCGAGCATTTATCTATCAATACAAGGGCACATATTCATAGAGAAAGAACCTCTTTCTTTGCAATGCCAACAGTGCCCGTGGGAGTCAACCACATTATAAGGAAGATGTCTATTGGAGATGCATGATTACTGATGTATATCGCCCTTTCATTAGAGAATTCAGTACCTTCAATCTTTATTGGATTCCCCAAGATCCACATCTGCAATCCATATGCTGAGAAGTTTAATCACCTAATGAGAAACTGCATCAAACTCAAATTAAATATAAGGAACCTATAACAAGAAAGCATGAACAGTAAACATATCATATCGACCATGAATTGTCAGCAAATACTTGCATTTCCATTCTCTTCAATGTCTATGAACCTACTTAACAAAAGTGTGTTAGATAACTCAGAATTTGGTACATTCCATTTTTTTTTTTTTTAGGTAAACTGAAACAAAGCAAATAGAATCTGAATACAAGAAACTTAACCAATTGTCCAATTGCCTGGGCTCAATCCAACTAGTCAAGAGTCGTGGTCGTCAATCTCGAGTTTGGCCTACACCGTAACGACCAATCGAGAGCTCAGCCGCTCATGGTCATGTTGACGGTGGCTGGAGACAACGAAATGGTGCTGGTCATGGTGGAAATCGAATCATCGACAGTTGGAGAAGGTGGTTTGTGGCCGAGGAAGACCAAGGGAGGCTTCTAGTGGTGGTTCCCGGTGGCCGGCGAAAATTAGTATAAAGTTGGTACATTCATCTCACCAGCTGATATGCTATCTGCTCTCTATTCTTAACATTAAATTTCATTTACCAACATATTATCAAGGCAATTTGTCACTCCATTATTACTTCTCAATGGACTATACCATAAGCTACCCCTAATATTTTAAAACCCGGCCCGGCCGGTTGAACTGGGACCCGAAAGCTTCAATGGGCTGGGTTTATATTTTTCCTATTCACCCAAACCCCTAGGATTTGGGAGGATGATTGGGGAAAAATTGATGGCTGGAATGTTAGGGCTTTTGAAGAGAAATTGCCGATGAATGCAATGGTGGTGACGGAGTTGATTTTTGGACCGTAAATCGAACAAAACTGGCCGCGGAAACAATGGGATTTTTCTGGCGATTGGCGAGGCTAACGGGGGTGGGGTGAGGTGGGTTTTGGTCGGGAGGAAAAGGGGAGTAATTCTTGGGTAATGGGGAGGGTTGTCAACGCCGGCGTCGATGAGATCTGACCTAGAATGCCGACACCGATGTCGGTGAGATCTGGCCGAAATCGAACCTATTTCGGCCAGATCTTGGGTATATTTTGATGGAAATGGACTCAAGAGATGATTGGGGTTCCATCTGGGGTGTCGCCACTGCCAATTAGTCGCCGGTCGATTTGCATTTGGGGTGTGTTTAATAAATTTCAAACCTATAGGGACTTTACAGAATTTTTAAGGGTATATTTGCTAAATTTTAAAAGTTTTTGGCTAGTCAAACCAGTTAAACTGGTCAACTCGGGACCCGAAAGCTTTGCCGGGCTTCACCCCGGGTTGGGTTTTAAAACATTGGCTACCCCTACATGTTTTTACAAATTCACTTTAGGTTCCCCTACAGTGCATTCTCTCTACCTTATTTTATATCCTGCAACTTCTTTTCTAATTGCCCACCTGAGCATTTTACTTTACTTTTCATTAATGTACTCAGATTATATACTGCTACTGTTCACAAGCTTTGGTAAGTTAGCATGGTCTGCAAGAATAAATGCTCACACTTAAAAGTACTTACCAACTTTCAAGAAAAAAGCAAACGCTCTCCCTGGCCATCCATGAGCTCATTTATTACAAACTCTTCTGATAAAACTACACATAAATTCTATATGACAATAAATAAATTCTGGAATTATGGTTAGGTTTAGATTTGAGGTGAACCTTCAAGATATACAGACCCACCAACGTACAGTCATTCTGAACTAGGCACATTTTGAGGTCCCAGCAGTGAAAATAAATAAAAATGTTTGGTCAAAATATGACAAGGCCCTATACGGCTGCTAAGAAAATGCAGAAAACCAGGAAACCATAAGAAAATCTAGTATACTCACAACAAAATTTTATTACCCAGATTAACTTAAACCGAAAAATGAAACTTTTAACTTACCAATAATCTACCAGTAACATGTCCATAAACATTGCCTTGCCTAATCCTCTTATAAGGCCAAGGTAATAGCAGAACCATAATCAGTGCCCAGATGAAGGTTGTGACCATCATTGTCACAAAACAAGTGACAATTCTTACCCAAGATATCAACACACAGAACCATCCACCATCATCATCATCACTATCAACACATTCTTTATTCGTTCGCGGCGGCCTGTGTTCAACTTGTTTCACTGGAATTTTTGGTGGTTGTTTCACATGAGGCTCAGAACTTGTGTTGAAGAAATTATCAAACCTTCTGTTCCTCAGAAAAGAATCACTTCCGGTGCTGTCCATATGTCAAAACTCAAAAGATTGCACTGAATCAAACCAGAACAAAACCGATCGTTAAAGAACTTAATTCAATCAATAACTTAAAGAAAAAAGCTATCTATTTAGCTGCTGAGAAAGTGAGGGAAAATCAGAACCTCTTGTAAATATTTGTACTACGTCAACCAATAACACGAATATTCGAATAAAAAACAGAGATCACTTGAGAAAAGATAATAACCAACTGTGTCAAAAACTGGGTAGATAAGAGAAAAAGTCTAGAAACAATGAATAACATTCTGCTTGGTAGCCGAGAAAATGGATAGAAACAAACCACTACAAAACAAAATAAAAAGAAGATAGAACCACAACCTTAAATTATTTCTTCGAATATCAACAAAACAAAAGAAAACAAGGACAGAATGGCCTCCTCGCCAAACAAAAATAAATGGCTATCCGTAGACTTACTCTGTAGTTTTCTTGGTTACCAAACAAAACTCAAACAACAAACACCACTACTACAAAGTATGGTTTTTTAAACATGTTTGACAAATACCCACCAAACCTTTTCACCAAATAAGACTAGATTCATTAATAATATACCTTGTCTCCAAGAATTTTCCAGAGAATATAAGAGAGAGAGTTCAGGAAGTTTAAGCAAAATATAAGTGTTCTAAGTCGTAAATAAGACAAAGACTTAATGAGTGGCGCTAAATTATAGTTTACATAACTGATTGAAGCATTTGAAGTAGGTTTGATTTGCAGTTTTGCCATTGTTTTTTCTACCAAAAAGTCCAATCCGGTTTTGCAAAGTGTCAGGTGTTTTAAGTGAGGTGTTTAATTTTGACCATAGAATGGATATGGTCTATGTGTATTTATTTATTATTTTACTCGCATTTTAAAGGTTTATCGAGATTTTCTTATATGGGAGGGGTCTATCTAGTTAAACACTTGTTATATTTAGATAATGAAGATGAATTATAGAAAAAAGTAAGATACTTTTATCGGGGCGAACTTATGAATAGTATGATAGGCCCGTCACACCATATAACAAGTTAATATGTTAAGAGTAAACTACATGATCTCACCTGAGGTTTAACTAAAGTTTAAGTTAACATCTTTAGTTTCATTTATTCCAAATTTCCACCTTTAAACTAACATTATTTCTATTTTTTAAACAGTTAAAGGATAAAACGGTCTTTTCCTAATTTGAAATTAAAACTTCAAAATAATCTCAAATTTCTTTACACCTCCTCTCTTCCTCCAGCTCTACCACCACTGGCCAGAGATCCCAACTGAAATCGTTGGTCGCATCCCACTGCCATTACCACCATGCTGCTGTCGCCGAATGACAAACACAAACACTCCAAAAATCAAACAATCAACCTCAGAAATCCCAAACAAACAAATCTGATTTGTCCAACACCCGATTTGTCCAACACCCGATTTGTCCAAAATCACACAAACACTCCAAATACAAACACTAACAACCTCTAATCATAAACAAACCTCTCAATCTCCAAATTAACACAATTTCACCCAAAAACATGATGAAGAACATGAACCTCTTGCCCCGCGAACGATGACTAACCGGTTGTTGGGGATAGGGGGGTTTTGTAGAGTGGGAGCCGCTGGTTGCATTGGTGGTGTCCAATTGGATTTTGGCCACCAGATACTGGCGAAGAAAAGCAAAACCCTAAACATAACGACGCTAGTGATCGAAAGGGTCAATACGTCGAGAAATAAAAGGGTTTTGGAGTATGGATTACGGGGAAGCTGATGGAGGTGATAAAGTTGTCGGGTCCCGGGTTGACCAGTCGGTCAAACCAGTTGACAAAGACTTCTAAAATTTAGCAAATACACCCCTAATAATTATGTTAAGTCCTTATAGGTTTAAAATTTAGCAAACACACCCCAAATACAAATCGGTCGGTGACTGGTTGGCGGCAGCGACACCCCAGATGCAACCTCAATCGTCCCTTGAGTCCATTCCCCTTAAAATATACCTAAGATCTGGCCGAAATAGGTTCGATTTTGGCCAGATCTCACCAACGTTGGTGTCAACATTCCAGGCCAGATCTGATCAACGCCGACGTCGACAACCCTCCCAATCACCCAAAAATTACTCCCCTCTTCCTCTCGACCAAAACCCACCTCACCATACACCCGTTAGCCTCACCAATCGTTGACAAAAGTCGGTTGTTGCCGCTACCAGTTTTGTTCGATCTCTGGTCGACTTACTCACCGGAAATCAAATATGTCACCACCATTGCATTCACTGTCACTTTCTCTTCAAAAGCCCCAACATCCCGGCCGTCAATTGTTCGTCGATCATCCTCCCAAATCCTAGGGTTTTGGGTGAATATGAAAAATATAAACCTGACCCATTGAAGCTTTCGGGTCCCGGTTGAATGTGTTAAATCGATCGAACCAGGCTGGGTTTTAAAACGTTGCTTTCGGGTTTTGGGAGGGAGAGAAGAGTGTGGCTGTGGCTGATGGAGAGAGAGAAGCCGCGGAAGAGAAGAAGAAGAAGAAGAAGATGGAAGGGGTAGTTCGGTAATAGCATGTCATCTACTTTAATTTTTAATTATATGTTAGTTTAAGGGTGAGAATTTGGAATAAATGGAATCGGGGTATTAACTTAGGCTTTCATTAAACCTCGGGTGGTAACATGTCGTCTACTCATATGTTAAATATGTACTAACATAAGCATTGATAGTTACCTAAATTGTTGTCATGTATTTTGGGTTATAGTTGGGTCTACCACAGAAGTTTAATAATAAAAAGTATGCACGTTAAATTTAAATAATACATTTAGGCCATGTTTATTGCGTGATGGATATAATATAATACAATACCGAATACGATGATATAATATTCCATTTTGAGTAATTAATTAATTAAAATGAACAAAGTAAACTAAGTACATTGTATTAGCTAATAAATTGAAAAGTTTGTACGAAACATTATATTTTATCAGATAGTATTATACGTTATTCTTGAGTAAGACAGACCAAACATGTCTTTAATATATGTATATTTAAATATATTCTTATTTTGTTCACGTAAATTAAATGGTTATTAAGATTGTGAGATTATACCTTTTTTATGAAAAAAAATTAGGAGAAATGATATAATTATGAAGCTAATTAATTTAAATTTGACATTTTGATGAATTAAATTACCTTTATTAAAAAAAAAGTAATGCTACACTATATCTCTTTTTACATAATTTTTATTACATCATGGTGTAGCATATGTCACAACCACACAAATTTTTAATTATTTAGAATTTTAATTTTTAATAGAATTTTGGTGTTGTACATATGCTCATCATATGTTTACAAAATGGTGTAGTATGCTTTACTCTTAAAAAAATGATGATAGATGACCTTTTTTTTTTTTTTTTTTTTTTTTTCATAACCGACTAATCTCTTGAATCCTGAAGTTAACGATAAAAAAAACTTTTCATAGTTCTCTTAAGTAATATACAGTCAGTCCTTATCGCCTCATCTGATCACCCATGGTGGATTAGTTGGGTAGTTTTTAGTTGATATATTTATACTATATCTTAATAGAACCAATAAATGAATAAAAAAAAATTGGTTATTAAAAGTTATTGGATCTTAATTTAATGAAACTCTGGAAATTATAATCCGCTTCGAACATCGACAAGAGTCTACATGGCTTCAACAACTCATTCCCTCAAAACGGTGCGTATTAGTAACAACTATCATAAGGCCATGGCCCATGGCTATTTATTTTTTTAAGAAGACACATTAAAATGGTGAAATGGATATTAAACAATTGGTAAAAAATTTAAATAAATTAATGGTAATTTAAGAGGTTTTTTTTTTTTTTGGTTGGGAATTTATTAATTTCTCACAGAAGTCAATTAATTAATTTTTTCAATTTATGTTTGACAAACTCATAAATTAGCACACAACGTTTTTTTTTATTTTTAAATATTTTAATTAATTTGTTATGGGGAAGTTTTCTTTAACAATTTAAAAAGGGGATTAAAAAATATAAAGAAAGTAAGGGACTTTAAAGTAATTAAAAATTATTAACCAGCCCCTTATAGATTGATAATATTGAACTATTCCCTACTGACTGAGCGTGTAAATTTTCAGAGCGAAATGATATCTGCTTTAGCGGACATATAGGAGAGATTTTGTCTCGTTACCACCCCTTCACTTTGTCTTCAATTCTAAGGTTCCATTGTTCTTCACTTTCTGCATCATCTCTACATCAAAGTTTTGTTTTTTCAATTACGAGGCAGGTACTTTGTTTCTCATCACCTTTAAAGTTTGAATCTATATAGACCCTGATCAATATTTTCCCTTTTGTTTTTCATTTTATCATTTTGTTGTTGGTTTTGTAGTTTTTTGATATAATTTTGGACGTTTGGTTGCTGGGAAATTAGGAACCAGAAAGAAAATGAAAATTTGGGTGTTATTTATTTATTTATTTATTTTTTTGGTTTAGTGTATTGAAAAAGTAAACGCATTCGAGTCAAATGGTAATGTCAAGGTCTGTGAGTGAAGGGTTTTGTTTCTATTGACATTCTATAACTGAAAAATCTTTGATTGTAATTTTTTATATTTTTGCTTAATTTATATTCTATGTTTTGTTGAAACAAAGCATGATCGACTAGTAAATAGAATGTTAATATCTTTTTAGATTTTATTTTGATAAACGTGAGCTGATATATTCTTGTATGCAGCTTTTGGTTTGGATACTTTGAGAGGAAGTATAAAGTGGTTATTTTGGAAGAGGTAGAAGGGAAAGTGTATTGACTTTGGTTGTTTCTTGGTGGGTTTATATTCCAAGTGTTATTCTGTATGTATATGTGCTTGGTGGTTTGAAATGAGTGTGGTGGGCTTTGATATTGGAAATGAAAACTGTGTTATTGCTGCGGTGAAGCAAGGGGGTGTTGATGTGTTGTTGAATGAGGAATCAAATCGCGAAACCCCGGCCATTGTATGTTTTGGGGAGAAGCAGCGGTTTCTTGGGTCTTCCGGTGCTGCTTCTGCAATGATGAACCCAAAATCCACGATATCTCAAATAAAGAGACTGATTGGTAGGAGATTTAAGGAACCTGGGGTAGAAAAAGAGCTAAAAGTGTTACCATTTCAATCTTGTGAAAGCCCTGATGGTGGCATTTGGATTAATGTGAAATATTTGGGTGAGACACACACATTTACTCCTGTTCAGATTTTGGGGATGCTCTTTGCACATTTGAAAGATATTGCGGAGAAAAGCTTGGAAACGCCTGTTGCAGATTGTGTGATTGGGGTTCCATCATACTTTACTGATTTGCAGAGACGTGAGTATTTGAATGCTGCATCAATAGCTGGGTTGAAGCCTTTGAGATTGATACATGACTGTACAGCGACGGCACTTGGTTACGGGATCTATAAAACAGGATTCTCTAATTCAGGAACAACTAATGTTGTATTTGTTGATATTGGTCATTGTGATACCCAGGTCTCTATTGTAGCTTTTCAAGCCGGGCACATGAGGGTTCTGTCACATGCATTTGATAGTAATTTGGGAGGGAGAGACTTTGATGAGTTATTATTTGGTTATTTTGCAGGAGAGTTCAAAGAGAAGTATAACATCAATGTTTATTCTAATGTTAAGGCGTGTATTAGGTTAAGAGCAGCATGTGAGAAGTTGAAGAAAGTTCTTAGTGCTAATGCAGAGGCACCTTTAAATATTGAGTGTTTGATGGATGAGAAAGATGTTAGAAGTTCTATTAAGAGGGAAGAGTTTGAGAAGCTGGCTTCAGGACTGTTAGAGATTATTAGTGTTCCTTGCAAAAAAGCTTTAGCAGATGCAGGGTTGAATTTAGATGAAGTTCATTCGGTTGAGATTGTTGGGTCGGGGTCTAGGATACCAGCTATTACTAGATTGTTAACTTCTATATTCAGTAGAGAACCTAGGCGGACAATGAATGCAAGTGAGTGTGTGGCACGTGGATGTGCACTCCAGTGTGCAATGCTTAGTCCTGTTTTTCGGGTCAAAGAATACGAGGTATTTTAAAATAATTATTATTTATTGACCTCTTTTTTATGTTTTGAGCTTTTTCTAAGAACTTCAACTTGTTACTTTAAGGACATATTGGTAGTTGCTAATTACCTTTTAAAAATTTCTCCTCTTGAATCTTGGAAATTGTTGACAACTTGCAATGCTGCTTATTTCATTTCCCCCAGTATAACAACGGTTTAATGTGAATGAAATCGACATAATACAGAGGGGATTTAGTTGTTGTCTTTTTGATTGTTGTAAGAATTACATAGCTCTGATATAATAGAAATTCTGAAAGATTATTGGCAAGATCTGAGGAAACAAAGCATACTAATGGTCTTTAGAGTTCTTGGTATGAACATCTTGAATGTTTTGAGTGAAAAGGAATATTTCAAGACTAACTTTGGCTGGTTTGTTTTGTTTTAGAAAAAAAAAAAAATGATGATTTTATACTTGCTGGAAGTAGTTTCATAAGAAATTATTGGCCATTTTGCCTGAAATTTGATTGTGTTGTATACAAAAACTTCTTTCTCTATGTCTCCATTGGTATAAACAAAAAAAATAACTTTCACCCACCATATGTTATCTGATATGCAGATGCATATTTAGTTGTTTGGTGTGTTTTTATATATTATTGAAGGTAATTGCCAGTTAATGGCCTTATGCAGGTCCAAGATTCTATCCCTTTCTCCATAGGAATCTCATCAGATGAAGGTCCAATATGCCTGGGATCAAAAGCCAATGGCTTATTGTTTCCTAAAGGTCAACCCATTCCAAGTGTTAAACTTTTGACATTTCAGCGGAATGGGATGATCCATTTGGAAGCATTCTATGTTAATACAGATGAATTGCCATCTGGTGTATCTTCAAAAATTAGCCGTTTCACTGTAAGTGTACTTTGTAAAAAGACTCCTGTTTTGACTGGATTGTAATAGTTATTAAGTTGCTGCGTAATCGCATATGCAGATTGGCCCTTTCCAGGGCTCCCATAGTGATAAGGTGAGGGTTAAAGTTAAAGTCAAACTGAACCTCCATGGTATTGTCACTGTTGAATCAGCTTCGGTGAGTAAGAAGTCTCTTTTGTTCTGTCATCTTGTTTAGTTTTTAGTATCAGTTTTCTGAGAGTTTTTGTTTGGTGGTATTTATCATATTACGGCTTCAGTTGATAGAAGGTCATGCAGATGATTCGGTTACAGAGCCCTCTAAAATGGGCAAAATGGAGTCTGCAACGGTTGAAAATGTCCATCGACATTCCTCTGTAAGTTTCTTGCCATTCTTATTGTAACAGGAATGGGAAAGGCTTATGTTAATTTGATATTTTCATCTCTTCATAATTCATTTTTTGTTGCAGAACAGAATCTAGTTTAATACAATCCTACGGGTAAAGCTCATCTTTGTGCTGTTTTTCTGCAGGCTGATGGTGTTATGAAAGACAAGTCCAGCAGGAGACTTCAGATGTCTGTTAGTGAAAATATATATGGTGGAATGACCGTGGCTGAGCTCACCGAGGCTCAAGAGAAAGAACATCAGTTCGCCCAGCATGACCGAACTGTAGAACAAATCAAAGACAAAAAAAATACCTTGGAGTCATATGTCTATGAGATGCGGAGTAAGGTAAGATTTTTAAATTTCGAAAATACAGATTGTCATCGTCCCAAGATACAAAGATATTGCTCAGTTTTGACTCAACCTGCTCGCTTATGTAGTAACCCTGATTTGATTATTACTGTAGAATTTATTACACTTTTGATGCATCTAATAATTCCATTCAATAGTGTGCTGTGGTAAATGGAATTTATGACTTAGTTAATAGATATATATGGTAGATTTCTGTCCGTATCATATAGTCAAACTAAGGAAGTTCTGGTTAAAGTTACGTCTATTTGTACCTATTGCTGGCTTCTTAAACTATAACATGTATGTCTATAGCTTTTCAATACATATCGGAGCTTTGCAACTGATTCGGAGAGAGAGGGCATATCCAAGAATCTACAGCAGACAGAGGAGTGGCTTTATGAGGATGGTGATGATGAAACTGAAAACGCTTATACCTCGAAACTTCAGGATCTTAAAAAGGTGAGTCATTATCTGAATCTCAAAGTTTGCCTTTTTATTATTCTTCCCTGTTTGATTTTCTATTGGTTTCATGTAGTTGGTGGATCCAATTGAGAATCGATATAAAGATGGAGAAGCTCGAGCACAAGCTACAAGAGAATTATTAAAATGCATTGTGGAGTTCCAAACAGCTGTCGAGTCACTCTCAGCTCAGGAAAAAGAACCGGTATGACTACTGTTGTGTCATAGTAACAGTTACGAATAAATTTATAATCATTTTTACAATGCTTGTCACTTTCCGTATTTCAGGTCATTAATGAGTGCTTCAAAGCAGAGAAGTGGCTAAGAGAGAAAACTCAACTACAAGATTCCTTACCAAAGAACACTGACCCTGTGTTATGGTCAACTGACATCAAGAACAGGACAGAGGAACTAAAATTGTACTATTCTTTTGCTTTTAGTTTGCATATTAGAAAATTTAGAATTTTATTGTTTTATTGTTAAACAATAAAAGTAAATGATAACAAAGTCTATCATTGTTACAAGATCAAATATCTGCTCATAATTATTCATACATCATATATTTAGGAAGGAGATAAGAACTTATATTATGGGGAGAATTTTTATCTTTGCTGCGTTCGTCTTTTCCTTGTAGGTTTTTATGGGACTATTATTAGTCCAACACTTATTTATGGACAAGGAAATGTACTTGAGCTAACACTCGCCTTCAGCCATTCTGCACTTTTCATGCTCCCTATCCAATATCGACTAGTTCATTTGTTTCCATAATTATTTATTGCCTCTGTTTTCTTTCTATGATAGTTAATTTCTTCTGAAGTGTTTACTAACTTTTGTTTGATGGTTTTCACTACCATGTTCCAGTTTGTATACTATCCGTGAGGGGCTTGATTCATTTATTGCTATAATTATGTATTTTCCATTCTTTACTTTCTGATATTGTTATTTTCATCTGATGTGTTTAATAACTCTTGTTTAATGACTTTTTTTTCCACATCATCCGTTCTGTAATTCTACTTTAGATTCATTTTTTGCTATAATTATGTATATGACACTATTTACTTTGAATGAACCTTATTTTCATCTCAAGTGTACTAATTTTTGTTAAATTGAATTCAGGAAGTGCAAACAGGCATGGAGAAAGACACATCCGAAGCGGTGAGGCAAGATTTAAGGCTTAGATCACTGCCTTGGAGAGTAGCTTTATTCCAGGACTTGTTATTTAGTCAAATGCTATTGGTAATCATTTGATTGTTAGCCATACATATAAATGCAAACTGCTGATGTTAGTGTCCACAGTTTTTTCCACCATTTATCATTCCATGAAAGTTTGGAGATGTCATTAGTCAGATAGTATTTATCAAGGAAAAAAAAAAAGTATACTTAAGTGGGATTTTATACAAATACAGAAAGATACTGGCTCGACTTGTGGTACGTACACCCAATTTTATTATTTGGTTAGATGTATCTATGAATTCAGAAAATTTTGCGAGAGTTTCATTGCTAATGCGATGGTTAATGTATTTTATATGGTTTGGTACTGTGCATCAATTGTGTTATAAAAGAAGTGCAGTGCATTTCTTGTTTATTTCTACTCTCCCATTTTATTCTTGTACCGATCTTTGTGAAGAGCTAGGGGGTAATTAACTTCAGCTTCAATGACCTAACCAAAAGTGCAGTGGTTCATTGTCTTTTGAATAGCAACTTACAACACATTGTATGGTTTCAACTTTCAACCTGGGATGGTGAATGGTTATGGGATTTTGATCTGATTAGAACATAAGATCTGAAATTTCGGAATTGGATCCAAAACTTCTCACAGCTAGTATTAAGTACAAAACACCAAGGATCTGTAATTTCTTACAAACTCAAAGGATTAAAAGAAGTGAAAGATAGGCAATATTATACTTTCTTAATGATTCAAAACAACTGTACAACTAGAATGCAGGTTTATGAAACCAATTACAAAAATCTACAGCACTGAGAAATGACATCAAATGTGTGGTATATATGTAAATGTCATCTCTTGGCGTTTTTATTCTTGCTGCCAGTTTTCTTTTTCGACTTCTTAATGCCGCTCTCCTACAAAAACCGAATGTCATGACTAATAAGTGAAGAGAGAACCAAAATGCCAACATTAAATGTTTTTTGACATGTACCTTTCTATATTGTCTATAAGCAAATTGCCCTGTCAACTCCTGCCCACTTCTGGAGATGTAAACCTGCAGAGAATTATAATAGAATGTAAATAATTAGGTGCAGATGAAATATGTGCAGTTTAAATAATAAGAAACTATAAACACATAGCTAGCCAAGTAGAAAGGAACAGGCGAAGCAGTAGCTTTGGCGGCAAATAGCTAGCCAAGTATACTTAAGAAAACCTTTAAAAAAAAAAATTAGTACCACTAGTGACAGCTGCAACCGTGTCTTGCTATTACCAGATTTCATGTTTACCAGATTCTAATTAAATTCATGGTCCCATTCCCAGGATATATTATACATATGGGGGCACCACCATGATACTGAAAGACAAAGATAGAAACCAACGACTATGGCTATCTAAATGCTTTCCTCCCTTCTAAAGTTAGGAGTACTGATGACACAATACATGTATCAACACGTTGTTTTTTAGATAATTTCAGGGTTAGTGACATGAGCCATTAGTAGCCATACATAACGAATCGAGCTATAGAACTTCTACACCACCTATGTACTTTTATCGAGTAAAGAAATTTTTTTACTAAAATAATTCAACTTACCTTCCTTCCCTCTGGTGAAGTATACCAATGGCCGGCTGATTGACCATTTGCATGAACTCTTCTTTTGCCAGCATCCTTTGGAATTGCACTGCCTTTTGGGTCCACCCAGCCTTCAGAAGCATGCAAATCTTGAGTATTTGGTTGTCCTGATTTTTTTCTTCCCCTAGTTGAGCTTTTATTATTTATAATTTTCTGAGTTCCTTTCTGTTTAGAAGCTTCTCCGTTGCTAAATTGGCTCCTGATACAAATACAAGTTCACTATAAATGTGATAATACATATGAAGTTGTTCGCAAGTAATTTAAGCAAACGGAATGCAAAGAAGTTACATATAATCAATAACCGATGCGCAAGGCTGCTGATTTCCTCTCTTTGCAACAATGCCTAGTGGGGAAAAGTTTGGCAAGCGACTCCGGACCAATTTCTGAATCCTTGGGTCATCGTGGAAAAAGTAATGATGAGAAGGAGGAAGAGGATCGGATGAATCCCAGCACTGCTCAAAGTTTCCACAGCTGTTCGTATATGTGTAAGGCCCTTTATTGTTACCTACACACGCATCATCCGAAGCTGTACCCTTATCCTTGGCAGATTGGAAATATTCTTGACAGAACTCATCCAGAACAGGTGTTGGAATTTGAGAGCTCTTCGTTGGACATAAGTCCTTCCATAAATCCTCATTGTGATGCATATCCAGTGGCCTTGTTTTCTTTTGTTCGCTTGCAGAACATGCTGCTTCCTTTGAGGATGAATTAATTCTACGAGCTCCTTTGCTTACATCTTTGCTGATAGAAGGCTGATCAGTATCTAACTCGGAATCAGAATCAAGCAACTGAAACTTCCGAAGAGGACTAATAGTTAACTTTGGAAACATCCATCCATTCTGGTTTGTAGCCAAACTTGCAGAAGAGGGTGCATCAGAACCTTGTTCCCTTTTCCCGGACTTTCTCAATGGTTGTGTGGTAAAAACTCCATGTCCACGCAACGGGATCTTCGAACTGCTACACACAGACTGATGTTGTGCTGATGGATGCCGATCTGTTCTTGAATACAATTGATTAGGTAAACATCCATAAAAAAATTAATGAAGTATTAGCATTAAATTAACATTTTAAATCATACCAGGGAAGGGATACATATATCAAACCAAAAAGAAAACAGACATCCAACAAAAGAAACCCACTAAAAAAATTATATCAAAGATTTCTATCCTGCAACCACAAAATGAATTAAAGAAAACACTACTTTATAGTCCAAGCAAAACCTTCATTTGCACAGATACATACCGATCACAATACTGCATTGATCAAACAACCGATTAAAACTTAAAACCCACTTCAATAAATGACTAATTAAAATTTATTTACCTCTAATTAGCAAATCTTCCTCCTGTGAAGAGAACTCTTCAATCTCATCATCACCATTGACACCACAACTCCGCCGCTCAACTTCTTGCTTCTTCTCTGAAAGCGGCGGCACTATCTGGTTTGTGGGTCCGGCTCCGAAACCCCGTCTAAGGCGCTTCAGCACTCGGGTCGTTTCAGGTTCGGGTTCAGGATCCGAGTCCATGACTTCCGCCTGCTCGAGAGTGTCGATATTGTCCCCAAGAACGCCGGCATGGGTAGAGGGAGCTTGAGGAGATGGATCGATGGGTCGGATGGCGATTGGAGAATCCAATTGGGTATCCAAATCGAGCCCCAGAGAGAACGACGGTGGTTCAAAATTCGCCATCGTAATTTGCGCGCACAGAGATGGAGTAAGTGAGATTTGATTTTATTTCATATTTAATTTTGCGCCAAAACCCGAAATTTTTGGGCAGGTGGGCCTTTGGGCTTCCATTTGAAAAGCCCGATCCATGTTTTAAAAATTGATGAATTATAATTTGTTTATTATTTATAAAAAAAAATTACAAAATGTAAAATATATATAATATTTTTTTATTAAAGACTTATATACAATCTGTTTGAACTAATTTACACACACTTCAACTAATTCTCGGAGGAAACTAGCATAGCAATCCATAGTCACAATCCCTCACTTAAATCGTGGATGGTAGTTAAATATATTGAAAGAATAAATATTCAGAGTCTTGATGAGTTAATATTTTAGAAAATGTATCTTCTTTACTTCTTTGTAAATAAGTGTATCAATATAATTAATAATGATATATATCGTACTATCAATATTATAATTTGGTAATTATTTACCCAAAAGTTTGATTTTTAAGAGTAGATTATGGAGATTATAAATATTAAATAGGGAAAAAACAAATCATTAAGTATTTCAAGGGATAATAATATAATATTCTTTGGTATTAATGAAGAAATACTTAAATTAAACAAGAAGTTATTAATGATATTTAATGAGTCCTTTAATCAAGAGATGTATAAGGCAATTGCCTAATTAAGGAACTTAAATGGGCATTAGTATTAATGCTTTAATGCTGATGATTATATATATATATATATATATACACACACTTAATTATCTAATCATTTTAATTACTAGCATTAATTAATCAAATATAATTTTCAAATACTTTACTACATTTACCATAACGTTATATGAAATGGTTGGAACTGTTATTATTAACTTGTTTTGATCATCTACCTATTCATACATATAGATTGTTATTATGATCTTGCAAACATGATAATTTTAGTAATGTTTTTGTTGCAGGAAACTAATGGTTTATTTAGATTGAAGATAACAAGAAGTTCTTCAAATTTACTTATAAATTACGATCCAACTCTTAGCTTCTTCATTAATTCATTCATAGAAACTGAAGCAGCAATGGCGGAGTTTCAGAGTTTTCTTCTACGTACTTGTATCTCATTTGCTTTTCTTTTTGCTCTCACTAGCAGCAACTCCACCTTTGTCTGTGATCCTGCCCGTTTTGCTGAGCTTAAACTGGAGATGTCCACCTTCGCCTTCTGCGATAAATCGCTTCCCTTCGCCGTGAGGGTGAAGGATTTGGTGGATCAAATGACACTTGAGGAAAAGGTGCAACAACTTGGAAATCTTGCTTCTGGTGTGCCCAGGATAGGGTTGCCCAGTTATCAGTGGTGGTCTGAGGCATTACACGGGGTTTCCGACGTCGGTCCTGGCACATTTTTTGACAGTGTTGTTCCTGGAGCAACAAGCTTTCCCACTGTTATTCTTACAACAGCTTCGTTCAATGAGTCATTGTGGAAAACGATTGGACAGGTAATAACTAATTAGATACAATTCATGCTGACTTTTTCGTATTTAATACTTTTTTTTTTTGGAAGAATTTTCGATTTAATAGATAAAGTTTTTCTTCATTGTTGTTTAGGCTGTTTCAACCGAAGCAAGAGCCATGTACAATCTAGGGCGAGCTGGATTAACATATTGGAGTCCAACCATTAACGTAGTGAGGGATCCAAGATGGGGAAGAACCATAGAAACACCCGGTGAAGATCCTTTCATTGTTGGTAAATATGCTGCAACATATGTTAGAGGCCTACAGGATGTTGATGGATTTGAAAAATCAAAGGATTCAAACTCTAGACCTCTAAAAGTTTCTTCATGTTGCAAGCACTATACTGCCTATGATGTTGACAATTGGAAAGGTGTTGATCGTCTCCATTTCGATGCAAGGGTAAAATTTACAGAGAACAAAATAACTAAACTCTCTACATGTTAGACAACTTCGAAAAGCTTTTTCTAAATTATAATTTTCAATTTTGCAGGTGACTGAACAAGATATGGAAGAAACATTCCAACGACCATTCGAAATGTGTGTTAAAGAAGGTGATGCTAGTAGTGTTATGTGCTCATATAACCGTGTTAATGGCATACCTACTTGTGCTGACCCCAAACTTTTGAATCAAACCCTTAGAGGAGAATGGGATCTTCATGGGTAAAAGCTACTAAGAATTGATTAATATATTCATCACTTCAATTACTAGATTATTATTGATATCTTATGAAACTATTAATTCTTCAGATACATAGTCTCGGACTGTGATTCGATAGAAGTTATGGTTGATGACCACAAATTTCTTGGTGACACAAATGAGGATGCTGTTGCTCGAACACTAAAAGCTGGTAATTGATCAATTATTATATAAGAAAAATGATATCTTCCGACGACGTCTGTTCCAACGTTCTTAAGATTTAATGAAATTCATGGTTTGTATATGGATTTAGGTTTGAATTTGGACTGTGGTGTCTACTACACCAACTTCACTGCAAATTCTGTTCAACAAGGGAAGGTCAGGGAAGGAGATATAGACAAGTCATTGAAGTACTTGTACACAGTACTAATGAGGCTCGGCTTCTTCGATGGAAACAATAAATACGAATCTCTGGGAAAGAATGATGTGTGTTCTCCTCAAAACATTGAGTTAGCTACAGAAGCAGCAAGAGAAGGAATTGTTCTTCTAAAGAATGATGAACATACTTTGCCTCTGAACTCATCTAACTTCAAAACCCTAGCTGTCGTCGGGCCACATGCCAACGCTACAAAGGCCATGGTTGGGAATTATGCAGGTATGCAAATAAGATTTGAGATTGCAAGTAATTAACCAAATTGATTCTATATATTTTTTTTTTAAACTTATTTTCTTGAAATTTTATTTTTGTTAAAGGTATTCCATGTCGGTACACTTCTCCTATTGGTGGATTTTCTGCATATGCAAACGTGAGTTACTCAATGGGATGCGGCGATATTGCTTGCAAAAATGATAGCTTAATATTCCCAGCTGTGCAGACCGCAATGAATGCTGATGCTACCATAATTTTGGTTGGCTTGGATTTATCTGTTGAGGCGGAGGGATTGGATAGAGAAAATCTCTTACTTCCAGGTTCACAAACTGAGCTTATCAACCAGGTCGCCGAAACAGCCAAAGGTCCTGTTGTTCTTGTGATCATGTCTGCAGGTGGTGTTGATATCTCATTTATTAAGAATAATACAAAAATCAAAGCGATCTTGTGGGCTGGTTATCCTGGAGAAGAAGGTGGTAAAGCCATTGCTGATATTGTCTTTGGAAAATACAATCCTGGTAAGTGTTAGTTTAGATTCTATTTTTTTTTCCCAAAGGCAACTCTACTATCAATTTAGTCAAGTTTCATAACAAATATTTGGTTGTTTGCAGGTGGAAGATTACCTGTTACCTGGTATGGAGCTGATTATGTCAACATGTTACCATTGACATCCATGACATTAAGGCCTGTTGACAGCTTACACTATCCGGGTCGAACATATAGATTTTTTGATGGCTTCACAGTGTATCCATTTGGATATGGCCTCAGCTACACCCAGTTCAAATATAATCTGACATATTCAACCAGCTCAATCTCCATAAAATTGGACAAATTTCAACACTGTCGCAACATAAACTACACTGATGGCATTCAGCCACCCCAATGCCCGGGGGTTCAAACAAACGATTTAGCATGTGATGAGACTATCAAATTTCAATTGGCAATTCAAAATATAGGTAATGTAGATGGTAGTGAGGTTGTCATAGTGTACTCGAAGCCACCGAGGGGCATTACGAGAACTCATTTCAAGCAAGTGATTGGATTCCAGAGGGTTTTTGTGGAAGCAGGACAAAGTGAGAAGGTCACCTTCAAGTTTAATGCTTGCGAGAGCTTAAAAATTGTGGATTACGCTGCAAATAGTCTCCTTCCATCTGGCGAACACAGCATTATATTTGGTGATAGTGGAGTCTCTGTCCCTCTTAACGTCATATATTGATTTCCCTCATTGGCAAAAGGAAAATTATATTAAATAGAATAAATAGAAGCTTGTATTTATAGAAGCTTTAATCAGTTGTATCACTTGTAAAGTTGTACTATTCTGCTGAGAGTAACAAAAACAAACAATTGTCCATTTGATCTTTATTGTTTGTCATTTTTATCTATACGCCTTTGGTAATTGGTTAAGGCAATCTCTAAAACGGCTTTCAATAAAAGATTGTGAGAAATTGCAGGTTTTGTTTTGTGAAACTGAAGATCACTGTAGTACCTGTGCTTTTCTTCTGAGAAATTGTAAAATTGATTGAACTAACTATCCTCTGCTGTAAAAACAATGCTAAAGAGATAAAGGACGAGCAGGGTATAAGATTGCCGATATCCCTTGTGTAGAAATAGACAATGGATTCATTTTCGATGCAGAGGAGGAAGAATGAGCTTTTATTTAATCTCAGAAACAAGTATATCAGGCCGGTAAATTTTACCACTGGTAACGAGTCTTCTACCTTCACTTTTCAAGGAGTTTGTTAATCATATGAAGGAAGCAACTGAAATGGGAAATATAATCCAACAGTACTGCCATTACATGTGTGCAATGCTCTAGAGATTAAAGGTCTGAAATATAATTCATGTCGATTTGCATGCAAAATACTGAACTACTTAAATCATTTCACCAGATTACACCAATTATGATGGTTGATCAAGTACTTATCCTTCATGTATTGCTAGTGGAGAGGCCAAAGATAGTGCTATTTTCAGCCTCTGCTTGTATTGTGTATTTTCCAGATTAGAGTGATTTAGTTTATAGTTTTCATTTTTCCAGATTTGAGCAAGAGTTTTGCTATGATCTGTGATTCAAGCACCTAAAACTGAGCACTGAAGAAGACTACTATGATCTGTTAACGTTATGTTATCAAAAATCATATATAATATTATAAAGTCAAATAGCATACTATATTCTAAAGGATTAGTGATGAAATATGGAATGCTGGAATCAAGCCATGATGAAATGTTGGAATCAAGGCTCAATCACATCCAATCTCAATTACACAAATCACTCCTAGAATCTTTCTAATCACATTCAATCACATAATTGTATTTCCTTGTATTTACAATTTTGTATGAATAGGACTATGTACAAAGTGTATTACACAATACAAATATAAAGGAAAATACTTACTGCAATTCTTTCTCTTTCTTGGCAATCTCTAGCAGTGTCTTCCTGCTTCTCTTTCTTATTCTTCAAACTTTGACAATTAGGATTCTCTCATGATATGAGGTTTTACTAGAACAAAATACATTGTTATGTGCTGGTTAATAAAAAAAATAAAAATATAAAATAAATTTTAACAACGAATGCTTATAAACATACGTGTCATTAGATCTTTAAAAACTCAAGAGCTCAGACCAAGAGATCGATACTAATTCATTTTAGAATTATAAAATCATCTTCAAATGACTCTTTATATGATCCAAACTCTTTATTATTTAAATATAAATTAAAAAGTGAGTTTGACTCTTTACACCTAGAGAGTTAAATTTCACTCTTTATCCTAATTTTAATTAATAAATTACAAGTTTTTATGCATTTTATATATTAATTTTCTCTCATATTATTAATTACAGTTTGACTTTCCACATCTAAAGAGTCTATTGGATTTGAATAAAAATTTTGTTCTTTATATTTAGAAATTAATAAAGATGTTTTTATTTATACGAAATATGCTCTTTAAAATAAAAAGTACTACTACAAATGCTCTAATACATTATGAGTATCGGATAATAACATATATATACACAATAGACTGTAGACATGTCATTATTTGTTTCTTATTTTTTACCAACTGACATTGGTGTATGTCCAAATTGATTGAACTAAAATATACGATTCTCACAACAATAATTATCTCTTTACGCGGTGATAACAACAATAATTTTTTTCTTCAAGTATACATAAAATATTATCGACTTTGATGATAAAAAACTTATTTTAATATTCATCTTTCATAATGTATATTTTATCACTCAATAATTCTTTTGTTATCATTCACTGGAAAATCCGTGGTGGTAAAAAAATAGACAATGGTTTTCAATTTTAAAATAAACAAGTACGTTTGATGAGAAAACAAAAAAGGGTTATGTTGTAAAGAAATGGTTCCTATTTTTTGTTTTTACAACCGAGGTGTTTGAGTCAGATTACGCGCACCTCAACCGATCTTCAAGTGATCACTTTGTGGGACTCCCACTTTGTATAACTCAAACACAAAACCTTGGGTTACACACCCATTCGACTGAAGACTAGTGTGGTTCATGGTTCCTATTTTTCTATACTACAACAAATAAGAGAGTTTTTGGTACTTGAGATGAGTTTTTTGTACTAAAAATAAAAAAAAAATAAAAGAGAGAAATCTAATTAAAGCCTATTATTAGGAGAGTAAAGGTAAATATAATTTAGTAATTTAATTCTTTGCTTTTCAATAAAATTATGATGCATTATTGAGCAACGATTCTGCTATCCCCATTCAATATAATTACCTATTTTTTATGCACATGAATTTATTTGTATTAAAAGAGGCAATTTCTTTTTATGCAAACGAAATCTTTGTACTAAAAGAGGCAATTATTATGCTGACGAATTCTTGGTATTAAACGAGGTGAGAAAAAGTGACTGTATATAAAGTGTTTAAGATGTGAGAGAAAAATGATTTTTTCTTAATTAAGAACTTAATTATAGTTAATCACTCCAAGATTTTGTTAATTAATTTGAGATGTCAGATTTGATCTCGATCACTCAATATGATAAAACGATACAACAATAGAGTACAGTTGCACTTGACAGTTGTGATTTTGTTTAGTAAGAACCAAATGCAAAAATTGGATGGTTTACAGTGATTAAATCAGGTGCAAATTTTAAATAAGAAAATGACGCAGGTCGATCATTGCTTAACATTAACACAAGAACTCCAAGAGTAAATCAATTTATTAGCTTTTGGTTTTTTTAATCTTCTCAAACAAAGCCATGGCTAAATTTCTCGGTTTTATTCTGCTCATAATCAGTCTCTCAATTGCTTTTCTTGTCAATCCTAGCCGTAGCAACTATACCTATGTATGCGATCATGCAAATTTTGCTGAACTTAAGTTGCAAATGTCAAGCTTTTCTTTCTGTGATTCATCGCTTCCTTATGCGGTGAGGGTGAAGGATTTGGTGAGCCGTATGACACTTGCTGAAAAAGTGAAACAGCTGGGACCTATGGCTACCGGCGTGCCACGGTTGGGGCTGCTCCCATACAACTTGGGGTCGGAAGGTCTACATGGCTTGTCTAATTTCTCTCCCACCACAGTTTTTGACAGTGTTGTTCCATCAGCAACAATGTTTCCCACTGTTATACTCACAACAGCTTCATTCAATGAATCACTGTGGAAAAAGATTGGCGAGGTAATTACACTAATATTCTTATTGAAGAAAACGTCACTTCAAAGTTATTAATATTAAGTTAAACATTTTTCATTTTTTGTAGGCAATCTCAACAGAAGCGAGAGCCATGTACAATCTAGGGCGGATAGGATTAACATTTTGGAGTCCAAATGTTAACATAGTAAGGGATCCAAGATGGGGAAGAATTATGGAAACATCAGGTGAAGATCCTTTTGTTATTGGCACATATGCTGTAAACTATGTTAGAGGCCTACAGGATGTGAAGGGACACAAAAAGTATACGGATTTGAACTCAAGACCTTTAAAAGTTTCTTCATGTTGCAAGCACTATGTTGCCTATGACCTTGAAAATTGGAAGGGAGGTGATCGTTTAAATTTTGATTCAAGGGTAAGCAACTGGAGGAAAATCAAATCGATTTAACTTGGAATATTTCTTTTTTCTTACAATTGATTCATTGTTGAAGGTGAGAGAGCAAGATATGGTGGAGACATTTCAACGGCCATTCGAAATGTGTGTTAAAGAAGGTGATGCTAGCAGTATTATGTGCTCTTATAATAGTGTCAATGGCACACCTTCTTGTGCAGACCCTAAACTTCTGAATCAAACCGTTAGAGGAAAATGGGATCTTCATGGGTACAAAATTAAGATCATATATACACTCATGATAAATATATTCTTCCTCAAGATGTTTCCTTTGACTGGATTCATTTCTTAACTACTATTTTTTTTTTTCTTCAGATATATAGTTTCGGATTGTTTTGCACTAAAAGCTATGGTTGACAACCACAAATTTCTTAATGACACTAAAGAGGATGCTATTGCACAAGCACGAGAAGCAGGTTATGAATTTATTATGTGCTTTAAATATTAAGTTGATGGGTAGAACTCACTCTCAAAAGATAACTCAAAGGATAGAGAGTCTAATCACATATATACATCATAACAGTCCACTAACTTGACGATGTGGGACAAATTCAACTTCAATACTCTCCCTCATGCTTGGCGTACAATGCTAAGTCCAAACCCATCATCGTCTCGAATAACGTGATTCTAATTCCAAAAAGTAGCTTGGATAGAACTCACTCTCACAAGCTAATCAAGGGAGAAGAGAGTCCAACCATATATATATACCATATCATTCTACTAACTTAGTGATGTGGAACAAATTTAACTTCAATACACCCTACAATGTTTTCAGAAAGAATTTTGGGATTAATGGTTTATTGAATATTTATTTTTTAATGTTTATTTAGGTGTAGATGTGGAATGTGGTACGTACTACACCAGCTTCACAATAAATGCAGTGCAACAAGGGAAGGTCAAAGAGGAAGATATAGACAAATCATTGAATTACATGTATACAGTGCTAATGAGGCTAGGCTTTTTCGATGGAAGTCCTCAATATAAATTTCTTGGGAGGGCTGATATGTGCTCTCCCGAAAACATTGAGTTAGCCAAAGAAGCGGCCAAAGAGGGAATTGTTCTTTTGAAGAATGATAACCACACTTTGCCTTTGAACTCTGTTAAGTTCAAGACCCTAGCTTTGGTTGGGCCACATGCCAATGCTACAGATGCCATGCTTGGAAATTATGCAGGTATATGTCCAATTAATACATAATTAATTATATCTATTTGTATCAACTTAACCTTTTTGGAACCACCGTTTGGTGATCCAACGGTCAATTAAGATTTTTGGGTGTATTAATGTTTTGAGTTCGAACCACCTAAGTCATTAATACGGATGACCATTGAGAAGATATATCCGACTGTCAACTTTAAAGTCCTAAATGATTAGTTGAGATGTGCACAAACTAGTTCGGATATTCTCGGTTATCCAAAAAAAAAAAAAAAAAAAAACTTAACATTTTTGGAGTTATCTCCTAATTAAATTTAAAAATTTCAACTATTCTTTTATCAATATATTTTCTCAAAATCGTGTCACATGTTATAGGTTATCCGTGTCAATACACCTCTCCTATTGCTGGCTTCTCCGCTTATGCAAACGTGACTTACCGAAAGGGATGTCGTCATATTTCTTGCAAGAATGGTAGCTTAATATTCCCAGCCGTAGAGGCTTCGAAGACTGCGGATGCTACCATAATTCTAGCTGGCTTGGGCTTATCTATCGAGGACGAGAAATTGGATAGAGAAAATCTCCTACTTCCAGGTTACCAAACTGAGCTTATCAATCAAGTAGCTCAAGTTTCCAAAGGTCCAGTTATTCTTGTAATCATGTCCGCAGGAGGTGTGGATATCTCATTTGCTAAGAATAATACAAATATTAAAGCCATCTTATGGGCTGGCTATCCTGGACAGGATGGTGGTCAAGCCATTGCAGATGTTGTCTTTGGCAAATACAATCCTGGTAACCCTTTTTTTGATTTTTTTTTTTTCTCCAAAGGCAATCCATATAAGCTAGTCAGTGTTATTATATGCATACAATTTTTGCTTAACAAATATTGATTGATTTATATCAGGCGGAAGATTGCCTATTACATGGTATGAAGCTGATTATGTCAACAAGCTACCAGTGACTTCCATGCCATTGAGACCTATTCCCAACTTAGGCTATCCGGGTCGAACATATAAATTTTTCGACGGCTCAACAGTGTATCCATTTGGATATGGTCTCAGCTACACACAGTTCAAATATAATATAACATCTTCAAACAGCTCACTCTCCATAAAATTGGATAAATTTCAACCCTGTCTTAACATAAACTACATTAATGGCACCCAAAAACCTCAATGCCCTGCAACTCTCGTAGACGATTTGAAGTGTGAAGAATTTATTCAGTTTCAAATGGAAGTTCAAAATGTCGGTAATGTCGATGGCAGTGAGGTAATCTTGGTATACTCCAAGCCACCAAATGGCATTGCTGGAACTCATATCAAGCAAGTGATTGGTTTTCAAAGGGTTTTTGTTGAAGCAGGACAGACTAAGATGGTTTACTTTGCGTTTAATGCTTGTAAGAGCTTAAGAATTGTGGACAACGCTGCAAATATTCTCCTACCATCTGGTCAACACACCATTATTGTTGGTCACAGTGGACTTTCATTTCCCTTTAATGTCAACTTCAGTCATTAGAGGGCGTGCAACAGAACTATTTTTCGCCTCTGCGGGAAAGATCACCTGTCATCTCCTTGATTGTAAGCTAGAAGAAGTTGCAATAGAGAAGAGATGGATCCCCTCTCAAAAGTTATTTCAGGGAATTTGTCGGGGTTGGGGGAAAATCAAATTCTAGAATTCAATTGGGGATGGAATGGGTTTTCTGATCCTTTCCCCGATATATGTTGATATTTATATATTATTAACGTCTTTGATGTAGAAAATGGGTTTCAGCAAAGCTTCCATTAATTAAATGTACTTGGATGAGTTCTCGCCCCTTTTTCTATTGCTTCAACTGAGTCTAACATTGCCATGTTTTGGGATCTCACTCGGATACAATTTACAGAAGGCCTTAGAAGGAGCGACAATTCCTCCTTTTGATAATAAATATATACAACAGTAATAAACAGTCTGTCATAAGTGATTTAGAATCATTAACAGTAGGCCGAGTATAATGCATATCTGAAATTAAAGAACCCAAATCAGATCCACTATTTTGTTGAGTTTTAAAGCAGCATATGAATCCATGAAAATGATGAATATAAGTAGAACATTTATAAACTCTAACAGTACACTAACGCTAACTAGAGTAATGCTACAGTCGCCGAAAGTAGTGCATCGAATGTATACATCAAATGACGTGACACAATCCTGACCGTCAGTTAATATTAAGTTATAATTAATTAATGGTCAGGATTACGTTACATCATGCGGTGCATACTTTCGATGCATTACTTTTGGTGGCTATATCATTTTCCCATTAACTAACAGCAGAGATATTTTTGTTATTTATGATATTTCATGGAGATTTTTGTTATTTGATTAAACTTTAGAGAGTCTAGAAAAACCCCTAATGAAAATGACTAAAATGCCACATAGGAGATTACGGATCCCATAGGCCATAACCCACCATTATTACGGTGAGTTAGGTATCTTATTTAAAGGACTGTAACTAAATCAGGGAAAAGTTAAATCCCCAAATCAAAATAAAGAAGAGTTGGGTTGGGGGAAAACTAAATCTTTAAATAAATAAGGAAGAGATGTGTTCAGTGACCCTCATCTTTTAAGTAAATTTAGAGAATCTGTTGAGGTTGGAGGATAAATCAAATACTATAACTGAACAGGGGAATGAATGTTTTGGGATCCTCACCTCCTTAATATATATTTAACATACTTGTTAATTCAACAAAAATTTCTGTCAACGTCTCAAACATTTTAAGTTGAATTTGGAAATATACTGATTTAGCAGATTGTGCATTTGAATTTTTGATGTATATTAATGATCCCAACTTCTATATATTCACGATCAATAACCTTCAGTCTTAACGATTGACACGTATTAATGCAGCGATTATCTTAGATGGAAACTTTTTTCTTGGACACTACCAAAAACTTTGATATCCAGTTTCTCCTGAATCACACATAAAATAAAGTTTTTTTGGAAATGGTAAATATGAATAAAATAAAGAAAAAATGTACAATATACAAGAGAGCACGCAAGCTCTAAAAAAAAAACAAAACAAAATCAGTCTGGTAAGTGCCAGATGGCTCTAAGCTGAGGAAGAATGTCATACTTAAAGGCTAAGTCGCAGGCTCGATCTCGAACTAAGGTGAAAATCTCACAAATGAAAACATGCCAAGTCTTACTCTCATGATTGAACACTCGCCAATTTCTCTTGAGAAATTGTTGGAAAGATCAAGCGTAACCATATTGGAGGATATAAGAGACAATGAACCTGACAAATTATTTGAACTCAAGTCAAAGGGAAGAAATCAAAATGTGTATTGAAATCTAGATATCAAATTGTTGCTGTCTTCTGTTAATTTGGGAATTGTTCCATAGATTTGATTATAAGAGAGATTTAGATATTGAAATCTAGAAGAAGAGTTCCAAAAGCTACTAGGAATTGTATCTCGAATTCCTGAGTTGGATATATCCAAAAAAGCTAGATACTTTTGGGAAAGAAGCCATGATGGAAACTGAGGCCCTAAATGACAAGAAGGCAAATATAACTCTTCGAGTTGAAAAGGAGGAACCCAATTGGGACTTACGTTCAACTCTGATGAGTTTCCTGATGTCTTGAAAAACGTAAGACTTGACAGCTTGACTAAGTGAATTTCATAAAGACTTCCATTCAGTTTATTAGAAGAAAGTTCAAAGACGAAAGCTTTCCTAATGATGATGGTATAGATCCATTCAATTTATTAGAGGAAAGCTGCAGAGTCTGCAAGGATGAAAGTTCACCTATTGAAAATGGAATCGGGCTGCTCAAATTATTAAAGGAAAGATCTAGAAATGTCAATTTCGAAAGTTCTCCCAAGGAATATGGAATAGGACCAGATCTATTTCCACAACATAGATCTAGAGTTTTTAAATTCTTAAATTGCCCAAGTTGGTAGGTCAACTGACCATAAAGTTGAGTTTGAGCCAAATCCAAAAACTCTAGTCTATGTGAGACACATCGTGAAAAAATATCTAGGATTTCAGAAATTGTTTGATTCAATTTGACAAATGACAAAGAGATCCACCTCAAGTTGCAAAGTCTTCCCAATGATTTTGGAATGCTCCCTTGAAGTGCATTTGATGAGAGATCAAGCATTTGCAAAGAGGTCAAGTTTCCTATATCACTTGAAATAACACCTTCCAAGCTATTACGGGATACAGAAAGAGACTCAAGGTGACTAAATTTGTACAACCAGTTGGGAATTGGAGAACTGAAATGGTTTCGAGACAAATCAAGATGTGTAAGAGAAGTTAAGTTTTGAAGTCCATCGAGAATTGGACCTTCAAAACCAATTCCAGCTAAGTCAAGAAACTGTAATTGACTGAGAACAAACACCCAATTGGAAATGAAAGAGTTATTAAATTTGTTGCCAGAAAGATCCAGGGTGACAAGGGATGAAGAAAAGTTAGCAATGGACACAGTTGGAAGGTGATGGAGTTGACAACCTGACAGTTGTAACACAACTAAAGAAGGAAGTGCATTTGCAATGAACAACAAATCTACAGAAGTTTTCCCAAGGTTCACCAAACTCAAATCAAGGTACTCTAACAAAGAAAGCCCTGATAACCAACCAAGATTTTCATGGTATTACAAGTAATTCTGGCCGAGGTCAAGATATTTTAGATTGGTGAGATTTCCAAGTTGCTGAGGAATTTCTCTGGAAAATCCAGCTCCAGAGAGATTAAGGTGAATTAATTTCCCCACAGATCCAAGAAAACTAGGAAGCTGAAATCTTTGAAAATCATTATAGCTCAAGTCAAGGTAAATCAAGTGCTTAAGATCAAGTAAAGAGGGATTTAGTTTACCTCCCAAATGTAATATGCCATTGTAAGCATCAGGATTTCCAAGGTGGAGTTCATGGACATGACCTGTGGAGTTGTCGCAGACAACACCAGCCCATTTACAACAATCTCCTTCACCAATCCACGAGGAAAGCCAGTTGGAAGGATCAGTGAGACCTTGCTTGAACCATAAAAGTGCTTGTCTGTCACTTTCTATCCATTGCAGAAGCTAAGATTGATGGTTCTTATGGCAACCAAATTGAGGAAAAGAACTGTATTCATGGTTTGTTTCAGTGGCTGCAATAAAAAGAAAGAAAATGTGTGTGCATTGCATGGAACTTTATGCATAACATTATATTCATAATCCAATGAACTTATCAATATTAAATCAGAAGTTCAGTTCAGAGAAGTGAAGTTTGAATTCTCGTGAGTTTCATAAGTTTTTCTTAATTAAAAAACGGCATTTAGCTGATTTCTACGTGGAAATTATTTCTTTTTTTTCCAATGTTGTTATCGTTATATCAAAATTTCTTGTACTAGGTCTGAAGAATTATATATATTTCTTTGTTTCTTTTTTTCTTCTTAAAAGAATTATTAGAAGAAAAATGTAGCATATGACCTACCGCATAATTAATGACATTTTAATTTAATAAGACCTATGTGTTCTTCTTTGTTGAAAAATCGCAGGAGTAAAAAAACATAAAATAAAGAATAGTACATAACAACACACAAATGTACATGATATTTTATGTGGTTCAACATAACTTGTCTACATCTACGAATGAGATAATTTCACTATAATCTTAAGAACACAAATGCTAGAGCGTACAACACCATTAACCCTTATACTTTTGGTGAACATCTTGTTCCTCTAGTATTTAACACCCCTTCTCACATCTTATGTTTCTCATATCCTCTATTCTCCTTTGACTTCTCTCGTTACTTTGAATTAGTTATAACCCCCATATTTATAGGTAAAATATAATATTCTTTTTCTACTAAGATTCATATTTCAAATCCTAATAGGACTCTTCTAATTTAATTCATTATCATATTTTAACTCTAAATAAAATCATAAACCAATTCTTATTTCCTAATAAAACTCAAAGTCAAAGGAAAATATATATTCTCCAATACAAATTCCTAAACTAGAAATTTTGCTAAAACTTAAATTCATTTTTCTTCTTGTTTGTCTTTTCTTCTTGCTTGCCTTTTCTTCATCAATTACCAAAAGTGTTCACAATATTTCAACATTCATAGGTCCATATGAAAAAAAAAAATAGAGCAGTTGAAGTTACATATAATGTATCTCTTGGTATTTCTGTTAAATTCTTATGAAAAAAACAAGAACACTCTCCGTCAGAACACTCTTTACAAATTTTTTGTTCGTCAACTGCAGTAAATACTATTATAGATTGCTCAAGTTTTTGAACTCCTTCGACGAGATGATCCAAGTGAGAGCTCTACTACCATTTTCTTTAAAAAAAAAATAAATAAATAACGAATTGATTGATCTACGATAACCACCATTTTTTTTTTTTTTTTTTTTTTTTTTTTTTTTTATAAAACACTAAGTTTTTGCAAATTCTTAAACTTAACCTCAAGGGTTAGCTTGGCAGTCAAGGAGGTTTGTTTCCTTCCTTGAGTTTCTGAGTTCAAACCTTGAGACTATTTACCATAAAAACATTGTGATTTACGTGATACTTTGGATTTGTAGAATGTTCAATGGTCTCCGGGAATTAGTTGAGGTGTGCGTAAGCTGACCTAAACACTTGGTTACAAAAAAGAAAATTCTTCAACTCATGCTTTATTTAGGGGGTGTTTATCTGAGCTTATGAAAATTAGCTTATAAGCAACAAATGCTTATAAGCTAATTTGTGTTTATAAGCATTTAAAATTTTAAGCAATTACGTGTTTAGTTAAAGTATTTATAAGTGACTGATAAATTGTTGACGTGTTTGGTAAAATGTGGCTTATAAATATATTTTATTATAAAATAACTAAAAATGGTACTATATTAAATAAAGGTATACTATGAAATTTTAAAATTAAATAAGGATAATGTGATAATATACTTGGTCAAATTAGCTTATAAGTAACTTATAAACTCAAAAAAGTTATAAACAAACAGATCAACTTATAAACTAGGTTTATAAGCTTAGACAAACACCCTCTTATTCATTTCCAAATTTCTAGAGTACGACTCAAATAACATAACTATAAAATCAATTCAACAGTGATAATTAAATATAATTCACGTACGTGAGCTTGGCAGATTTTACAAAGTGGGCTGTTGATTTTGCCATGCTGAATACCTGGAGACTTGGAAGAAGCCTTCTCTCTCCCCTGTCCAGAACTGTTACTAAGCTGTGTTTTGCTGGGGAGTTAATTTTTTGACTGTAGGTTCCTTGCGGCTGGCAGTGCAGTTCCTCTGTTTGTTCTTCATTCCTGGTGTACTTCGGTTGGGATTGTGCTGCATGGTTCTCTTTCCTTTTGCCGGTGGCTGATTGTGGTCTTGTGTTTGGGCTGTTGCAGAAGTTTTTTGAATCTGGCTATTCTGGGTGTCTTAGTTGGTTGGTTTGATGTGTTGGACTGCTATGTACAGATTTTGCAGACTGTTTGGGAGGCTGGTTTGTTATGTGGAAATTCTGAAAATGATGTTTTTTTTTTTTGTATAGCTGGCCAGATTTTTTGAGATGCTGGTCTTTTTGTATAGTCCTCTTGGAGGCTAGGATGTTTGCTTTGGTGGCTTGTGCTTCCGTGTCTCTTCTTTTTGTTCTTTTGCTTGATTCTTGGGCCTTTCCAAGGATCTTGCCTTTGTAAGGGTCTCTTTTTTGGGACTCATTTTTCATTCTTAATAAATTACCTTTTACCCAAAAAAAAAAAAAAAAATGATAATTAAATTAAAAGTTAATTAAATATATATAACTCTCTTTAATAAGTTTTCCATGGTATCATAGTTTAACGACATCTATTAGTTAGTTACCATGTCCATCTCATTGAAATTTTTTAAAGCTTTCAATTTTCTGATGTCGAATTTTTTTTTTTCAAGGAATGTGACCCTTTAACGAACCAGAATTGTAAAATCTAAACAACTTCTCAGCCTTCTCAATCAAGTGCAATAAAACAAGTATAATCACAAAGTCACAATGCTGATGTGCTTCTGGAAGAAAGGAGGAAGAGCCAGAACGTTTTCTTCTACTTTTATCAAAAACCCAACTGAATTTCCTTCAATTGTGAAAGAGCAAATCTTCTTGGCTAAAAAAATTCATTCAAGTTTTGTCTTAGCACCATTACAAAATATACAAACACCAGGAAGATTAGCTTAACTCCATTACCTACCATTACCATCATCAATGATATATCATTGTCGACAACAACAACCACACCCTCATTCATTATTTTACAATCAAGCCATATATTCTCACTCACACTTGTTTAGAGACCATAAACACTGTTCGTTGGTAGTATTTGTTTTTGTTTTCAAAAGTGTTTATAGAGACCACAAACACGTCGTTGGTATTCTTGTTTTTGTTTTCAAAAGTGTTTATAGGACAATAAAGACGTCGTTGGTAGTCTATGTTTTTTCTTCAAAAGTGTTTATAGAGACCAATAAAACATTGTCGTTGGTAGTCTTTGTTTTTAATTTGTTTTCAAAAGTTTTTATTTTTTATTTTTGTTTACTTTACTAGTTCTCTTTCTTGATGTCTCTTTTTTAATTTATATCACTAATGTATAATAGAACAATATGCATATAAATTAATGGTTCCTGGGAATTTACAAAGGCCTTGTGGTCCCATTTTTAAGTTTTTCCAATCGAGACTTTTGGAAGATGTGAAACATGCAGAAGATGAAAAACGTTCAATTAATTAATTATACGAAAGTGCAAGCCTCTTAATGAGTTAATTAATATTAGCTAGCTCACTACTTCTCAAATTATTTGTAAGTTTTATCCCAAACCCAAAAGAAGAACAACATGAGTGAAAAAAAGGGAGCAAATTAAATAAGTTTGCCATTAATTTGATTGTTGAAATATAATCTGTGTAAAAATGACTTAATAGTGTAAAGTTGTGTTCACATTTTTTTCTTTTCTTTTTTTTTTGTGGGGGGGGGGGGTGGTGGGGGGGGGTGGGTTAGGTGGCGCATTTTTCCCACATTCACACATGTTCAAAGACTTAAAATTGAACTTCTCTAGACATTTAATGCCACCGAATTGTAAGTAAAATTTTAGCTTCATGTCTCTCAAATAAAGTGAACATTCTCCACTATAAATTTTAACTACAAGGTCTTTGTAAATCCCTTAATTTGTCCCATAAATTTTGACATGAAATGGCTTTCCGTCACTATAAATATGGGTGCATTTTGATGGCAAAATCATCACACATATTCTCCAGCAATGCATACACATTTTAGAAAAGCTTGAATTAGAGAAAAAAATCAGTGTGTTAGAGTGTGAGAGATATTGGGTGTATTTGGGTTTTGGGATTGAGAGTTTCATCAAATTTTGTATACTCCACTTTCTTAGTAAAATTTTTCGTTTATCTTCGCCCATGGACATAGGCTAAAAAGCTGAACCATATAAATGATCGTATGTTTTGTATGTGTTATTATTTTCCCTTGTTTTTCTTGCCGTTAATTGTTATCCGTGAAATGGGATTTGTCACAACACTATGTTTCTATGAAAATGTTTAAAAATGATCTAAGGAAAGACGTGGTGCTGAGTTGTGTAATGTCTCGTTAATTTGATTTCACTCATTTTTTTTCAAATGCATGTATGGGATTTGTATTACCTAAGCACACCTCAAAGGGCCGATTTCATCATCTATCAAAAAATTACGCTCACTACCTTACTGGCCACATAGTGTTAACAAGGAGCCAGTGGATCATTGTCTAAAAGAGGACGATCAAGGTTTTGAATAATTAGTTCCAAGGCCTTACACAAGCCTAGCCAAAAATAAACCAGGCCAGTAACATGACAAAGTCCTTCATGCCGTCTATATCTGTGGACTGTAGGAAAAATACAGCCTTACAACATGAAAGAAAATGATGTCCTTGGCTTTCAAACATACACTACAATTAGCATCCATGTATATATTTGCTCCCTGGATAAATAGAAAAGGAACTTGATAAATATAAACACCCCATGATTGAAAATTATGGCAACTCCTTACAAGAGATGATCCAACTGTTGAACCAAGACCGTTATTTCAGATATTTGATGAGCACAAAATATGAAACAAAACTCTTGGCATTGCATGACTTATAGGAGAAAGGTTGGGAATCACATCTGATTATTATAATATATACATATCACATCTGATTATCGAAGAATGAACATACAAATTAGCTAACATATGCTGAAGCACTTATATATTACACTGCTGAAACCCACCACAAATCCAAGAGCCATGCTTACATAGAACCCATTTACCTCATGTTTGTTACCTCCATTTTCATTCTCCTGTATTGGAAAAATCCCAGAGCAATTGTTTGGAAGTGGAGGCCCACAAAGTTCATTACCCATAAAACAAGATGCATCAAAGGTTTGTAATTGAGTGCTTAAAGGAATTTCCCCGTGCAAGTTGTTATGTGAAAGATTCAAATGATTCAAAGATGTCAAAGCTGAAATACTCTGAGGAATTACACCATTAAGTTGGTTTGACGAGAGATCAATAGACTCCAATGACTCCATAACACCAATATTCTCAGGAATTCTTCCCGTGAAATGGTTGTGAGACAAATTCAATGATAACAATTTAAGATGTGTCACTTCTATAGGAATTTCTCCTGAGAAAGTGTTTTTGGAAAGGTCTATAGATCTCACCAAATTAAGAATCGTGCTATATTCATCCATTCTCCCTTTTAGCATCAATGACTCATCCTCAATAGAATCACTATAATTTGTTACATATTGTATGCCTCTTGCAAAATCTTTCAAGGTTGTTACCATGGCACTCAAGTTACTAATACAGCTTGGTATGGCTCCAGACAAATTATTGTAAGCAAGGTCTAAGATTCGTAGTGAAGCTAGCTGGCAAAGCTCCACAGGTAAAGAGCCTTGAAACTTATTTGAACGAAGGATGAGGATCATCAAACTTGAAAATCTTTCTCCAAGCCACAATGGTACATTCCCCACAAACCTATTTTCATGAAGATTAAGTACTAGTAACTTTGTACAGTTTTTAAACGATATAGGTATATTTCCAGAGAAGTTATTATTATGAAGATGCAGTGATCGAAGGGAATTTAATTTTCCCATAGAGTTGGGAAGGTTTCCAATAAACTTATTTTCACCTAAATCCAAGACCTCTAAATTTTGCCAGTTCGTCCAACAATCAGGTAATTCTCCAAATAGAGAATTATCTTTAAGATAGAGAATTTGCAAATTCTTTGACTCATTCACTGCATGGCACAAAAATTGGCTAACATGTCCTGAGAAAGAATTATTGGAAACATCAAGTGTATTCATAGTGGAAGACAGAAGAGGCAATGAACCTGCCAAACTATTTGAACTCAAGTCAAGTGAAGTTAGTGAACCAACTTCAATTAAACTAGGAACCTTCCCATAGATTTGGTTATGAGAAAAATTTACATATCTAAGTCTAAAAGAGGATTTCCAAAACTTAGTGGGAATTGTATCTAGAATTCCTGAGTTGGATAAATCTAAAAAACCTAATTTCTTTTGGGAAAGAAGCCAGGATGGAAATCGAGACCCTACATAACATGAAGGCAAATATAACTCGTTAAGTTGAAATGATGGACGCCAATCAGGGTTTACATTCAACTTTAATGAGTTTCCTGATGCCTTAAAACTCTCAAGACTAGAGAGCTTGAAAAAGTGAATTTCAGACAGATTTCCATTTAGTTTATTGGAAGAAATGTCTAAAATTCTCAAAGACAAAAGCATTCCAAATGATGACGGAATAGATCCATTCAATTCATTAGAGGAAAGCTGTAGACTACTCAAGGATGAAAGTTCTCCTATTGAAAATGGAATCGAGCCACTCAATTTATTGGAGGAAAGATCTAGAAATTTCAAGTTCGAAAGTTTCCCCAAGGAATGTGGAATAGGACCAAAAATACTGCCACAACACAGGAAAAGAGTGTCTAGATTCTTAAACTGCCCAAGTTTACTGGTTAATTGACCATAAAGTTGAGTTTGACCCAAATTCAAAACCTCTAGTCTATGTGACACACATCCTAAAAAGATATCTAAGATTTCAGAAACTGCTTGATTCAATTTGACAGATGACAAAGAGATTGACCTCAAGTTGCAAAGTCTTCCCAATGATCTTGGAATTCTTCCTTGAAGTGCATTTGATGAGAGATCAATCTTTTGCATAGAGGTCAAGTTTCCTATATCACCTGAAATTGTACCTTGCAAGTTATTTTTTATAAGAGAAAGGCACTCAAGGTGACTAAATTTGTACAACCAGTTGGGTATTGAAGAACTGAAATTGTTTCTAGACAAATCAAGATGTGTAAGAGAAGTCAAGTTCTGAAGTCCATCTGGGATTGGACCTCGAAAACCATTTCTGGCTAAATTAAGAAACTGTAATTGAGTAAGACCAAATACCCAATTGGGAATGAAAGAGCTATTAAATTTATTTTGAGAAAGATCAAGGGTGACAAGAGAAGAAGAAAAGTTGGCAGTGGAAAGGGTTGGAAGGTGATGAAGTTCACAGTTAGACAACTGTAACACACCTAAAGAAGGAAGTGCATTTATGATGAGAAACAAATCTGCAGAAGTTTTACTGAGGTTTACAACTGTCAAATCAAGATACTTCAAGGAAGAAAGACCTGATAACCAACGAATATTGTCAATGTATAACGGGTAATCATTCTGACCAAGGTCAAGATATTGCAGATTGGAGAGATTTCCAAGTTGGTGAGGAATCTCTCCAGCAAATCCAGCTTCCGAGAGATTAAGGTGTCTTAACTCCCCAAACGAACCAAGAAAACTAGGAATCCGAATTCCATCGAAAGCATTATAGCTCAAGTCCAGGTAAATCAAATGCTTAAGATCAAGCAAAGAGGGATTTACCTTACCGCTCAAACTTCGTCTGCCCCGTGAAGGACTCCTAAGTTTGAGCTTAAGAATATGGCCGGTGAAGTTGTCACAAACAACACCAGTCCATGTACAACAATCTCCATCAAAATTAGTCCAAGAGGCAAGCCGGTTGGAAGGATCTTCAAGATCCTGCTTGAACCTTAAAAGTGCATGTCTCTCACTTTCAATGCAGCTGCTTCCACTGCAGAAGCTAAAATTGATGGCTGTTAGGACAAGTAAGTTAAGGTAAAAAATGGCAATAGCGACAATATTCATGGTGGTTGGTTCAATTGACATGCAATAACAGGAAGGAAATGTGTGCATGAAAACTTAGATTAATTGACGTGATATATATAATATCTGCTGGGTCGTATAATCTAAACTTATCTACTGGGATGAACTAAATTTCCTGGTAAATGGTCCAACTGTGGAATTATATTTTTTAAATAAAATAAAATTATTCACTTCTATTGGTGTTTGATCTGGCCTAAAAAAAGCTAAAGAAAATATAAAAATCATTTCGTAATTTCATGTAGACGAAGTTTTGGTGTTATCATTCATTTCTATTGAAGTTTGACGACCTGTGAATTTAAATATCATCTCTCAGTCGTCACACAATCATCCATCATCACACAACTGTAACAACATCACAATCACCACAGTTGTCATCTACAATGAGAACCCTCCTTTCCATTTATTTTACCAGCAAAATGTATTTGTCTCAGCCAGTCAAAATAGTTTATTAATTTGTTCATTTTCCGGAGCAAATTGTCTTCTTTTAAATCGATGATTAGTCAAAGGAGAACGTATGTTCCTTGATTATGACCAATAGAATTAGAATCTTATTGCGTGCACGTCGGAGATGTAAAGTCTTCAGCAGATTAATTGGCATCTTTGAAATCAAAGTTGGAAAATATGAACTTCTGATTCTCTTATATCATTGGTGACTTTTTGTTTCCCTTCTCAATAATTTTGTCTTTGTTTATTTTACTAGTTCATCACTTTGTATATATGTTCATATCATGCACTAATTTATTAAGGAAAAAATGACTAAGGGTTATTGTCAATTTACAGGTCTTTTCCCCAATGGTTGTTGTCCAAGTTACCGGTCTTTTCTTCAGTAGTTGTTAAATAAGGTCTTTTCTCCATTGCTAGTTTTTCCATACTATTAACTTTCTCCTATTTACACTGAAATATGTGGGGCACTAACAGGAAATATTCTTGGTCATATGAATGTTGATCTAGTAATTTTATCTTGTTCGGCGAGAAACTGAGAATGGTTGTTGCCAACACGTTTGGCGACTGTTGAAAATCTTCATGAATTGATGAGAAACTTTAAGAGGAACAGAAGAATGGAGAGTCCCCGATTAAGATGCTTCGCAAATTTTGTCAGATGTGTTACATGTGTATGGATTTATATTGTAAAATTTCATTATATGATATAGCGACTTAAAAAATAATGCACTAAAGAGAAGAGAAGGGTATCATCCGTTGGTCTCACATTTACTTTAATTGATGGTGTACTCAGATTTTCAAAGATACAATTCAAATAGCACTACTTGCTCCCTGGATCACTGGAAAAGAAATTTGCCATACTACCACTGATTAAAATTATAGCAACTTATTACAAGGGAGGATCCAACATTGAACCAAGACAAGTTATTTCCAATAATTTTGACATATAATATGAAACAAAACTCTTGGCATTGCACGATGTACAGGAGAAAAGTTGGAGCCCGGCCATGAGCAAGTTTATGAGATCTATCTTGTGTACTTATTCACGAACTCTAGCTTCAGGAACCTCTCGAGCAGCTTCAACTCGTGGAAGATAAGTTTCCTTAGATGGTTGAAAGATAAATCACTTATTACTACTGCTGTTTCCAGTGACCTTCAGCAAGCTTAGGCATCCGAATTCACTAGCTACTCCTAAATCTTCTGTTTAAGAACCTGTTGCAGCTGAAGCTTCTGACTTTCAATCCTTGCCTCCAAAAGCTTCGCCTTCAAACTAGTCTTCTGTGCACCTCGAGGCCATTCGATACACCCTTTATTGCCTCGAGTTATGTGAGGATTTCCTGAGTCCGGTGAACTCCACTGACCTGTCAAATCCGGAGGTCTCAGCCCACCTTTACCAGACCCCCGGTCTGGTGATGCAATACTCCCATTAGATAATCTCCCATTTGAAAGCCTACCCTTCATTCCCTCAACCGTGATTATCTTATAGTTTTCTCCATTATTCGGGCCAGATCTCCAGAGCCTTGCTTTAGATGAAACTTTCTTCTTTGTTGGGCCCGAGCATACTTCACTGATTTCAGTAATAGGGGATTCCTTCATATCCATTATCATCCCATTCCATTCCACTCCCCGAGACATTAGTACATCGACGATTCTTGGTAGATAATGCACTCCCTTCAGGCGAACAACTTGAGCCTTGATCATCAAGATGGCTCACAGTTTCCCATCCACTATCATCTTCTTCCATTTCAATATTCTGCTCAACATATGCATTAGAATGCCTATGAAGGCTATCCCTGTTAACCACATTGACCTCAGGACTTACAGTATGAATTTTTGAGGAATGGCTGATGGGACTGTAAGCAACACATTGTTCAATCTCCCTCTCATTGGGTTCACCAAAATTAACATCTTCATAAACAGAGAAAATATCATCTGGATTGGGCGGCCCATATGTAAATTCCTTGATGTCCTGGATATTCATGGAGGCCGCAGCCTGTCGAAGCATCTCGGCTTCTTTCCACTCTTTAACATCTGGGGTTGCACTATTTGACCTCAAAAAAGTCTCCAGATCTGCTACAAGTTTGTTCATCTGAGAATACTTCTCTTCAAGTGCTCCCTTTGCATCAACCAGCTTCATTTGAACCCGTTCTTCACGCCAGACCTCTGCCATCTGTAACATTTTCCTTTCATCTTCTGCTTCCTCTCGGAGTTTCATGGAATCCCTTTTCAATGCTTCAACTTCAGCCTTATCTTCTCCAATTTCCTTAGCAAGCTCATCACACACTTCTTCAATTAATTCTCTAGCCTTTCTTTCCTTCTCATAGTCCTGCATATACCTCTTTGCTGCTAACTTTGCATCTGCCAGCTCATTAACTAATTTGGAATTGACAATTTCTATTCTTTGGCGATTTTTCCTTTCTCGATTCAACTCACCTTTGAGGTCATCAATAAATACACGGATTTTCTCATGTTCCCTGCTCCGCCATGCAGCTTTTTCTTCACTGACTTTCCTCAAGAAGTGCTCAAGTTTCTTTTTTGAAGACCGGCGCTCAGTCTCAAGCTCCTGCATGCGTGTGCGAACCTGCTCCAGTTCAGCTTCAAGAGCAACAACCACTGATACAGCACTTACCTGTTGGTCAAGAGGCTTGATGTTGCTATAGATCTGCTGTGCCTCATCTGATGTTTTCAAGCAGACAGGGTCCCACTTCGTTGCCCCCTCCATTGCAGAATTGGAGAACTGAAAAGAAGGCTCGAGCTACATAAGAGGAAACAGTTTTTCAATTAGGTAAGTAACATATCAAATTGAACAGGGAGGAAGGAGAAATGTAAGATACCATTCTTCTTTCAATTAAAAGCACAATTCAAAATTTCCTCATTGAACTGAAAACGAAGCTCAGCTAATCTCATTTCTTATAGCAAGTGAGAATTTGCAATGCAAAACTCAAGTCGAGGTACCAAATTAGTTTCTGCTATATATCAAGTTTAACTTCCAGAACCAAAAATTTTAATTACACCTTCATTTTGCTCAATATAGGTTTCTATTACCCTCTCACTATTTTATAAATTTTCATATCCAAATTCCCCCTCCCAACCAGTTGGCAACCAATCCTTTAGAAAATATAAATGCAGAAAAACCCATGAAAGCCACACCTTTGTATAGTCTAACACAAGTTTAAGATAAAGAAAGCCAAGAGAGGGAATAAGATGGTAAAGCCAAGAGACGGAATAAGATGGTCTGAAAGCAAAAGATATAATACCAACAAAATTGCAGAAAAACAAAAGAAAAAGAGATACACAGTGTGGAGATTGATAGAACTCATATATTTTTTCTCTCAGAATTTTGTTAATTCCAGGTGACTTCTTGAGCTGGATTTCATTCGCGAGCTTCTATTTGCCACTAGATGCATATATTGGGCAAAATGTTCCACAGTGGAAAATTTTAAACAAATCAATCGTTTATACCAGCAACAACAGTTTCCCTATAAATGGATCAATTAAAGCAAAGTAAATGAACTTGTTTATAGGTAATGATTATAATGACTAGTTAAGGAAAAAATTAATCTGAGGCACAACTTTACTTAAACAGGGCATTCAAAATTCACATGTACATCCAACGAAAAATGTATCACACAGCAAGGAAGAATTTATGCCATGTGTCAAAGACAATAAAACAGGGTAAGTCTTATTTTAATTCCCATTAACCATTTTTTTAATAAGTTCAATAAATCATTTTTTTTATAAGAGTTATCATAAATGATGACACTCAATATTCTTTGAATCAGACAAATCATTGACAGTAACAGTTCAGTAAGAAATAAAGCAACATTACCTTACACAAGAATCCATTCTTGATACCAGTGACAGATGAGCTAGGGCTCTGCAAAGGATCCTTTGGTTCAGAACCATACGCTTTGCCACTGCGACGAACATGAAATGGAACATCTGCATGTCCAGCACCAGGCTACAGGAAAGAATACACAATAAACTCACAAACTCTAGAATGGAAAAAACAAAACTTACCAATTCAGACAGATAGATAAAAGTAAATAATAAGCCGACAAAATGCAGTAAACAACACAAATTTCTCGGAAGCCATTTAACACTTGCATACACATTCTTTTAGCAGAAGCCCTTTAAACACGTGTACACCCATCCGGAGACAGAATCAAGCAAATCAAAGATGCAAAATAAATGTATGCAAATGAACTTAAGAGCATTCTGAACCTTAATATGCAGACACTTCCACATTTAAAAGCACAACACACCCAAAAATATGGAGTAAACATTGCGAATTTCCAGGAAGTATTTAAAAACACGTATAAATGTCCCAATAAAGAACCAATTCAATAGGATGCGCGCGAATAAACGGTTTCATATACACTTCAGAAGTAGTATAAACCAAGCTAAAGAACACTGCTAAGACAAAATCATGATCATACTGAAAAGTATAAAACTTGGTGCACAAACACACAAAACCCTTCAAAATTAAGCAACAAGAGTAATCAAAAACATAAAAAATGATAATGACAGAGACGTAAAGATCAGTATCAGTCTCACTCCTCAAACTACAAAACTTCACAACAAAGCAAGAAATCATTTCAATCAAATTATTACACAAACCACACAATAATATTTCATTTAAATTCCTCAAACCAAACACAAACACAGATCTCAAACAAATAAAAAAACCACAAAAAAGTCTCAACCTTTAAAACCTCACCTGAAACCCTAACCGATCCAAACACTGTCCGCGGCCACCGCTGCCATTCTCCGACCCCTGCAACCGCCAAAGTCCAGCAGCAAGCTTCCTCGCAGACACAACTGCCGCCGCCTTTCGGTGTTTCCAGCGACTTCTCCGGCCATCCTCATTAACCTCCTCTTCCTCAACCTCAACCTTCCGATTCCTCTCCTTATCTTCAACCTTCCACTTCAAGAGTGGGGTCTCGGGTCGGCTCCGCCGACCCGGAGCTCCGGGCTTCCTCACCCGGGTCAGGCTCGGGTTCCGGGTCTTCTTACGCGTAGGCTTAAGATCTGAAGCTGAAGTCGGCCTTAGGGTTTTACTTGCAGGAGATGTCGCCGAATAATACGGGTTTTCAGTAATCTTCATAGTTGAAACCTGGATTCAGCCATTTAAAAAAAAAAAAACAGAAACAGAAACAGAAACAAGAACAAGAACAAGAGAGTTCGAGTTTGAGTTTGAGTTTGAGTCTTCGTGTTTTGTGTGTGAGTGTGTGCTGTGTCTGTGTTGTGTCTGATTGTAGACAAAGAGTGAGCGAGCGTTTCTGTTTGTTGGGTAGAGAGAAATGGAAGAGGACGGACCAAAGGGAAAAATTTTCACATGTATTTTTTTTTTTTTTGGGTGTATAAATGTACGTATATAGGTATGCGTATGTATACGTGTAGGGTCAACGTAAAACGGTGTCGTGTGGGGGACAAGGACGCGCTTTGTTGGCGATGATGATGTAGATTTGCAAAGAGACGTTGTAACTTGTGTCATTTAAAAAGTGTTTTTAGGTATGTCAGAGATTTATACGGTGTCGTTTTCTACTTTTAATCGTGATAATGGATATTTGGTTTTAGTGATAAATCTAATCTTTTGAGCAATTGGGAGATTTTTTATCTTTAATCAACCAAGCTTTAAAGTTAATGTCATTAATAAAATTTAAAAAACTACTAATTAGTTTACTAATTCATAATCAAGATGAAACTAATTGAATGTTCGAGTAAACTAATAAATTATAGTTATAACTTACGAGTGAATTGTTATTCAAACTCAAAACTACTCTCTTGAGACATAAGAGTTAATCGAACGCTTAAGAGTTAAACATTATTTTAATCTAAGTCTATAAAGTACATAGACTGATATTACTTAACATACGAGAATTTTTAAATATTAATATATTTTATTGAACATTTAAATTGCAATTTTTTTTTTTTCCTCATTAATATGTCCTTATAGATCCTACTAACAATGTTAGGTAACATGTACAAAACAAAACCCACCTCAAGAAATTTTTATACATTCATTCAATTTTTCACAATTGATTATCGTGTGAGATCTACTCTCTATTATTTAGTCTATTATGAAAGGCATCCAAGGGAGGCTCCACGTGGCATTTGATTAGTCACTTATCTCAATTGTATCCTTCATTTTGCAAGAAGACGAAATCTACCCACATGGGTGTGGCATTTTCCATTTGGGCTTTAACTTGAAGTTTGTGAAACTTAGAATATTTATTATTATTATAAGAGCCCTTACAATTTACACAGATTTAGACATTACTTATAGATCTAGGTTTAATTAAATTATCCTTAATTAATCCTATCTTTGGCACCAATCTCTCCCTTCTGCGGCTAGTAATCTTAATTAAAAAGCAATTACTTGTCTAATTTTGCCTTTGATATTGCTAGTACAATTAGATTTTGGCCTCCCACTAGCTAGACATCTAGAGGGTCAATGCACTAATTGTAATGGCCTTTTTTTGAAAAAATATTAATTTTTAGTTTTATTATTATTATTTTTTAACCCTTTTTGCTAATCCACGTGGGCCCAAAAGTTTGTGGGTCCGTAGATATTTAGGTGTGGGGCCTTAGAAAATCACCCTTTAATTAGCTCTAACAAGTACTTCTTTGGCTGAGGTCAAGATATTTTTTTTTTTGTTTTTTTTTTTTTTTTTTTTTTTTTTTTTATGTGGTATATTTTTTTTTTTTGCGATTGGTGAGATTTCCAGTTGCTGAGAAATTTCTCCGGAAAATCCAGCTCCGAGAGATTAAGTGTCTTAACTTCCCCATAGATCCAAGAACTAGGAAGCTGAAATCTTTGAATCATTATAGCTCAAGTCAAGGTAAATCAAGTGCTTAAGATCAAGCAAAGAGGGATTTAGGTTACCTCCCAAATCTGTATGCCATTGTAAGCATCAGGATTTCCAAGGTGGAGTTCATGAACATGACCATGTGAATTGTCGCAGACAACACCAGCCCATTACAACAATCTCCTTCACCAATCCACGAGGAAAGCCGGTTGGAAGGATCAGTGAGATCTTGCTTGAACCTTAAAAGTGCTTGTCTCTCACTTTCTATGCAACCCAAGTAAGTGGTTCCATTGCATAAGCTCAGATTGATGATTGTTATGCAACCAAATTGAGGAAAAGAATGGTGTTCTGGTTTGTTCATGGCGCAATAAAAAGAAAGCAAATGTGTGTGCATGAAACTTTATCATTACTGCTATTTATAATCCAATGAAACTAAAATTTATCAAATCAGTGCTATATTTTTACTACAACTTGAACACAAGACGTTTAGGTATAACTAAATTAATGTAAAGGATTTGCATCCGACTACGAGGGGAGAGTTCAAGTCCAGTTCGGAATGTAAATTACTCAGGAGTTTTAGAAGTTTTTCTTAATTAAATAACAAGCTTAGTTATTTTCTACGTGAAATTATTTCTTTTTTTGCTGATGCCGTTCTATCAATATTTGTTGTACTAGCTCTCGAGAACTACTATTTGTTTGTTCTTTTTGTTCTTCTTCTAAAAGAATTATTAGAAGAAAAAAGTAGCATATGACCCTACCACATATTAATTTAATAAGACCTATGTTTTCTTCTCAAGTCCATAGGGGTAAAAAATAGAGCAGTTGAAGTTACATATAATGCATCTCTAGGTATTTATGTTAAATTCTTAGAAAAAAAATAAGCACTCTCCAACAGGACACTCTTTACAAATTTTTTGTTCTCAACCTCAGTAAATATTGTTATCGATTGCTCAAGTTTTGAACTCCTTCGACGCGATGATCGAGATATAGCCACTCTGTACCATTTTCAAATAAATAAATAATAAAAATTGATTGATTGATCTACAATAACCACTTTTTTTAAATTCATTGTTGAATTTCTAGAATACACTCAATAACATAACTATAAAATCAATTCAACAGTGATAATTAATATAAAAGTTCCATGGTTATCATAGTTTAACGACATCTATTTGTAGTTACCATGTCCATCTCTTGTGGAAATTTTTAAAGCTTTCAATTTTCTGACGTCAATTTTTTTTTTTTTTTTTTTTTTTTTTTTTCAAGGAATGTGACCTTTAACGAACCAGTATTGTAAAATCTAAACAACTTCTCGCCCTTCTCAATCAGCGCAATAAAACAAGTATAATCATGTACAACATGCTGATGTGCTTCCTGGAGAGAGGAGGAAGAGCCACAAGGTTTTCTTCCACTTTTATCAAAAACTCAACTGAATTTCATTCAACTGTGAAAGAGCAAATCTTCTGTGCTAAAGAGAATTTTTCATATATAATAAATAAAATTTGCAGTTTTTTCACTAATGCAAGAAAGTTTTGCTTAACTTTTGTTTATTAAATTTATTCAGCTCCTGCAATTAACGAGATTAAAATTTTAAAAATTATAACTATTTTTTTAATTTTTGTCTCAGGACCATTATAAAAAATACAAGCACCAGGAAGATTAGCTCAATTCCATTACCTACCATTCCATCATCAATTAGATTCAATATCATTGTCGACAACAACCGCCATTTCATTATTTACAACCAAACTATATATTCTCACTCTCACTCACACTTGTTTACACTTAGTACTAACTGTGAAGTCCAGATCTTTTTATCAATTCACAACCTTCTTGTTAAGAGATAAAAGATGACAACAAAAGAAGCCGATAGAGACCAATAAACACTCTCGTTGGTAGTCTTTGTTTTTGTTTTCAAAAGTCTTTATTTATTTATTTTTTTGTTTCATGGTTCTTGGTATTTACAATGGCCCTGTGTGTCCCATTGTTGTTTAGTTTTTCCAGTCAAGACTTCTAGAAATGTAAACATGCGGTAAAGAAAATGAACGTTTATTTTTTGCTGTTGCGGTTCATACAATTAATTAATTATAAGAAATGCAAACGTCTTAAATGTTAATCAATATTAGCTAGCTCACTACTTCTCAATTTTTGTAAGTTTATCCCAAACCTAAAAGAGAAATTACGGAGTTGAAAATAAAGGAGGCAAATTAAAAGTAGTTCACCGTAATTTGATTGTTGATATATATCTTTTTCTATAAAAATCTTATAAGATGCAAGAAAAGAGGTAATTCTGATTGTGTTATCTCGTTAATTGATTTTGCTCATTTTTTTAAATGCATGTATGGGATTGTATTGCCTAAGCACACCTCAAAGGGCGGATTTTACATCTATCAGAAGCTCACTACCTTACTGGCCTAGAAGCCACTGGATCATTATCTAAAAAAGAACGATCAAGTTTTGAATAATTAGTTCCCAGCCTTACAAATGCCAAGCAAAATACAGCCCTACAACATGAAAGAAAATGATGTCCTCGGCTTTCAACATACACTACAATTAGCATATATATATATTTGCTCCCTGGATAAATCAAAAGAAACTTGATAATATAAACACCCCGTGATTGAAATTATGGCAACTCATTACAAGAGATGATCCAACTGTTGAACCAAGGCAGTTATTTCTGATATTCGATGACACCAAAATATGAAACAAAACTCTGGCATTGCAGACTTATAGAAAGGTTCGGAATCACATGATTATTATAATATATACATATCCATCTGATTATGGAAGAATGAACATACAATTAACTAACATATGTTGAAACACTTATATATTACACTACTGAAACCCACCACAAATCAGAGCCTGCTTACATAGAACCCATCACCATGTTTTTACCTCCATTTTCATTCTCCTGTCTTGGAACAATCCCAGAGCAATTGTTTGGAAGTGGAGGCCCACAAAGTTCATTACCCATAAAACAAGATGCATCAAAGGTTTGTAATTGAGTGCTAAAGGAATTTCCCCGTGCAAGTTGTTATGTGAAAGATTCAAATGATTCAAAGATGTCAAAGCTGAAATACTCTGAGGAATTACACCATCAAGTTGGTTTGACGAGAGATCAATAACTCCAATGACTCCATAACACCAATATTCTCAGGAATTCTTCCCGTGAATGGTTGTGAGACAATTCAATATAACTTAAGATGTGTCACTTCTATAGGAATTCTCCTGAGAAAGTGTTTTTGGAAAGGTCTATAGATCTCACCAAATTAAGAATGGTGCTATATTCATCCACTCTCCCTCTTAGCATCAATGACTCATCCTCAATAGAATCACTATAATTTGTTATATTGTATGCCTCTTGGAAAATCT